CCGCAACTTTTTATCGAAGGTTATAAAATTATTATCTCTTTAAAAGAACAAGTTACAACTTTACTGTTTCATAGAGTCACATCCCGCCACTGTTACTTTTTTGCTTTTTACTTGTTCTCATCATTTCTCAATTGACTTTACGTTTTGTAGTTGGTCCTGTCACTTTCAACACTTTTACTCTTATCTCTCAAGCAGAGGAAGAAGAAGAAAAGAAATTTTGTAGATATTTTTTTCCTCCATACCTCTTTCCAGCCACAACTTTTCGTCTCCTTTCTCTTCTTTCTAGAGAAACCAATAACCCACTTGTTGCTCTCTCCCTCTTCTTATCATAAGACATGTCCTAATTCTACTGTTCCTTAGTGTCCCATCCAAAGGGTGACCTTTTCGTTATTTTCCACACACACGAGGACCAAAAATGTCATTAGGTTTAACTTTTTGTTTTTTTCAGTTTCCACATTCTCTCTCCTACGTTTACTCTCATCCACTTATCTCCCTTTTTCTCCCATAACTATCACACCCACCAAGGCACCAATCATCTCCCTCTCTCCCTCTCTTTTTGGAAGAAGACGAAGGAAGGAGGAAGAAGAGAACAATAGCCCATCTTGATCTCCAAAATCAGCGATGGAGCAGCGACCTTGCTAAGAAAGGTGTGTTGTTCATCGCTACTTCGCTAGATCACAAGTTTCCTGTGTGTCTCTGTTTTTCCGACGATGGCGATTAGAAACGCCGGCGATGGGAGGGTCGGCAATAGGCGCCAGTGATTGTCCCAGCGCCGGTGAGTTAGGAGCTTGTCATTTTCGTTTTGCATTCTAGGAAAAGTTCAGCAATTTAGGGTTTGTTCCTGGGTAGGTTGGCGGCGAATTGGAGAGCTATCAAAGGCGGCTCCTTTCGTATTCTTATTTATGTCTCTGCTCTTTGTGGCTTTCTCTTCCTACTCATTTTCTAGCCACATGAATTTTTCTCGTCTTTCTTTTTTCATAATGCAGGCTGAAATAATTCTCATTCAGATATGTCTTCTCCCCTTTTTGTCCAAGAACAAATAAGATATAGAAGGAGGAAGCAGAAAAGGAACGAGGAGAAGGAGAAGGAGAAGGAAAAATTACTTCCAAGTCGATCATCGTCCCCTATCTGAGTTATCTTCTTCTCAGAAGGCACTCCCCACTCTTGTCTCTTTCTCTTTTTCCACCACCGCAAAATCATGTCGCCGTAGAGGAGGGGTTGTCCAACGCCTAATCTGTTAGATGGTCAGTTTCTACTGTCTGCTTGTTTTTTATTTTAGTTCCTTTACGATTTTAGTTTCTATTGAATCACTGATTTTCTCAATAAATTTATTGGCTACGAAACTAACGGAAAGCAGCAACTCCTTTTTCAATAAACCCATCTTTACATTTATATTTCTCACTATGTCTTTCTTTGCTGAGTTTCCGCCTTTTCTCTTGCATTTTGATTTGCTTTGATCCAGATTCACGAAGGAGAGGCATCCAATCCCGTAGATCAGCAGCGCATTTGATGGACTTTTGGGTCTCAATGGAGAGCAAACCAATTTGTGGAGGGTCTTATATGCCCCATCTATTCTAGGAATGGCAGGACCTTGCTGGGTCGACGACATCGACAGCCGAGGAGGGAGCGACAGGTGACAACAAAGACTGGGGGAGTTTTGCACGCCATCAATTGGCCGGGGAGGGGACGACGGGCAGTAGAAAAGGATGAAGCGTTGTCTGTGTTTACCCGTGGCCAGCTCCACCAGTCGTCGTTCTCTACCACTGTTTTTATCAATTGTGATCCCCTAATATGTTATACCCTATTTGATATCATTGCCGAACTTGGTTTGTGCTCTCTTATTGCTAATTTTGGTGTTTGGTGTGATTCTAGGGTCACTTCAAGCTAGCTGAAGCCAAGAACATTCAGGTAAGTGCTGGTGCATATTAAGTTCTTGCTTTTTGTGTACTCTTGCATGTTTAATTGTCAATGCCAAACAGTGAATGGATACTCATCCAAAATCAATTTTGTGCTTTCTTTCAACTATTTGGTATTGTTTCCTTCCCCATTCACATGCAATTCTGTTATGATCTAATAGTTACCCATTTGACGGGTTCCGTTTGTTGCTATAGGTGTTTGCTAAGGACGACACCATGGAGCGCAGGGTATCTGTTCATGAATTTGAGATGCATGAGTGTGATTGATTTACCCAATGCCCATGGATTTCATAACCCAAGGTAGTATTTCAATTCCAACCTCTACTGCTTTTCAGTTTCTTATTCTATAAGTTCTGATATACCATTTTCATTGATTATAGAGCGTTCATATCAATTAAGAAATCTGTAATTTTTGTATATATTTTCTATTTTTGCTACTTCACTGTTTGTTGTCGCTTCGAACCTTCACTTATTCCCTTCCATATCAATGTCAGATTTTGCAGCGTGGGAATTGTATCCCTTCGATTTACCAGTTTGTCCTTTAGATAGATGTGCTTCGGTTAGATGTTTTGTGTTATGAACTTTTGTTCAGAATTTGTTGTAACTAGGGTAGAAGTACACGAAAACGAATACTTGCAGTAGGATTTATATAGAAATTCTCTGAAAAAATACATGTATTGCATTTGAGATCTTCTAAATTAAAACAGTGGAGTCATGCATTTTATCGGTTAGTATTATGTTCTTCGACTGTGTACTTTTTAGGCTGTGATGTATAATTTGCATACAAATTTGACTTGCAATGAATTCCTATATTTAGCAGGTGGTAATCAGATAGCAAACTTTCCAATTCCTTACTTTGTTATTTTCATGCTTTGTTCCTCGATTGATCTCGGCTCATGAAAAGTGAAGATTGGATTTTTCCTATATGTGTTAGATTAGAGTCTATAGATGTTATTATGGGAAGGAGATGATGTTTCCCTATATACGCTTGATTTACTGACTTGTGAATTGTTGGTTAGGGTGAGGGAATACAATTGATGTGTTTGTGGAAATCATGGACTTAGAGATGGGAGGAAGATTGATTTGGAAACTTGATGAAGGAGTCAGGGAACTAACTCAATTGGTATGTAAAATCCTTGATACCGATTTTCCCCCTTTCCTCTTTGTTTCATAATTCGGTGGGTTCTCTCTAAATCTCCTATTCTTTTGAATGGGAAAATCACAATTTGGTTGCTTTCTTTACAAAATTAATGGTGTTCGATATAATAATTGATTAATGTGCTTAACGTTTGCTTCTTTGAGTGCGAGAACATCTCGCACTCAACTTGCTTGCTATGTCTACGTGGTTCTCATATCCAGATTAATCAAGAAATCGAATCTCATCTTCAATTTAAGGTTGGTTACTGACTTCCTACGTTAAATTATGTCTGTAAATCCAGCTTTCTTTGGCTCTATAGAATTTTGAACTGGTTGGAATAATTACGTTCGTTTCATTGTATCCATCGGTTGGAATGATTTCGAGTTGGTTGATATGCTCTATGAATTTTAGGAACATTGGATGCCTGGATGTGAGTTGTTGGATCCCCGATGTTGGAGAGTTTCCCGATTTCTTATACGAAAAGGGTGGACATCCTTCCGTTCGAGGTAATTTACTGGTTTATTCAATATGAAAAGTCACTTGACTCTTTGTCTGGTTTTTATTGACACTTGCTTCTCTAAACTAAAAGTAACCAACTCATTCAGTTTTTATATGCTCTGACTTGATAATATGTTGTTGGGAGTAATGCTGCTATGATGTGTCATTGTTGAGCTTCTTTTGATTCTTGGGATGAGTAAATACCATGAATGGTTCTCATAAGTTGTTGGGATGTGAGTAACAGCCTGGTGCTGAACTCTTCTGTTGCTGAATCCTTAATTGTCTGTATAAGAGTTCAATTACAGCAGGTGGTTTGGCTATCTCAGGTTGTTTAGGAACGATTGGCCTTGATTAATAACTAAGTATGCAGAGATTTGAAAGGATACCATGTTGCTGGTTCTTATAGAGTTATATTCTGCCTTTGTTTTTTGTTTTTTTTTATTTTGCAAGGGAATGGCACAAGGGAGGTTGTTAGGGAAATGACGGAGGGTCATTTCTGGCCAGGGTAGTGGTGGAGTTAAGACTTGTGAATAGAATAGGGGAGTGAAGATCCATGGGATTACAAGGAGAACGCCTTAACACGACAACCATTGGTTTCCAAAATGGGATCTACAATTCGCTTAGAGGCTGAAATCGAAAGGTAGGTGCTGACCTTCATCTTCTGTTTTCAATTTCTACTCTCTTGGTCAGGGGAGTTTGTTTAATCTTCCCGTAGGAAATATTGTCTGTGGTATTACAGATTGCGCTCATCAGATGTCATTGTTGAATGCCTGCTGAAATTTCATTCTTAACCTTCATTCTCCAATTTTTCTGTGTTTGGGTTTGTTTTCCCATCTCTTTTCTATTGACGAATCCTTATTTGTCTGTATACTGAGTTCGATTACAGTTGGTGGTTTAGCTATCCCTGGTTGTTTAGGCGGTATTGACCTCAATTAACAACAGTATTTAGAGATTTTAAAGAATACCATGTTGTTGGTTCTTATAGGGTTATCTGATTGATTTGTAGCTTTGGTCTACAAAATTTTAAACAATTAAGCCATGCTACCTTCTTACTTCTTAGGGAGATGAAACTTTCAATGTTGTACCTGAGAAAGTCACGGTTGATTCCTTTATCTTCTTTACCTTATATTGCATTCTGTGTTGTTCGAATCACAAGATATTTTATGCATGGTTCCTCACCTCATTTTGCTTACATCACAATGAATACGACAAGGTTGGCCTAATGAAAATGTGAAGCTGAGAAGCAGTGTCTTTGATAATTAAAAAAATCCTACTTGCTTGATATTATTGTCGGCAAAAGAAATGTCTTGCTCCCTATTCCAGTTAGGTAGTCTTTCCTGCTTATTTTTGCTAACAGAATGTGGAATTGGAATCTTCTCATTGTTGGAATTAGATGGCACTGGGAACACGCATCGTGGGACTCTAAAGCTCATTAGTAATGATTAGATGAGCTGTATTTTTATCGAAAATTGCTTTTACTTATCCAGTTTCTATACATGTGCAGCAGGTGATGGGGATGATGTTTGTAGAGTCTTGGGTTATAAACCAATGTGGCCTGGAGTGCAGGATCATGGAAGCTGCTATATGTTTCAAGAGCTGTAAGGTAGGAAGACTGGGTTTTTTCTTCTATAATCTGATTGGGAATATGGTAATCAGTGAGATATGTAGAGAAAGAGGTGCAGGAGGCTGTACGGAGGAAGATGTATGCAATGTGTAGAACTGCTGAAAATGATGCAACAGGTTTTGGAGTGGAAGATCCTTGCCAGCTTGAAAACAGAAGAGTCTGCTCAAAGGAAGATGCTGTGGTTTCAGTATTAGATTGTTCCATTCTAATATCTTCATGTACATCTTAGGGATAGGGGTCCAGATTTGTATAAATTGTCCTATGTTTTTATGAGTTTAAACTGGTTGTAGTTTGCTCTCATGTGGAGCTTTTTTTTTATGAAATAAAGCCTGTTTTTAAAAAAAAAAAAAAAATTCTAAGACTCTCTCAGTCTTCAACCTCTTACACCTATTGGCATTGTCACTGAGCTGCCTCAATCTGGTGAATATGAACTCCACATTCATTCCCAGCTTCTGAAAAGCTAACAATGTGCTCTCATTTTCCTATACCAAACAATCTCACCATTCTACTGGTAGCAACAAGGAGAAACAACCGATTTCGAAATCCACAACAGCGTTAGTGTTTCTGAGATCCAAAAAAGCGTTAATCTTTTATAAAATCGAATTTTCTAGAAATTGAGTAATGTACCCCGCCGCGCAGCGCGGGCTCTCCGTTCTAGTCTCTTTAAAAGAACAAGTTACAACTTTACTGTTTCATAGAGTCACATCCCGCCACTGTTACTTTTTTGCTTTTTACTTGTTCTCATCATTTCTCAATTGACTTTACGTTTTGTAGTTGGTCCTGTCACTTTCAACACTTTTACTCTTATCTCTCAAGCAGAGGAAGAAGAAGAAAAGAAATTTTGTAGATATTTTTTTCCTCCATACCTCTTTCCAGCCACAACTTTTCGTCTCCTTTCTCTTCTTTCTAGAGAAACCAATAACCCACTTGTTGCTCTCTCCCTCTTCTTATCATAAGACATGTCCTAATTCTACTGTTCCTTAGTGTCCCATCCAAAGGGTGACCTTTTCGTTATTTTCCACACACACGAGGACCAAAAATGTCATTAGGTTTAACTTTTTGTTTTTTTCAGTTTCCACATTCTCTCTCCTACGTTTACTCTCATCCACTTATCTCCCTTTTTCTCCCATAACTATCACACCCACCAAGGCACCAATCATCTCCCTCTCTCCCTCTCTTTTTGGAAGAAGACGAAGGAAGGAGGAAGAAGAGAACAATAGCCCATCTTGATCTCCAAAATCAGCGATGGAGCAGCGACCTTGCTAAGAAAGGTGTGTTGTTCATCGCTACTTCGCTAGATCACAAGTTTCCTGTGTGTCTCTGTTTTTCCGACGATGGCGATTAGAAACGCCGGCGATGGGAGGGTCGGCAATAGGCGCCAGTGATTGTCCCAGCGCCGGTGAGTTAGGAGCTTGTCATTTTCGTTTTGCATTCTAGGAAAAGTTCAGCAATTTAGGGTTTGTTCCTGGGTAGGTTGGCGGCGAATTGGAGAGCTATCAAAGACGGCTCCTTTCGTATTCTTATTTATGTCTCTGCTCTTTGTGGCTTTCTCTTCCTACTCATTTTCTAGCCACATGAATTTTTCTCGTCTTTCTTTTTTCATAATGCAGGCTGAAATAATTCTCATTCAGATATGTCTTCTCCCCTTTTTGTCCAAGAACAAATAAGATATAGAAGGAGGAAGCAGAAAAGGAACGAGGAGAAGGAGAAGGAGAAGGAAAAATTACTTCCAAGTCGATCATCGTTCCCTATCTGAGTTATCTTCTTCTCAGAAGGCACTCCCCACTCTTGTCTCTTTCTCTTTTTCCACCACCGCAAAATCATGTCGCCGTAGAGGAGGGGTTGTCCAACGCCTAATCTGTTAGATGGTCAGTTTCTACTGTCTGCTTGTTTTTTATTTTAGTTCCTTTACGATTTTAGTTTCTATTGAATCACTGATTTTCTCAATAAATTTATTGGCTACGAAACTAACGGAAAGCAGCAACTCCTTTTTCAATAAACCCATCTTTACATTTATATTTCTCACTATGTCTTTCTTTGCTGAGTTTCCGCCTTTTCTCTTGCATTTTGATTTGCTTTGATCCAGATTCACGAAGGAGAGGCATCCAATCCCGTAGATCAGCAGCGCATTTGATGGACTTTTGGGTCTCAATGGAGAGCAAACCAATTTGTGGAGGGTCTTATATGCCCCATCTATTCTAGGAATGGCAGGACCTTGCTGGGTCGACGACATCGACAGCCGAGGAGGGAGCGACAGGTGACAACAAAGACTGGGGGAGTTTTGCACGCCATCAATTGGCCGGGGAGGGGACGACGGGCAGTAGAAAAGGATGAAGCGTTGTCTGTGTTTACCCGTGGCCAGCTCCACCAGTCGTCGTTCTCTACCACTGTTTTTATCAATTGTGATCCCCTAATATGTTATACCCTATTTGATATCATTGCCGAACTTGGTTTGTGCTCTCTTATTGCTAATTTTGGTGTTTGGTGTGATTCTAGGGTCACTTCAAGCTAGCTGAAGCCAAGAACATTCAGGTAAGTGCTGGTGCATATTAAGTTCTTGCTTTTTGTGTACTCTTGCATGTTTAATTGTCAATGCCAAACAGTGAATGGATACTCATCCAAAATCAATTTTGTGCTTTCTTTCAACTATTTGGTATTGTTTCCTTCCCCATTCACATGCAATTCTGTTATGATCTAATAGTTACCCATTTGACGGGTTCCGTTTGTTGCTATAGGTGTTTGCTAAGGACGACACCATGGAGCGCAGGGTATCTGTTCATGAATTTGAGATGCATGAGTGTGATTGATTTACCCAATGCCCATGGATTTCATAACCCAAGGTAGTATTTCAATTCCAACCTCTACTGCTTTTCAGTTTCTTATTCTATAAGTTCTGATATACCATTTTCATTGATTATAGAGCGTTCATATCAATTAAGAAATCTGTAATTTTTGTATATATTTTCTATTTTTGCTACTTCACTGTTTGTTGTCGCTTCGAACCTTCACTTATTCCCTTCCATATCAATGTCAGATTTTGCAGCGTGGGAATTGTATCCCTTCGATTTACCAGTTTGTCCTTTAGATAGATGTGCTTCGGTTAGATGTTTTGTGTTATGAACTTTTGTTCAGAATTTGTTGTAACTAGGGTAGAAGTACACGAAAACGAATACTTGCAGTAGGATTTATATAGAAATTCTCTGAAAAAATACATGTATTGCATTTGAGATCTTCTAAATTAAAACAGTGGAGTCATGCATTTTATCGGTTAGTATTATGTTCTTCGACTGTGTACTTTTTAGGCTGTGATGTATAATTTGCATACAAATTTGACTTGCAATGAATTCCTATATTTAGCAGGTGGTAATCAGATAGCAAACTTTCCAATTCCTTACTTTGTTATTTTCATGCTTTGTTCCTCGATTGATCTCGGCTCATGAAAAGTGAAGATTGGATTTTTCCTATATGTGTTAGATTAGAGTCTATAGATGTTATTATGGGAAGGAGATGATGTTTCCCTATATACGCTTGATTTACTGACTTGTGAATTGTTGGTTAGGGTGAGGGAATACAATTGATGTGTTTGTGGAAATCATGGACTTAGAGATGGGAGGAAGATTGATTTGGAAACTTGATGAAGGAGTCAGGGAACTAACTCAATTGGTATGTAAAATCCTTGATACCGATTTTCCCCCTTTCCTCTTTGTTTCATAATTCGGTGGGTTCTCTCTAAATCTCCTATTCTTTTGAATGGGAAAATCACAATTTGGTTGCTTTCTTTACAAAATTAATGGTGTTCGATATAATAATTGATTAATGTGCTTAACGTTTGCTTCTTTGAGTGCGAGAACATCTCGCACTCAACTTGCTTGCTATGTCTACGTGGTTCTCATATCCAGATTAATCAAGAAATCGAATCTCATCTTCAATTTAAGGTTGGTTACTGACTTCCTACGTTAAATTATGTCTGTAAATCCAGCTTTCTTTGGCTCTATAGAATTTTGAACTGGTTGGAATAATTACGTTCGTTTCATTGTATCCATCGGTTGGAATGATTTCGAGTTGGTTGATATGCTCTATGAATTTTAGGAACATTGGATGCCTGGATGTGAGTTGTTGGATCCCCGATGTTGGAGAGTTTCCCGATTTCTTATACGAAAAGGGTGGACATCCTTCCGTTCGAGGTAATTTACTGGTTTATTCAATATGAAAAGTCACTTGACTCTTTGTCTGGTTTTTATTGACACTTGCTTCTCTAAACTAAAAGTAACCAACTCATTCAGTTTTTATATGCTCTGACTTGATAATATGTTGTTGGGAGTAATGCTGCTATGATGTGTCATTGTTGAGCTTCTTTTGATTCTTGGGATGAGTAAATACCATGAATGGTTCTCATAAGTTGTTGGGATGTGAGTAACAGCCTGGTGCTGAACTCTTCTGTTGCTGAATCCTTAATTGTCTGTATAAGAGTTCAATTACAGCAGGTGGTTTGGCTATCTCAGGTTGTTTAGGAACGATTGGCCTTGATTAATAACTAAGTATGCAGAGATTTGAAAGGATACCATGTTGCTGGTTCTTATAGAGTTATATTCTGCCTTTGTTTTTTGTTTTTTTTTTTATTTTGCAAGGGAATGGCACAAGGGAGGTTGTCAGGGAAATGACGGAGGGTCATTTCTGGCCAGGGTAGTGGTGGAGTTAAGACTTGTGAATAGAATAGGGGAGTGAAGATCCATGGGATTACAAGGAGAACGCCTTAACACGACAACCATTGGTTTCCAAAATGGGATCTACAATTCGCTTAGAGGCTGAAATCGAAAGGTAGGTGCTAACCTTCATCTTCTGTTTTCAATTTCTACTCTCTTGGTCAGGGGAGTTTGTTTAATCTTCCCGTAGGAAATATTGTCTGTGGTATTACAGATTGCGCTCATCAGATGTCATTGTTGAATGCCTGCTGAAATTTCATTCTTAACCTTCATTCTCCAATTTTTCTGTGTTTGGGTTTGTTTTCCCATCTCTTTTCTATTGACGAATCCTTATTTGTCTGTATACTGAGTTCGATTACAGTTGGTGGTTTAGCTATCCCTGGTTGTTTAGGCGGTATTGACCTCAATTAACAACAGTATTTAGAGATTTTAAAGAATACCATGTTGTTGGTTCTTATAGGGTTATCTGATTGATTTGTAGCTTTGGTCTACAAAATTTTAAACAATTAAGCCATGCTACCTTCTTACTTCTTAGGGAGATGAAACTTTCAATGTTGTACCTGAGAAAGTCACGGTTGATTCCTTTATCTTCTTTACCTTATATTGCATTCTGTGTTGTTCGAATCACAAGATATTTTATGCATGGTTCCTCACCTCATTTTGCTTACATCACAATGAATACGACAAGGTTGGCCTAATGAAAATGTGAAGCTGAGAAGCAGTGTCTTTGATAATTAAAAAAATCCTACTTGCTTGATATTATTGTCGGCAAAAGAAATGTCTTGCTCCCTATTCCAGTTAGGTAGTCTTTCCTGCTTATTTTTGCTAACAGAATGTGGAATTGGAATCTTCTCATTGTTGGAATTAGATGGCACTGGGAACACGCATCGTGGGACTCTAAAGCTCATTAGTAATGATTAGATGAGCTGTATTTTTATCGAAAATTGCTTTTACTTATCCAGTTTCTATACATGTGCAGCAGGTGATGGGGATGATGTTTGTAGAGTCTTGGGTTATAAACCAATGTGGCCTGGAGTGCAGGATCATGGAAGCTGCTATATGTTTCAAGAGCTGTAAGGTAGGAAGACTGGGTTTTTTCTTCTATAATCTAATTGGGAATATGGTAATCAGTGAGATATGTAGAGAAAGAGGTGCAGGAGGCTGTACGGAGGAAGATGTATGCAATGTGTAGAACTGCTGAAAATGATGCAACAGGTTTTGGAGTGGAAGATCCTTGCCAGCTTGAAAACAGAAGAGTCTGCTCAAAGGAAGATGCTGTGGTTTCAGTATTAGATTGTTCCATTCTAATATCTTCATGTACATCTTAGGGATAGGGGTCCAGATTTGTATAAATTGTCCTATGTTTTTATGAGTTTAAACTGGTTGTAGTTTGCTCTCATGTGGAGCTTTTTTTTTATGAAATAAAGCCTGTTTTAAAAAAAAAAAAAAAAAAAAAAATTCTAAGACTCTCTCAGTCTTCAACCTCTTACACCTATTGGCATTGTCACTGAGCTGCCTCAATCTGGTGAATATGAACTCCACATTCATTCCCAGCTTCTGAAAAGCTAACAATGTGCTCTCATTTTCCTATACCAAACAATCTCACCATTCTACTGGTAGCAACAAGGAGAAACAACCGATTTCGAAATCCACAACACCGTTAGTGTTTCTGAGATCCAAAAAAGCGTTAATCTTTTATAAAATCGAATTTTCTAGAAATTGAGTAATGTACCCCGCCGCGCAGCGCGGGCTCTCCGTTCTAGTGTATTATTCATATACATTGTTATTTGGGATGTCAAATTAAGGTTGGTGGGGAGAGCTCGAGATTCTAGGTGTAGTAGTACAAGAAGGATTCCTCCTCAGTAATTTGTTTGAGCTAGCTTATAGTATAATTTGTATACATGCGAGCTTGAGAAAATGACTAAAGAATAGACTAATCACGTTCCTTTCCCTTGAGATTCATTTGGATCTATCGAGTGTGAGATCTTTATTATATTTAGCCACTACTGATCACTCCAAATCTGTTGGCTCCTACTCGATCTTTTGTGGGTGGTGACAGAAGCCAGGAAGATAATCTTAATTAACCTTGGGATTTCATCATGAGGTGGACAGTGGATAGCATGATCAAACGAAACAAAATCCAGAGAGCAACCAATTATCTGTAAACTTTGCCCTAATGGTCAATCAAGGAGCGTAAGATGTCCTTAAAAGCAAGGAGTTGATTCTTCATCGTCTCCACCTCCTTGTCCTTCTTTTCCATTAACTCGCTCTGGAGTGACTCGATCTTCTTGCTCCATTCCAGCTCCTTCTTGCATGCCGCCAGCTCCACGTTCTTCTCCTCCAACTCTTTCTTGCATGCAGCCAGTTCCACGTCCTTCTCCTCAAATCCCTTCTTGCATGCCGTCAGTTCCACGTCCTTCTCCTCCATTTCCTTCTTGCAGGCCACTAGCTCCACTTCCGTCTCCTCTAGTTCCTTCTTGCATGCCTCCAGCTCCACCTTCTTCTCCTCCTCCAACTCCGTAGCTCGGCTCATCCCTTGGGCATCAACCAACGTTTCTCCACTGTGCATGTCCGCTCTGCTCCACACGGTGAACTTGGTAACTTCTCGAGGTAACTTCACGCCGTATTTGGACCAACCAAAATAATCGTTGATCCGCATGGCCTTAATAGTTGGATGCCCGAGTCTACCAACTATACAAAGGCCCAAACGATTCACATAGAAATGGATTTTATAGCCGTCTTCTACCGACTCGAGCTCCTCGACTAGCTGTTTGAACTTGTCTCCCTTAATGGTGGTGCCAAAGACTTCTATTCCCTCGTATTCTTCTCCCGGACCAACCTCAACTCGAGTGCCCCAATCATCATCGGAGTAGTAGTCTGTTCCTTGGATAGTCCTGAAATCATTCACGTCGCCCTTGTAGCTGAGCACTTCAACACCTGTGTTATTAATTACTGTGATGAATTCATCGTCTGACGTCAGGCTGAACACTGTCCACATTCTGCTAGCTGTTGGAACAAGATCGATCGAGCATAGATCGGATGGAAAGTGGCTTTTGCTACGAATGATGTTGTGAATTTAGCAACACCATGGCACGCACCCTATATATTTAGTTAGCACACTGTGATGATTTAGCAGACGGAAGCAATGTATCTGTCTCTTGCGTAACTGTCATTTCATTTAATCGCCCAAATTCTAGATTCCTGAATGTTAAAATCCATCAAGAAAGTGATTCTCGTTTATTAAGGTCTGATGAAATAATTGTTTGGAAAGAAGCAAAAATGGGATTTACGAAGCGGCATTCATGCATGCATGGCAGCATGGCTCCTCGTTGCCCGTACGTGACCGTCTTGTTTCATTTGCTCCTCTAACTAAGTACTGATATGTCTCTTTGGGAGTTGGTGCGTTTCGATCAATTGGCCGCATGCATATATAAGTAGATCTTCCACTCCAGCCCATTCATACCGAGAATGGCCGTTTTCCACATGTCATCGGACGGCTACTTCGGAACGACTTGACCCTCACTGCTGCATCAGACGGCCAGAAGTTCCGTCTCGCAACTAATAGAAACGGGATCTGTTACCTCTATGTAAACAGCCCTTCCGTAAAGCGGCTGCGGGTCAATGACTACTTCGGGTGGGCCAAGTACGGCGTGAAGCCGCCAATCAGCACGTCGACGATCTGGAACAAGTGCGACATGAGCACCGGGGCTACGTTGGTGGATGTAGGGCAGCTGTTGAAGAACAAGGAGAACGAGATGCAGGAGAAGGTGAAGGAGATGAGAAAGGAGTTGGACGCGAAGGAGAAGGAAGTGTCTTTAATGAGGAAGGTGGTGGAGAGGTACGAGGAAGTGGAATCTATGTGGGAGAAAACCATGCAAGAAAAGGACAAGCAGCTGGCTATGATAATGGAGAGGAACAAAGAAGCGGAATCCAAGTGTGAGAAATCCGCGCAGGAGAAGGAGAAGCAGCTGGTTAAGCTCATGAATGCCCTGCGTGCCTTGCTTTGTGACGTCTAAAATCATCACCTTTGGCCCTTTCATCTATTATTTCATCGTGAAAAATTTCAAGAATAATGGTGTAAGATGAAGGGTTAATATCATTTTATATAATTTTATATCATTCTATATCCTTCTACTATTTTTAGCATTTATATATCCTTAATCAATCACAATATAAGAAATTTGTCTTCTCTCGGTATTTTCATCCAATAATCGTTAAAATAGATGGGAAATACTAATATGTCCCTTCCCTCTCACTTTAATTATTTCATTAGTTAGTTGTGTAAAATTATTATTTTAAATTTTCATCAACAAAATCTACTCTTTTAATTTACTGGATAGCTCTAACCCACAAACTCATATCTATTGGACCTGAAATGAACATTGTTTTTTCATTCAATTTCCCCGAGCACACATTAAGAATAAGTAAATGTTTACTTTATTCCTTTTACAAAGGTATAAGTTATTGGATGTCCAACTTTTTACTTCATTCCCATTCTTGCCTGGAATCAAAAACATGCATGTGTGAAACTTATTGGGAATCTCAAGGTGCATAGCATCCAATTATATATATAAGACCCTCATTTCTCTTAGATGCTCTCATTCCCAGTCCTAAATAACCTGATAATTATCTCCCCTCCTTATAAGAAGAAATGGCCGTTTTTAGTTTATCATCCGACAATTACTTCATCAGATCAGCTGACATGAAAAACGATCCAGATTTCTTCGTCTATGAGTATTTGCACGACCCATATGACATGGCGATTGTTCGACGAGATGGTCTCAGCAACGAATGGGGTCCCAGAGTTCGAGTTGGGCCTTCTACGCGAGCAAAGTTCGGCGCCCTCGAGGTTTTCGGCGTCACGATCCAAGGGAAACTACAATGGTCGGACCTGGCAAATGACTTGAAGCTCCCGGGAGATAATAATTATGATGGCGAAACAATGTTTCGCCTATTGGTGAATCGTCGCGGGCTCTGTTTTTTGGAAGGGGTAAGGACCGAATCCTTTACCGTATTGAGGATTAACGATTGCTTCGGTTGGTCCAGATATGGCGTCAAAGTGCCTGAATTCACCAGCGCAAATGTGTGCAACAAATGTGACATGTACACATTTGGAACCGTGGTGGACGTTCGAGGCGCTATGCTCGCGGCGGAGGAAGCCACGGCTGAGGTGAAGGTGTTGCGGAAGGAGGTCGAGAAGGGGAAGTTGGAGCTGGCCGTGTGCAGGAAGGAGTTGGAGTGCACAAAGGAGATGGTGGAAAAGAGCGACGCGATCGAGTCGTTGTTCAATAAGTTGGTCGACGAGAAGGAGAGGGAGGTGGAGGAAGTGAAGAATCAACTGGTTGCTTTCAAGGCTGCCCTCGCGTCCTTGGTCTCGAGCAAAGAGTAGTGACTTTTGGCTATGGTGTGATTTCAGTCTCCTAGACAGAATCCGAACAAAATATAAAATACGGCTACGGAATAAAGTTCATAACACTATGTAATTAAAAAAAATGTATGATTTAAATAATTGAATTCATGTTCCCTTACAACAAAATGTGAGATGAATTCATATTAATAATAACATTCTAAACTATTTTCGACAAAAGATTTCAAGTGTGTAAATCATGATGGTTCCCTGCAGAGTACTTACTGTCTTACTCTATTACCGGCTTCTGGCTTCGAAGGCATGATGGTTCCCTGCAGAGGGCAAGCTGCATTAGCATTACTCACCTTCTGCACTTGCTGACTTGCATTAGCCTAGCCAGCGTTGCCTTAGTCCCTCACCATCACTTATCCTGACATGGGCGGAAAAAATCCCAGAATACGCGAGTTATTAAAAAAAATTCCCTAAATACAGTACTTATAAAACTAATTCCCAAAATACAGCAGTTTCAACATCACTGTCTTTGTCTAAGACAGTGATGTTGATCACCGCTTTTGTCCAAAGCAGTGAAGCAGCGGGGTACGCATCACCGCCTTGGACAAAAGCGGGGAATGCATCATCGCTGTGGTCAAAAGCGGTGATACGTTCCCCGCTTTTGTCCAAGGCGGGGATTGTATCCCCGCTTTTGACAAAAGCGGGGAACGTATCCCCGCTTTGGACATCAACAGTGAAGCCATCACCGCTGTTGTCCACAGCAGTGATTGCCCCCACGTTTTACACAGCCCTGGTAGGTAGACAGGTAGGTAACAGCTACCTAGCCATCACCGCTGTTGACTAAGGCGATGATGGTTCACCGCCTTTGTCCAAAGCGGTGATTGCCTCCAATTTTTCCTATAAAAAGCCACGCCCCCTCTTCCCTCCTGCTGCCAAACACTCCTGCTGCCAAACAGAAAATTAGTACCAAAATTATCGTTTTCGCAGCTGGTTCCTCCGTAGTTTACTGCTCAAGAAACTCGTCGGGATTCGGTATGTTAGAATTATGTATTGTTTACATTTTGATTATGTGCTAGAATTAGGTATGTTAGAATTATATATTTAGATTAATGATATATGTTAGTTAGTTAGTACTGAATTTAGATTAATTTGTTTAGTTATCATGATAGATCGGGATTGAGTATGTTATAAGTATGTATTTTTTACATGTTGATGTGTTAGTAATTATACTGTTTGTATTTAGTGAATTGCGGTTATTGGAAAATATGTTATGATATTATTTAGTTTAATTATGATATGATAGATGTTAGTTAGCTAGTTATGAATTTAGATGAATTTGTTTAGTTTTCTCATAATAGATAAATTAGTTGCATTTTATTATCGCTTTGGATGATATTGTTTTTGTATCCATAATGTACTAATTATATACTATACTTAATTATTATAAATTGCAGACATGGGTAAATTTAAGAAGTTTCGGCTTATTATTTATTGGAATGGTCGGGTGACAAACTCGAACATTGGGATTGACTATGAAGATGGCGAATCCAGTTCGCTTACAATTGAGTCGAGATTCTCGTGGCAAGAACTCCATGACAGGTGTGCAGAAAGGACTTGTACGGGCGGGCAAATGAGAGTTCGTCAAATTACTTACCGGTATCCCAACATGAGTGCTGACGGAGTCATGTACGAAAGAGTTGACATAAATGACGATGACGACGCGAACATGATGACACAGTTCATATCTGAGAACGGGGTGCGGCTTGCAGAGGTGTATGTCGAGACCGAGCCGGTCGGTGAAACTCATTCTCACCAGTATTCTTATGATGATGGTTTTGCAGGAGGGTATGGCTGGGGTGGTAGTTCAAGTAACTACGGAGCAGGTTCTTCTGCCGGAGGGTATGGTTGGGGAGGTACTTCAAGCAACTACGGAGGAGGTAGTTCTGAAGGAGCTGTTGGGTGGGAAGAATACCTGCCACATGGTGGTGAGACTGCCGTCGATATCGTTCAGCCCGACGGTGATCAATGGCCTGCTTGGGGTCCAGAGTGGGGTGACATTGAAAACACCCTTCGAACTGGGCGTACTTTGCATGACCAAGAAGGCGATGCTGGTTATGCTGCTAACGATGACCCTCCTTCGCCGAGCTATCCATTCGCCTCCAGTGACGATGAAAGTGAGGAAGATTTGAGATCAGTCAGTGAGGAGGAAGATGCGGACGATAACGACGATATCGATGACAGTGAGGTGGCGTTCCGCCAGGCACCAACGCCTTACTACACAGAGGTTCCTGATCAATTTTTATATGGTCAGAACGATGCCCCTGACTATCGGCCCATGCCTGTGTATAATCCGACTGCTAATTTGGAAGTGGGTATGGCGTTCACTTCGAAAGCCGATGTGCAAGACGCTTTTAGCGAAGAAGCCATGCGGCGTAATTTCGAATGGAAGGTAAAATATTCTGACAAGGGACAACTGCATGTCATTTGTAAGAATGCTGGAGAGGGTTGTATGTGGCAACTTCGTGCTGCATATATGAAGAGAAAGGGGGTCTGGGTCTGGGTCATGCGGACAGCAGAGCGTCCCAGTCACCGAGGAGCATAGGGAACCACATGCCTTGTATCCACTTATTTGACTTGTCGGGGAACAGAAACCCACCAACCAAGGCAATTAGGTATACACGTGCATACCGCTCCACCTGATCTTCAGGAGTATCCAGGCCTATATTAACCTCCAATTGGATGTGGTCAACAAGCCACGGGATCGATACTTGCCCCGCATTCAGTGGTGGATGCCCAACCCCTTCGACGGGCGTGGTGGTCGGCATGTTGAACCCCAGACGTTCCTGAATCAATGGCCCCCAACCATCTTCTGGTTTTCTCGAGCTGTCGATGATGGCATCTCCGGTGATCGGGAGCCCGGTGAGGATGGCAACATCTTTGAGGGTGATCGTCATTTCACCCTCGGGAAAGTGGAAGGTATGCAGCTCAGGGCGCCATCGCTCTGCCATTGCCGTCAGCAGATCGTTGTCAATATCTAGCCTCATAAAGTGCCTCAAATTGTGCAATCCCGCCCTCTCTAGATAGGGATGCAGTCGAGGATGCCAACGGGGCAATCGACATGTACCTCGATGACTGATGGGAATAAGTGATTCCTACAAAACAAAAAACACAATATTGTCAGTCAATAGAAAGCAAAATAAAAACTTAGAAAGCAAAATAAAAACTTTAAAACTATTGAAATAATTGTAGTGTATCTACCGGATTATTGTTCCAAATTGAACGAGAGCGATGTTGATCTTGCCCGGTTAAATACCTTCGATCCCTTGGGCCAGGATCGATATACAATCTAGGGTCGTATATCTCAGCACCCATCTATAAAAAAATATGAAATCAAATCAATTTAAATTTTAGCACCCATGTAAAAAAAAATGCACAAAAGAATTAAATAAATTTACGTACTCTCAAAGCCTCTTCGTCCATTTTTTGCCGAAAAGCTAGCGAGAGTATCGACAAAACAACAAAACAAAAACTCTAGTAATTCTTTCTGATGCGGAAGATCGGACTTAGCCGCAACCACAGAGCATACTTAGAACGAAACTAGAGTGAAAAATGGAGGGAGAAAGAAGTATGAAGTGGTGGTGTGGTTTGGAATGAGAGGGGGGATGGGTATTTATAGGGTTTGGGGCTGGGAAAAAACCTGGCCAGTTATCACCGCCCCAAACAAACACAGCGCCATCACCGCCTTTGTTGGACGCGGTGATGTGCAGGGATCGCTGACGTGGCCTCTCCTGATGCGTCGGATTGTGGAGAAAAACCACAATCCGCGCATAACTGCATCCGACGGCAGCGGTGAAGGCGCGGGGTGGGGGGCGGATCGCTGACGTGGAAAGCGGGGCTATCACCGCTTTGGTCTTCAGCGGTGAAGTGCCCGCGCGCGTCCACGTCAGCGATCCGCGCCCCTTCACCGCTGTTGGATCCAACGGTGAAGGCTTCACTGCCTGCCACATCAACGGTGATGCCATCACTGTCGTCCTTGACAGCGATGATGGCATCACTGCTTTGGTTTAAAGCGGTGATAACATCACTGCTTTAGTCTAAAGCGGTGATGTATCATCGTTTTAGACCAAAACGGTGATCAACATCACTGTCTTAGACAAAGACAGTGATGTTGAAACTGCTGTATTTTGGGAATTAGTTTTATAAGTACTGTATTTTGGTAATTTTTTTTAATAATTGGTATATTCTGGGATTTTTTCCGACATGGGCACCATCTTCAACTGTACCATAGGCGCGCCACAGACTATCCCCGATTGTATTTTGCTGAATACAGGGGAGCATACTACTGGAGCAAAGGTTCTAGAAATGATCAGTAGGTTGAGCACAGGAGGAAAGAACTGCAGCTGAGCGAGAAAGACATGATCTGTGTAAAGAGATGACCCAACTGACCTTGACCATCCTTACTACTATTCACCTGTAATCAACACAATCATAAACAAGCAAAGCAGCTCTCACAAGTATCTATTATTGCTTAGCAATACCAGGTGCATTTGGACAAGATTATACATGTTCCAACAGAATGACAAATTATAGTCAGAAGCTGAGAAGATAAGCACTGCAGATAAGCACTTGCAGCGTCTAGGCAAAATAAAATACATCTGTAGACATCCCAGAAATGGAAACGTTCAGCCAAAACAAGCAATTTCTGCCATGAACTCTTCAGCCAATCAGCAACTTATTGTCCTCCAAAAAGGAATAGGTAGGCACCTCCAAGTTGTAAGGTGCTGGGCCCTTACGAATCCTACCAGAGATGTCGTAGTGAGATCCATGGCACGGGCAAAACCATCCCCCAAAATCACCAGCATTCGGCAAAGGGATGCAGCCCAAATGCGTGCACACCCCAATAACAATCAGCCATTCTGGGTTCTTCACCCTGGCCTCATCCGGCTGTGGGTCTCGGAGAGACGCCAGCTCGACACTGTTTGCCAATTTGATGTCATCTTCCGTTCGCCTCCTGATGAAAACTGGCTTCCCACGCCACTTCACAGTCACAGTGGTCCCCGGTTCGATGCTTGAGAGGTCAACCTCCAGAGAGGCAAGGGCCAGAACATCCTTACTGGCTGACATACTGAGGACGAATTTCAGGACGAGGAGACGGATGAGGGAAGCATACACAAATCGGCCACCAGAGAGGACAAAGTAAGCGAAAGCTCGTTTGCTAGGGTCACCAGGTGGGAGGCGCTCGTGGTTGTACTCATCGTATACTATCTTAGGTGAGGGATTCTTCAGAGCATGCACAGTTGCTAAGTAACCAGGAGCCATGCCTTCCTCGTCTACTGAGGCTAGTGGTCCAGAAGCAAAACCTGACATGAACAACATCAAAATGTTCTCTTACCATTACATCAGAACAATAAGCTGCAGGAAGATATAAGACCCACAGCGTGACTTCTACTTTACACAGAAATGGAAAGAATCAAGAAGTTCTTATTACAATTAAGTGAAAAAGGCAATAGTAACGATACAAGCTTATCATCTATTCACCTATTCACTCAGAGACATTCAAATCTTTACAAGAATCCATTACATCATAAAATGACCACTGTGGTATAAATTCTGCTCAAAATTTGAAGGGGAAACAAGAAAATAAAGCCCGGTCGAGAAGAACTTATAGCAAGTAAAGTTCATGTAAGCAGACAAGTATGAATTCCATTTAGTCACATCCCGTTTCAGGTCCAGAAGCAAAACCTGACATGAACAACATCAAAATCTTCTCTTACCGTTACATCAGAACAAAAAGCTGCAGGAAGATAGAAGACCCAGAACGTGATTTCTATTTTACACACAAATGGAAGAATCAAGAAGTTCTCATTACAATCAAGTGCAAAAGGCAATAGTAAAGCTACAAGCTTTATCATATTCACCACTGCGGTATAAACTCTGCTCGAATTTGGAGGGGAAACAAGAAAACAAAGCCCGGTCGAGAAGAACATATTGCAAGTGAAGTTCAGTTAAGCAAACAAGTATTAATTCCATTTAGTCATCACATCCCGTATCCACAAAGGATAAAGAGATCTTGTTCACTACTCAATTCAATAGGAGAGACTGCAATGCAAATTCACTAACCCTAAAATCAAAATTAAAAGCGAAATGAATCACCCCATGGCAACTAAAACCAAACGAGAGAAAGGATGAATCCAGTTTACCAAGATCACGAATCCAGCTCACAAAACCACCAATTTCAAACATCAGATGCCATAATCCAAAAGAAATCCGTCGGGATCAAACCGCAACTTCGCTCGGAACAAAGATTCAGAAAAGGAGACGAGCAAAAAAACAGAGAAATGAGGAAATCCTAACCTCTGTGAGGAACATGGAACGGAAAGTAAAAGCTTGCAAACCGGTCGGCCTGAAGCTCGTCGGCGGATGGCGATGAATCCCCAGAAACCCGGTGAAGGGGATTCTGCATCCCGATCGCAGAGACAGCATGGTTGGGCCTCAACGACGGGGAAGAGAGAGATGTGAGACGCCGCAATCCAACCCTCAACATCGTCTCCTTCGCTCCCTCGCTATTCAATGGTTTACTTCTTCACCGGCGACCGCCGCTAACCCGAGAGAGGATTTCGATTGAATTGAATTTTGCTCTTCCTGTTTCTTGCCCTACGCCTCTTCGCTCTGTCTTAAGCTTTCGGGAGTCTGGGCCTGCAACCACTGGGCCTTGACTTTTCCAAGAGTCTGGGCCTCCCGCCACGAAGCCCACTATAAGAAGGCGTAAAACTAAAAGCGAGGGACGGAGAGAACGGAGCAGACGACGAGAAATCGAAAGAGCGAACCGGTCACCGGATCTTCCTTTGGCGGCGGCGGGGATGGACGGTGAACGAGCCGAGGAAGCGGAGAAATCAAAAGAGGAGAAACCGATATTCGATGCGTCGGAGATAGAGTATGTGAGTTACGCAGGCGAGCATCACTTACCGCTAATCATGAGCCTGGTTGATCAGGAACTCAGCGAACCCTACTCCATCTTCACTTATCGCTATTTCGTGTACCTATGGCCCCAGCTTTGTTTCCTGGTAAAAGAATTCAGCTGAAAGTTTCTATCTTTTCTTGTGTGTTTCAATCTGAATTTGAGTTTTTGAGATTGAGAGCTCTTTGAATGTCAGGCGTTCCATAGAGGTAGATGCGTGGGGACGGTGGTATGCAAAATGGGGGAGCATCGAAACACTACGTTCAGAGGCTACATTGCTATGCTGGTTGTCATCAATCCTTATCGTGGGAAAGGCATTGGTAATCATACTTACACTCTCTAGCTCGACTGTACAACTACAAAAACTTAGAAAGATTGGACCTTTTTGGCATGTATGTGGATGGATGTGCTTGATGGAGGAGATTGGTATTGTATGGGACAAATTTTGATGCGAAAAGGGGTTTTTTAGCTTGAGGGAAGCTGGCTGCTGAAATGGGCATTTGGATGGCAGGGAGCTGTTGGCTAACTTCTTTCCACCACTCTGTTTTTTCTGCCTGGGTTTGGCTGACTCCTTTCTCAAGTGCATGATTGAGCTTTAAGTAACTGATGTCCAAAGTTGCAGCTGTGTTTCAAGCTTGAAACCAAGACTTTGATCCGTTGTTTAATACAGTCTGTATCTTTTTATTGCCCCTTTAGTCTGCATTGTCTCTGCTGTGTTTCTCCTGGAGATGTTTAGTTCTTGTGAACTCTAATCTTCTAGTTTATTTAATACTATATCACCATTATCAAAAAAGAAGAATAAAGGGTTCCTCGATTTAGGGTGCTAATTGTGGTTAGAGGCCTCCATTGCCTTCTAGATTTATATTGTTGCTTACGGTTTAAATTTATGATCTTTGCAGCTACTGAACTTGTTACCAGATCGATCAGAGTAATGATGGAATCCGGATGTGAAGAGGTATAGAATCGTATACTCAGTCTTGCTCTCCATGTAATCACTCTTGTTTCTTTCATTCGCGAAATGAAGTATTGCATTGTGTTGCGTATACATTCCATTGCACTTGCTCTAAAATCTTATGAATGATCTCCAAGATTGAGTCCTTGACACTGCTAAATGATTTGGGAACTGTGTTTTACTGCTACTGATATTCCACATTTGGCTGCAACTTTTCTGAAGTTTTATTAACGAGCCTTTTAGAGTGATTATTTGGCATTGCTATGAACTCCTATGGACTACTGATAACTTGTCTTTTACTGTCTGGTATGCCCTTGATTGGAATGTTTCCTCTTGCTTTATTTCAAGCGTCTAGTCCATGCTTATCAAAATCCAAGTTGGTACTAGTTCAATTGAGTTGTTTTGATTGATCCTTAGGTGACACTGGAAGCAGAAGTAACAAATAAAGGTGCACTCGCACTCTATGGCCGACTGGGGTTTATTAGGGCAAAGCGACTCTTTCGCTACTACTTGAACGGAGTAGATGCTTTTCGTCTGAAACTGCGGTTCCCACAACTAGAGATGCACCCAGCTTACATCGCTGTCCAGAATGAGTAACTGAGATGACGCACGGGATGATTCCTTGTAGCAGTGTGCACCATTCAATCGGCAGTCTGATGATTCACAACCGCATGAGCTTTCAATGCTCCAAGAAGGGAACCTAAAAAAGTGATGATACGAGGTGTGTTTCTGGTAATGTGGTTAAGGCGATAATCAGTTTCAAGCATGCAACTTAAGGATCTTTCTTTGGACTTTGGAGGTAGGTTGCCAAACCGAACACTGTTCATGTGCCATGATTTATGGTTGTGGCTATTGAGTTGAGAACGACAGTGTCATTCACAAAAGTAACATGTTCTTTGTATATGGTTAGTATCCATACACTTGATTTCTCTTGACTGTGTAGTCCATTTTGGTCACCTGTGTGAAGTGTCTGTCTCATTAGGTTACAATCTATCAATGACACAATCACGTTCTTAGCCTAGTGGTTCCCGTTCGAATCCTTCACCACCGTCTTTCTCGTTTTCACGAGTGATGAACTGTGATGGTTACTTTGCCTCAGCTTCCTCGTTTGCAGCATATGGTTTACTATTGCTAATGCTCATGGTCAAGTGTACGACGTTGAGGCTGATGACCTTTTCAATGTCATCTTGATTGCAACGCGAGATCCGGTACCATGCAACATGCATCCGTATGTATTTGTCATATTCTCTCATTGCGACAGGATCCGTACCTAAGGCCATGGCAGTGTCGAGCGACGATTGCTCGCATGATTTTCATTCATCCAATCAGCACCTTGGATCAAGGTCGAGTTTGTGCCTCGGCAGTTGAATTCACTTGATGGTTGCGCTCGCATGATTTTCATTCATCCAATCAGCACCTTATGATATTACTACTTCAGTAGTACATCAAAGTAATGCTTTTTTTTCAAGCGTCATCCAACGAGCCCAAAATATGCCAGTACCGTGATCATCATCTGGCAGCATAAAATTATACAAACAATTGAAATCCTTCCCAAATATACCTTCTTGTCCTTCTCATCCACCAACTTGCTCAAAAGGGACTCCATCTTCGTGCTCCATTCCAATTCCTTCTTGCATGCCATCAATTCTGCGCTCGTCTCCTCCAAGCTCCGTCGGAGCTCCTCCTTATTGGCTTCCTCCGCCGCCGCAGAGCTGAAAACTCCTCGAACATTCGCGTCATATTTATCCCAATCGTCAGGGCAATCGCTGAACTGCATAATTTTCGGTAGTTCAGCGAAATGATTTGAGCAATCACTCGCAGAGGCCAAAACGATTCACAAAAAATACAAAAGCAATCGTTTCTACTTTCCTAAGTGTCATTAATTAATCAACTCTTTTCTTAAGTCCGAAGGTAAGCCAAGAATAATTAAGGCCGTGGATGGAAACAAGTTTATATGTAAGATCAACCAGCAGCAATCGAACTGTCAAGAAAAGCGAGTAATTTGTTACTGATCAGTATGGAAACTTTGTCAACGCTCCAGCTAGTAACGCTGATTTCACGACTCGAATTGAAAATGTCGAATGACCAGTTGAGAATCGTTGTGGTAACAATGTTTAACACCAAGATTTGTTTTCACGACTCGAATTTGATTTGTAGCTCGCCATTCAAATTGATTTGTGTAACCAACCGGACCAAATCAATTTGAACCGAACCAATGTGGCAGTTGGAGTGAACCAATCGGTCCAACTAACATGAGGCCAAACCAGTACAATGGTTGAGAGATTTTAAACGAACCAATGCAATGGTTGGGGTTTGAGTTGTAACTACCAACACGAAGAGTTGCATCCCTTCTTACGAATCTCTTCATTTTCTATAAATAGCATCAACCCCCAATTTTCATACACGAGTTATCCCAAGAAATTTTCGGGTAGAAAAAAAATAGTTTTTCTATTTCGTTGCATTTTCTGCTCTACAAAACGCATAACAGAGTCGTGTGACTTCTTGTCGTTCGTCGGTTTCCGACTTTGAATTGTGTTTGTTGCGTGTGACTTCTCCTTAACCGTTTTGACTTTGAATTCTATATGTGACATGTGTTGAAAAAAAAAAAACTAGTATACATGACAATTGACATAACCATAACATATATTACGTACGTAATGCACACTGATCAAGTAATCATCGACCAGTGACCTTAAAGAATATTTCCTGGGAATCCGATGATTAAAGCACCGATTATGCAGAGGCCGATACGGTTCACGAAAACTTGGAATCCGATGATTCCGTAGTCTCTTTGTATCGCGGTGAGATCGTAAACCAGCATCATGAACTCGTATCCCTCAATCGTGGTCCCGAAAACTCGTAGCGCCTCGTGTTGTTCTTCCGTGGGGCCGACGCGAACTCGATTGTCGGCCCAGAGGCGGCGGCGGCGGGCGGGCGGGTTTTTCCACATGGAAATCGTTGAGGTCGCCGTTGTACCAGCAGGCGTGAAGACTGCTGCTACTACTGCCAACACATGATGTGATGAATATTTGGTCGGACTTCAAGGTGAATGCTTTCGACGTCGACATTCCGACGGCGGGGATAGTAAAACTTTGAATTGTCGTTTGTCTACTAAACCCCTACCGGTTTGTGACTTGTGATTGTTGTGCATATTGGTCGATTTGGTTCGTAATCGGATCGAATCGTTGATAAAATCGAACTAAAATTGAAAAGGAAATTAGGATCGAAAAGCATATTTAATGTTGATTCCATTTTACATTTATAGTTTAAGATCATTTAGAAGATCACAGTCGAATCAAAATTCATTTTAGCAGGTACAATTCAATTAAAGTATTGATTTTGTATGATTTGCTCTTGTGTGACATGAATCATTACGGACCATAACATGCAAAATTACGAGAAATCATCCTTTTGTCTTAAAATGAAATACAATGCTTGTATTTGAGGAGAAGATGTATGGACTACCAAAATCATTCTTTATGGATAATTATCAATGTCTTTAAATTGTCAATTTCATTTTTTTTTTCTTCTCATTTTTTGAAAGGTCACTTAAATCCTTCAACTTCCAAATAATTATTTTTAGAATTTATATATTAAAACAATACATCCAATTGAATACGAATAAATAAATAGATTTGGAACATCCTAACTAGCAGAGCTAAAAGTTTGGTACCAGTATTTGGGATATACCGAATACTGTACCGAATTTGTCTATATTTGGTATTACCGAATACACGTATTATTTTCTGGGATTGAGATTGAATTTCAATTGTTATTCGGTATTAGGGATTACGGAATTGGGATCGGTATATACCAAAATACAGATCAATACCGAAATATAAGCTAGTGCGTATTTTATCCTCTCAACTAGAATCTCTCATTCACTATTACACGACCCTCAACCACCAAGAGTGTCATTTAATTATACATAGATCATTTCATCACTATTAATAGTCGTCTCTCTACCTCCAATTCATCAAATTAATAATTACCAATGACAAGAACTTGAGATGTCTCCCCTCCTCCATTCTCCTTAATAATATCATAATTCAACACTCTTTGCTTAGTCTTTTCCCCCTAAATTAAACAATAAAATCTCATTTATATACTTAATTATTAATTGTAAAGGTAATTAAATTTGTAATCGATAATACCGATTGGGATACCGAAGTACCGATTGGGATACCGGAATATTTAGGGATTGGGATTGGGATACCGAAATTATTTAGGAATTAGAATTGGGATTGTGATTGAAATTGACTTTAGGAAGTAATTCGGTATCCAGAATTTCGGTATTTGGTATTGAGATACCGATATCGTATCAATTTCCACCCTACTAACTAGTGCCCGCCAAGCGGCCCAAACATCCCGCGTCGTTCGTCCACGTAGCGTGAGACCAATGAAACCAAGCCACGTGTATCACCCGCATCACTGATCGAAATGGTTCCGCCGCGGAAAAATCTCTGCCACTTTTCATTGTTCGGTCATCTCCGCCGGGCGGGAAATCGGCGATCGACGGCGGCGGGAGTTCCAGCTACTGCGGCAGCCATGTCCCGAAGCATCTCGTACGTAACGGGAACCCAGCTTGTCTCTCTCAAGCGCCTTCCCAACATCGCCATAATCGATGTCAGGTAAATCAATTCTTCCTCGCGCCGATAATAATCAAGATACCGATGCATTTTGGTTGATTCTTTTTTGGGGGGTTGTGAATTTGTCAAAGAGACGAAGAGAGGAGCTACGACGGGCATATAGCCGGCTCGCTTCACTACGCCAGCGGTAGCTTCGGCGATAGGATCTCTAATCTTGTTCAGGAGGTCAAAGGGAAAGACACCCTCGTCTTCCATTGCGCGTTGAGCCAGGTCCGGTTTTCGATCGAGCTAATTATGTTTCCCCCCAATTATCGATTAGGGTTTTCCGTACTTTGGTCAGAAACAGGGTGGTTCTACTTTGGATTGTAGCTCTTCAACTAGCAACTGTGTGTTCCGTGGTAGCTTGATCTAGTGTTTCATCGCGTCTGTCTTCGTTCATTTGGTGAATTCAGCTGGGTTTTTGTGCGGCCTGTGATAGTTTTTTTGGAAAATGTGGAAGTAGAGGATCCATCAATGCATCGTGAGTGTTCTTATTCGGGGGGAGAGAGAGGGCACAAGTCACTGGACTGCATATAGCTTATCTTGGTACATTAGTGGATGCTGTGAACTTGCACTTTGGAGGGTGGGATTCAAGTCACTTATAACTGAGGGTCAGTGGAAATGTGAGTGAGAAGAAGAGGGCAGAGGTCCACAAAGCTTTTAGCTTTACTAAGTAGTCGTATATCATGGTAGATCGATGCAGGTAAATTCAGAAACTTTCTGCAGTATGAGAGTAGTATATCAGGGTAGACTCTAATAGGCTTGAGGAAAGATCGGCCTTTTCGCCAAATGATTGAACCTTGCTAACTTCTGTAGTTTTTCCTTAGAACAGCTTGGTTTCACGGTGTTCCTTACTTCAGTAGTTATCAACTCAGGTATGTTTTACTTGGATCATTGGCCTATTGATCAAGACAAATCGACTCTTCATACTTGAATGGTCTCTGAACATGTTTAGCTCTCTGGAGTTTGTTGGTCGGATGCATGGTTGTTCACCCTTGTAGTTTATCTTAATCTTGGCACTGCACAAATCTCTAGTTTCTTACACAAGAATAGCCCAACAGTGTATTTTTGAACTGAAGTGCTAAGCTGGTAATCTTGCTCTTTATGTCAAAACAAGCCTAATCGAGATGCTATAGATGTCCACCAAGTACGTTGTCTTAAGATTGCATATTGTTACCCGAAATAGATAAACATTCCTTAATCTGGTGACGATATGTCTCCACTTGGGGAATTCATGTTCAGGAATAATGCTTTGATGAGAAGAAGAATAACTTACTAAATACCAATGACCATATTTCTGGGAACACAACTAAGCACAAGTATCCATTATCTGCAGGTTCGAGGACCGAAGTGTGCAAGAAGGCTGGCGAATTATCTCGACGAGTTGAAGGAAGACACGGGAATAAAAAACGTGATGGTGCTAGAGCGCGGCTTCAATGGCTGGGAGGCTGCTGGTAAACCTGTTTGTCGCTGCACCGATGTTCCTTGCAAAGCTGGATGTCAGTGATTGAATCATCAACAGCTCTATACAAGGCAGTTTAGTATCTACGTCCCAGCTAAAGAAGCAACTCAGTCGCACTATCATTGCTTCGCATAATGTGGTACAGACGATTCATCATCATCAACTCTGTCTAAGCATTTTGGTTGTTACTGTAATGATCCAAAATCTTGTCTGCCATATGCTCCATGTAAGCATATTCTGGTAAACAATGTAACTATGAAAGATCTGCCAAATCCTGGAATTTTCTTTTATATGTTTGTAACAAGGTACATTTGGTTCCGCCAACGAATTGTCTGATTGCTACGTAATGTGGTTTGTATTTGCCAGCGCTTTGTTTGGACAGAGTTGATGATCTTTCTTAGCTTGTGAAGTTGTGATGTTCCACCATATGCCAGAAGTTGTAGTAGACTGAATTGGTAAACTAAAGAGAACAAATTGGTAGGACTAGATAAGAAATGAAAAAAGATTGTGGATGAAAATTGGACAAAAGAAAATATTAGGTACTGTTTGTGTTGTGTGTCGGTAAACGATGTCGTAAAGTTGGCTAAAGTTTGCCCGTCTCTAATTGGCGGAAAGCCGTCATCGATTCGCGGTTTCTTCCTCTGCTGGCTTTCAGTTTCACATTTTGGTCGACAAGACTTCGATTTCTTGGCAGAGCCTCCTGAATTCTCGTGGGAAAAAAGTTCGTAACTTCTGAATCTTTTCGAACTCGATTCCGCCATAGTCAACTGTGCTTCGATTCTTCAACTAAGGGTTCGTTCAGGAAAAGGAGAAGAAGAGAAGATGGTAAGCGTCTGACCTAGTCTCAATTTTGTCCACTCCCCATGAATGGATTCGAATTCGATCTCAATTCTTGTTTACGGAATCAGGTTTTCTGCGTGATGTGTCTGTTGCCGCTCTTCCTCATCCCGATCGTTAATCTACTGCCGCAGCTCTTCGATTTGATCATGGTAAGGGTTTTCACATGACTCGAACCGAATCTTCTTTTTCTGGTTATGGATTGGATTGAGGGAGTCGCCGGTGTTGCTCGTTTGTTGACTTTTCGAGATGTTGTTTTGTGTTAGGCGAAAATTTATGCGATGTTTGGATGGGAGTACAGGAAGCCGGAGAGGGCTCCTCCGGCATGCCCTTATAAGCCTGCCGCCAGAAAGGACGATGGTAGCAATGTAAGTTCAAAAAAGCCGATTTGCTCTTTCTTTCAGCTCAATTCACTCTCAGATAGTATGCATTGAATAAGACTCTGAGGTCTCTGTTTGTTGAGTTGAATCGGATTAGATCGGATTATATCTTTCACAGTTGTCTTAGCTTCTTGTTTTGAAAAATTTTGTTTAGCTTTGCAGCATCTTATCATAATAGTTGAAACCTGTATCCTTTCTATTGCTACAGTTAGTTTTATGATCGGAGTATCCATAGTTGGCACTGCCTGAGAAACATTAGAACTTGGATAGTATGGGATTTAGACTAGTGGGGTTGGAAGTTTGCTCAAGAAAATTTATGCCTTGATGAAGAAATGTTGAAGATGGGGATTGAGGAAACTGTAGGGGATGTTAGAATGTGAATCATTTCAAGGAACGCTTTGTCATAATTTATCGGTCTTTGACACTTTCTGACTGTTTTCACATGTTTGTGTGATAGCTTCTGTTGTGAACCCTTTTCTTATTTCCTTTGCTCTGGGGATCGCCTTGCTATGAAGTGGTATTTTTTCTGAGTTTCTGGTTTATTCACGGGTACTAAAGTCATTGATTGGTTGTGCTGTGGAGCAGGTTGTGATGGAAAGCTTACCTGGGGATCACCCACCGGTTCAGAAACCTGTGGAAGTAGGAAACGGGAAGGAGGACTGATACTTGTACGCACGTTCAGACAATCACTCTCCCACCATCAAGAAGGATCTCCAACGCCCATGGGAAGAAAAACTAATGCTCCGAGGTTCCTTGTACTTTTGTTATCCTCGTGTCGAGGTAAATCTTGTGTAATTGAGAATACGTGCAAGTGCTGAAATGATAATTCTGCTGCTGTTTGTGTATTGAATATACTTGAAAGTGCTGAAATGGAAAATCCTGCTACTGTTTGTGCAAAATGAGTGAACTGTGATACGCAAGTATATATGTTATTGATATGATGCGATGCTGAGGTGATAAATTTATGCAGAACTGCTTATGTTATTACAGGTCATGCTTATGTTATTAAGATCTCGTGTTTGTTAGAATCCATGTATCATGTTTGTACCATACTGTTATGATCGTAATCCTGGTTAATATCTCTTGTCGTGTCAACTAGTTATATCGATTGAACTAGAAGAAGTAATCAGGTTAAGTATGATCTTATGACGAGTTTTCTTCTCTTCAACGTCCCATTTTGCTTAGTTCACAAACATTGTTGATACGACCTAAGCCGGACTCTCCCCATTTACAGAACCTCGGCATTTTCATCTAGTAACAGAGAATCTCTAACTACAATGGAAGCACAGAAAGAGGAAACTTATTGCTCAAAAAATGTAATTTAGGAGAAAATCATGCAAGATATCCAATTCTCTCCCGTCTTCATTACCTTTACCTCTTAATTCCTTCTCTTTTGGCAAGTCATAGAACTTTGAAATGCAGAAAGGCAAAAACCTTAGGGCTCGTTTGCTTGTTGGATTTGAAAATGAAGGTTTTGAGTTTCAAAAACCTTTGGATTTATGATGGATTTGTTGCATCATGGATTTGGAAGAGTACATTGTTTGTTTAGTTGATTTTTTATCATGGATTTGTGATGGATTTGTCTCACATTTTTTCCTTCCATTGTCAAATCCCAAATGAAATGTGGGATTTACAAATCCGTGGGGTCCACGGATTTGGATCTAAAAAATGGGTCCAAATCTGTGGACCCCACGGATTTGTGTCCCTCAACAAACAAAGGATTTGTGTCAACTCCATGATGCTTGGGATTTGGGTTCCAAATCCATCACCCAAATCCCACAAGCAAACGACCCCTTAGTCATTGACTCTGTTGCTTAAATTTGGCTGTGCTTTGATGAATCCCCTTCCATTTTTACTACAAAGCTGGGGCTAAATTCCAGCATACGCATTCATGGAACTCATTTCAAGGCTGGATTCCTTCCCCCCACTAGCCATCAAATGATCGCCACTACTTCCTTTCTGGATGAACGTTACCATAAACAGAGGAAGACTAGAAAAAGTAAACTCTCTATGTTCTATAAAAACCCATATTCTCCACCTCGGATTGTTTTGTACGTCGTTCTCATTCACCTCATCTTTAGTAATCTCGTTACACAATTCTCTTTGTTTCGTTCTAAATAATGGCACTTTGCCACAGAGAGGAATTCTGGCTTGATCCGAGTTACCCGCGCATTTCTACTCAAGACGCTCTCGACGAAGCATGGCGTTTGATTGCAGAGGACGAGGAGGAAGAAGAAGGAGAATCCAACGTTCATGTCAACGTAGATTCTGGTTCCTCCAAGAATGATGCTGCAATACTTACAAAATCGAAGTCCAAAATTCGCAGTGGCTTACAGAAGGTGGTGAAACAGCTCGTTTCGCCCGGTTCAGGTTTGGGTTTGGTTAGCTCTCTCTTGAGACTCGGTAGGTCAAGGAAATCAAGCAACAATGGTGCTTCTTCTTCTTCAGGTTCTTCATCTTCCGCAACTGAGTGTCCCCAGTCCTCTGCCTGTCAGGAGTTGGCTTCTGCAGACTACGTAGTTCCGCATGAAACCAAGCGTTTGTTTCGTGATTCTGCAGCTTCTGCATCCAGCTCATCGACTGGTACCTCTGATGAAGCCAGCACTGAGGAATCCTCATTCGAAGCGGATTCATCAACTTCGTCAGTGGCTGCAGCACCTCCGGAAAAGACAGTTCGTCACACCGTCGTCTCCCCTCCTAGACAAGACTTCCTGACGATGGAGCCCAACCTCCCTGTCGTCTTCTCCGTCGTTCCCAAAGTGGGCAAGGTGGAGCAGCGATTCTTGGCTAGCTTCATGAAGAGAAAGAAGGAACCCAAAAAGAGCACTCCATTGCCAGTAGCGTTATGTTTTCCAGTTCTATGGCCTTAGCTAGAGATAGAGGAAGCGCATTGAAATTTTGGTCAATCCAAATAGATATAGTTAGGTGTTACACATACGAAAATGTTTATTTTCTCCCTCTAATATGGATGAATTGTTTAATGCTTTCGCAGCATTGTACAATACGTATTCTGGAAATCAACGAGCAAAATACATAGTCGCGAAATATAGCTTAAATGTTCAAAGGAACTGTTGATATGACTTGAATCGGATTATCAGCCGCTACGACTGGTAACCGGGGGTCTCGCTGTCCGGTCAGCGAGTGGGGTCCAGGGGCAACGCCCCGGTGGGGGTGCGGGGGCAGCGCCCCCGGCCCACGGTGTATGAGCTCAATGTTATTTGGGTTCGGGTTCTGGGCCTGGTCTGTAACCGTTTCCTTTGCTATATTGGATTAGGTTTAGACCCACATGGAGAAGTACTATAAATACTTCTCATACTCCTCTGTAATCTGTAATCTCCTCGATATAGTGAAACTGGCTCTCTCTCGCCCGTGGACGTAGCTAACACACATCGTGTTAGTGAACCACGTAAATCGTGTGTCTGTGTCTTTCGATTCTCGCTCTCGTATTCTTGCTTTGTCGATTCCGGCGATTTCCCGATCCGTAGCAGCGCGTTTATAACAGGAACCATTACAAACCATCACAAATAAGAATGGGGAAGACATTGAAGAAAAATAATGTTACAAACCAATGGGGGGAAAAGAAATCCAACTACAGAAATTTGGGCAACCCTAGATTTTAAGGTCCGAACTGGCCAGCAAAAACTATACATTTTTTCTTAGTTACTACACTTTGCTGATGGTAAAGTGTACCTGAGAGCTAGGGTTTCTTGTGTGCTGTATAGTGGTTTCAGAGCTTCCAGTAAATGCCCAGTTTGTGCAGGACTCCTGAGACCACTGCCCAGAATGTGATTTGTGCAAATATCACGTACAACAAGGTTCCCACCCGCTCCGACTTCCACACGTCATTGAAAACGTGGTCTTGGATCCAGTACACCTGCGCAAAACAATGCGGGGGAAATGCTCTTCAACTCTATAGCAATTACGTACTAAGGAATGGTTGATGAAATCATGTGCTTCATCGATGAGATTGCGCGAAAAATCAGAAGAGGGCCAGAACAGAGAATCGATCCCCGTGACTTACGAGGGTGTTGTCGGGGGACTTGTAGAACCAGCCATTGATGAACCCTTCAAAGATGCCTTGAGCAGCCATGACGTAAACCAGCATCGCGTTCATCCCTATCCATTCGAGAAACAGAAATGGTATCCTCCATCCCCACATATCGATCTGCTCGAACATAAAATTTGCAGCAGAGGATCAAAACAGGCTATTTTGGTCGACGACGAAGAATTCAGATGTGAGGGTGGCAGGAATGTTTAGTTATTTACCAGTATGTAGAATCCAGAGAACACTAGACCGGCAGCTCCACCGGTGAAGCAGACGTAGCTGAAGCTGTAGAGCTGTTTGTTCATCGGAATAGCTGCAAATGATCAACAATCAAGTGAGCCAATTTAGGCATTTTTTTTACTTCAGTTCGTTGCACTGTCATTTTTCAGATGGAAGGAAGAAAGGAGGCTTACCGTCAGTGAAGTGAAGAATGATGGCGATGATGAGCAGGCCTACGGCCATTGAAACCCATTGTTTGAGCCTCTCGGAATTCTCCTGCATTGCAGTTTTGGTAGTTGCTAGTTTTAGAAACAGAAGAGGAAAACGGTAGGTTCAAAAGAACGAGGAAGCGGAAGTTGTAACCTTGAAATGGATCAAAACATGTCCATAATGAATGCCAATGGTGCCAGACAGGATGGCAGAAATGGAACTGAGCAAAAAAAGATATGAGCAACCAGTCAGTTACTTCCATCTCAAGATTCATGGTTGAATGTAATCTCAAACTTAGCATCTTAATCAGAGTGGATATGATAACTTACCTCAGCAAGCCTTCGGGTTCGAATGGGCCATGGCACCAAGCAGGAGCATCATCGCGGAGATCACCTGACCTCGGAGCACTGACAGTGCAAGCCTTTGAAGAAGAATCACACTTGAGTTTTAGGCGAACTCGATAGATTGCATCACTAAATTGGGTGATGAATATGCTGGGAATATTTCAACCTACCTTGAGCCGACGCCATTCGGGACCACCGTAGAGATGGTTAACACCCCAGACTGCTCGATCCACATGACCAACAGCATTGCAGGCTGGTCCTAGGTGACCCCTCATTCCGCAGTTCACCTGCAAATTATAGAGACAACCAACATTATTTTATGCGAAATATGCTTCTAATTCGGGGTCGGAAATTGTCATTGATCCAAACATCGATTCTGCCGGAACCGATCCGGGGTCGACTGAATCGTTTTCCCCTAGTTTTAGTAAACTACTCAATTTTCAAGCTGAGCTAAGAAATGGGCAGTGCCAAACCATATATCTCTTCTTTTCGTCGTGGTTCACAAAACTCCAGTCCGGAACATAGAGTGCAAATGTCGTGATCATGTAAACGAGGAAAGAAACGAACCCTCCAAGCCTGCAGTAAATTGCAGAGAAGATCAACTTCTGAAATAAGCTAAATGGTGAATGAACGCAGCTGAGCTGTAAGTTGTTTTCTCACCATTGCCATCTGTATACGGTGAAGATTGAGAAATGCCCAGGATTCAAGATCTTTTGTCTGTGCATGATGGTGAACGTCTCTATCAGAGCCACAATCATGTATACCAATGCAATTCTCTGGTTACAGCAGAATAATATTGAGATTCTCAGTAAGTATAAAATGTCTAAATTCCTATTCTGTCAACAACAACAACAAAAACTTGCAGGGTTGCGAAGGTTAGAGATAGACCTGGAGAATGCCACACCATCTGATCAGCTTCATGTCTACTCCATAAGCGAGGTCACTTGGAGCGTGTGAATATCCTCCTGTAATCCATCAGGTTTTAGTCTACAGCATATTTATCGGAACTACTCCACAGATTGCAACTAGCCTTCATGGTCCCTATAAGTCTTACTCTAGGCTAAGAGAATGAGGTTATGAATGGAATATCACTACCTTGCAACAGAACTCCCCAAAAGAGAAGCTTCAATGTCCTTGTGAGTATCCTCCTTACGGCATCCCTCTTCTTAGGTACTCTCTACAACATTGACATCATAAAACTTAAGCAACTCTCAGCAGCTACATTATTACTGAACAAAGAATCAGAAGAGAAGTTGGAGTGAGGGAATAGTGTACCTTTAGTGCCAGAGCTATTGCCATGCCAACAATGAAGAGGAAAAAGGGCATCACAAAGTCTGCCAATCTACAGCCATTCCATGGTGAATGATTAATCTGAGGGTATGATTCTCCGGCATCATCCACCAGAATCATCAACTGCAGATAGATTCATGCAAACCTCTATCAGGAACCAAACATGCCCTCAGCCATTAACCAGTAATGTTAGGCAATGAATCTGGAAATGTTAACCCAATCATTCTGACACTTACCACTACTGTTAGCCCTCTGAAGACATCCAAAGTTGCAACCCTCTTGCTCTTCTGCTTTTCAGGCTGCTGCTCTTCTTTTTCTTCAGCTTCCGGGTGTTCAGAAACTTCATTCTGCTTTTCTGCGCTTCCAAGTGATTCCCTGTGGGTAAGCCCTTCTTCCAGATTCTTGGGATTCTCCATTGCTTCGTGGTAATGAGCCTTGGTATTGGCTACACGAATGTTTAGTGGGGCTACAGTTGATAACACTGGCAAACAATATATGAGGCAGAGAGCGGCCTTGGGAATAAGGAAAGCCGGCTGATAAAATCATAAAGGACAGAAAAGATGATGTGTCAGAGAGGCCAATAGAAAGTTCTTAGCAGTCACCAGCTAACCAAACGCAAGGCAACGGTCCAGTTCAAATATTGGATAGTAGTCAGCTGTCAAATCCACATTCTTTGTTTACTATGAATCTTAGGACATGATATTGCTTCAGAGAGGCTAATCAGTGCCGGGTGCAAAATGGCAACAGCCAAACAGAACTCAACAGCAAAGGTTGATTACGGGATCACTGTCGTTGTCGTTTTCAGTAACAGCCAGTGAAACAATCCATTGAACTTGGTTTCTCTTTAGTTAAAGCTAGCTAAAAACTGGAAAAAAACACCATAAAGGTTAATTGCTTTGAGGTATCCGCTGCCCAAGTTTCAATCAATTCTACTAATCATTTCTTAATAGTAGCATGTTTGAGGTAATTACCTACGTTTGAATCTTTTCTTGACAGAAACAGTAAGAACTTGTACTAAATAAATAGTTAACAGCGTAGGTAGATGCACCGCACGGTCTAGTCTGATCCATGCATTTGTCAGTTTCCACCTCACTTTCAAGCCAGCTGAAAAGGAGAACCTTCCTGAAGTGGCAAATGTCAGTTCCCTGTTCTGCCTAAAAGTTTCTCCAACTCCAACTTCATAATTTTAAATCCAATTGGTTGACGTAATTCAGGAATAAACAATTCTTCAACTAGTCTTAGTTTATGAGCGGAAGTACCTAGTCAAAATTATACACTTTGCCATCGAGAAGAAAAATTAGTATCAAATTCCTGAGAAGAACACTTATGTACCTGGAAGAAACACAGAAGAAAGCACGAAGCTTTGTCATGGTAACAGATCTTTCAGAGCCCTGCAAGAACAAGGCCAGATATGGATATTACTATGTTTCAAACAGAAATCACATGCAGAATTGGTCTTGTTAGGAAGTCTCATTTCATATCAAGCCATCTTGATAGTGAGCGGTTACGTAGACAACAAATTTAGTGTGGAAAATGTCAGTTTCGGCCGGCCGAAATAATGCACAGACTAATATTATAATTCAGCTTTTGATTCCTGTCCAAACAGGTATAGCCAACCAACTCCCCGCCAAATGATTTCAATTTCCAGTAATAGACAAAATGTCTTGCACATAAATTAGCTCACAAAAGCTTCACAACTTGCACTTGAGAAATCGTTATACATATGTATACTTTTAATGGATAGTTAACTGAGCTTCTTAGTTCACTGAAAGTTTGGTAATTAGTTGCTTTCATATGTGCATAAGGGAAGGAATTCTATGAGCTCTAATTCTACCAAATAAATACCCAATGACAGAAACTCATCCTAGAACAAAAGCAATCAATTACCTCTTTCAGAAGCCTCGCAGGAGGGGAATAGGAAATACTTGCAATGCCTGCTGAGTTCCAGAGTTGGAAGGGAGTCAAAGCCTTCACCTTCCAAACCCTCTCGGGGAGATGGTTCATGGTATTTGCCTCCCTCCTGATCATGTCTGTCAACGGCACAAGCTACATGTTCGGCCTCTACTCAGGAGACATCAAATCATCACTAGGCTATGATCAAACCGCACTCAACACTCTCAGCTTCTACAAGGACTTGGGAGGCAACCTCGGGTTTCTAGCAGGCCTTATCTACGAAATCATCCCACCATGGATGGTCATCTCCATCGGATCAATCATGAACTTCTGCGGCTACTTCCTCATCTGGTTATCCATCACCAGCCGAATCCCAAACCCGCACCTCTGGCAAATGTGCCTCTACATGTGTATCGCCACAAACGCTGCTTCCTACTCAAACACTGCAGCTTTGGTCACTTGTGTCAAGAACTTCCCCGAGAGCCGTGGCAGTGTGATCGGCCTGCTGAAAGGGTTAATCGGGCTGAGTGGAGCTATCATCACGCAGATTTACCATGCTTCATATGGGAACAATTCCAGCTATGCGATCTTGCTCGTTGCTTGGCTACCCGCCATTGTTCCCTTGCTGTTTCTGCCAGTCATTCGAACCATGAAATTTGATCGACACCAGAAGGAGCTGAAAGTTTTCTACCACTTCCTCTACGTTGCACTTGGGATTGCTGGTTTCATCATGGTTATCATCATCATTCAGAACAAGTTCAGTTTCAGAAGAGCTGAGTACATCACAACAGCTTCAGTTGTTACCTTGGGATTGCTTCTACCATTGGCCATTGTAGTCAGAGAAGAATTCAAGCTATGGAAGAGCAAGAAACAAGCAATGAATAGCCAAACAGAACTCAACATCGTGGCTGAAAATACAATTCTACAAGCAATTAGTCCAAATCCCCCAAAATTGAAGCTAACACTATTGACCTGGTTCACACAGATATTCAATCAACCAGAAAGGGGAGAAGACTACAGCATCTTACAAGCGGTTTTCAGCATCGACATGGTGATCATCTTAATCTCGACGACTTGCGGCGTCGGAGGCGCGCTGGCGGCAATCGACAATCTTGGTCAGATCGCCGCATCTCTAGGCTACCAGAAGCGCACAATTTCGACATTCATCTCGCTCGTAAGCATATGGAACTTCCTCGGACGAGTACTCGCCGGGTTCGCCTCGGAGATCCTGCTGGCGAGACGGAAATTCCCTCGTCCGCTGCTTCTCTCCTTCGTCATCTTGCTCTCTTGCGTCGGCCACCTCCTGATCGCATTTGGAGTCCCGAACTCGCTCTACTTCTCCTCCATCCTCACCGGATTCTGCCTCGGCGCGCAGCTGCCGCTGGTCTCCACCATCATCTCCGAGATATTCGGGCTCAAGCACTTCGCCACGCTGTACAGCGTCGGCTCAATTTCCAGCCCCATCGGGTCCCTGATCTTCAACGTGAAAGTCGCCGGCCTTTTGTACGACGAGGAAGCTACGAAGCAATTGGAACGATTGGGACTCGCGAGAGAGCCTGGCGAAGAGCTGAAGTGTGCCGGAGTGAGCTGCTTCCGCTCGGCGTTTCTCATCATCGCGGCTGCGAGTTTTCTAGGTTTTCTCGTTTCGATCGGCTTGGTCTGGCGCACGAAGGAGTTTTACAAGAGCGACGTGTACGCGAAGTTCAGAGGAGAGAATGAAGCTGCATCTTCAAGCGAGACTGGAGAAGGCGCCGTAGAAACAACGCCGACAACCGGCGATCTCAAGTAAATTACGGATGATATCCGACTCCAAGCCAAAGGCTGTGAGAACCGCGAAATTTGGAATTGGAAATGGAGAAGATTTGACGTGTTAACATTTTAAAAATTATATAATTTTCTTTTTCCCTGCTACAATTTGCTTACTTCTGGACTTGGGCCGCTTGCTTTTATGTAATTATGGGCCGATGAACTAACGAGTTTTTCTCTATGGGCCTCAGTTGAGGGTAGAGGGCCAAGCCCAGCCCAACAATCAGCAGTAAGGGTGTGTTTGGATGTGCTCTTTTAGAACCACTGTCCACGGCGGCAAGAAGGTCATTTTGACACTCCAACTTTCTTAATTTAGCGACTTGGACGCAAAAAACTTTATATCGGGTCAAATCGATAAATGAAAAATCATAATAGAATTTATTGATCTGACGATAAATATAGTCATTTTGACACGTCATAGGCCACATCATCATCTTTGTTTTATCGGGTATATTTGATTTTCCACGTGGGCTAGTGGTTGGTTCGTATAGGCATCATCCGGCATGAAAAATGAGTTCCTTTTTCACGGGCAATAGTTGGACGGACGTCATGATCACTTACAGTTACGTACAGAGCTTTAATAGCTTTTTCCAGCCGCATGCATGCAGATTTTACCTGTTTTGTTGCGGCCATACTAGTTGACGACGACTCGGCGCAGCTCTCTGAAAAGGTGGCCGAATATAGCCAGATAAACTTGAACAATAAGATATGGATAACGAGGAACCGAAAACAACCTACATCGATCGCATTCATACGTAACTGCATACCTCATGCATGCATTATGCTTCAAAAATATTTAAGTGTCGAAAGTAGGATTCGGAACAAAAAGAGTTAGAAATTTAAAAAAATATAGTAACCAATTATCTCAGTTCCTTTTTAGAGTATATTGGGTATGATGACTTGCAATTCATCATGATTTGGAAAAAATAATCTCTCTTTCACAAAGCGCTTAACCATACTTGAGAAACTTTTCATTTATGCTTCTGCCTTTTTACAAATTTTAACTAACTTAGTAGCAAATGTATATATTAATATTGGACTTCTCAAATTATACATGATGATGTCATTAGCAATGATTCATCAGCCGACCAGTTGTTGGAAGCGGTAGGCAGCTTGATGCAAGAGGTAATCCAATTTTTTGAATAGTGGTGGACTGCTAAGTGAACGAGGTAGACCATTTCTCCGAAACACCACTTCAAAGTCCTACTATTTAGCGTTGATTTACCATATAATTTTCATTTCATAAGATAACATCAAATATCAAAAGAGGATACAGCAACAGACTGAACACTACGCGTAGATCTACCACTGCTTTTACATCCGGATGAATCTGAGCACTGGACTTTCTTCTTATTTCTTACAAAATATCCAAATTTAGACAAATAGTTTATGGATACTAATATACTAAAATGTCATTAGTTATACTCCTAATCATATAATCATCATCTTATCCTTATCCACAACCAAAATTTGGAAACTCGACGAGGATAACGCAAATCACCAAAACTACGGAGCTAATTTTAGTAACTATCATTATTATGGATATTATGGATCATATGATCTCAGAAAACAACTATAAAAGTAAACATTATAATTGACCCCGTCCAAATCTTTGCTTACTTATCCTCATCACCACTCACTTTTATCCAAATCTCCTCCCCCACACACTCACTCACTCAACGAACGAACCAATCGGAGATCCAGCACCCAAACCTCAAAAATGGCCGTCGAAGCACCCAACGGCGACGGAGGAGGCGGAGGCGGCGGAGGAGGATGTCTCCCGCAGAAGAGCTTCCTCCGCCAAGTCCTCCTAGGCCGGTGGTTCATGTTCTTCGCCTCCCTCCTCATCGAAGCCGGCTCCGGCGCCACCTACATCTTCGGCATCTACTCCCACGACATCAAATCCTCACTGGGCTACGACCAATCCACCCTCAACCTCCTCGGCTTCTTCAAGGACCTCGGCGGCAACGTCGGCGTCATCTCGGGCCTCATCAACGAGGTCTCCCCACCGTGGGTCGTCCTCCTCATGGGCGCCGTCATGAACATCTCCGGCTACCTCGTGATCTGGCTCGCCGTCGCCGGAAAAATCCCCAAGCCCAAAGTCTGGCAGATGTGCATCTACATCTGCGTCGCGGCCAACTCCCAGACGTTCGCCAACACCGGCGCCCTCGTCACCTGCGTGAAGAACTTCCCCGGGTCACGCGGCGCCGTTTTGGGGTTGTTGAAAGGCATGGTCGGGCTGAGCGGCGCCATCCTCACACAATTCTACCGTGCCTTCTACGGCGACGATTCGAAAGGTTTGATCTTGTTCATCGGGTGGTTGCCGACGTTGATCTCGTTCGTCTTCCTCCGTACGATCCGGATCATCGAGATCCAACGGCTGAAATCCAAAGAAGAAGGCCGATCTGAGATGTGGATTCTGTACCGAATCCTCTTCGTCCTCCTCGCCCTGGCCGGTCTGCTCATGGGTTTGATCATCGTCCAGAACCAGTTCCGGTTCAACCGGTCGGCTTACATCGGGAGCTGTGCTCCCGTCGTGCTCCTCCTCTTCCTCCCACTCGCCGTCGTGGTCAAAGAAGAATTGGACGTACGTAACAGATTACGTACGTCCAATTTCGCCGCTCCAGTACTTGCCACGGAGACTCCTCCGGAGGGGAGATCCCCGCAACGACAGCAGCCGCAGCAGCAGTCAGATTCGGTCGGATCTGGCTGCGCTGCAGGGATCTGCAGTCCTCCCGCGAGAGGGGAGGACTACAGCATCCTGCAGGCGCTGTTCAGTGTGGACCTACTGGTACTCTTCGTGGCGACCACTTGTGGTCTGGGTGGGGTGCTGACCGCGGTCGACAACCTGGGCCAAATCGGGCACTCGCTGGGCTACCCGCAGCAGAGCGTGACCACGGCCGTGTCCTTGGTCAGCATCTGGAGCTTCTTGGGCCGGGTCGGGTCCGGGTTCGGGTCGGAGGTCCTGATCTCCAAATACCGGTTCCCCAGGCCACTCTTCTTCACCTTAATCCTCCTGCTGGCCTGCGCGGGCCACCTGCTGATCGCGTTCAGCGTGCCGTACTCGATCTACGTGGCGTCGATCGTGATCGGGCTGTCGTTCGGGGCGCAGTTCACGATGCTGTTCGCCATCATCTCCGAGATCTTCGGGCTGAAGCACTACGCCACGCTGTACAACTTCGGGGCGGTGGCGAGCCCGGTCGGGTCGTACGTGTTGAATGTGCGGGTGGCGGGTTATTTGTATGATAGGGAGGCGTTGAGGCAGATGGCCGAATTGGGCCTGACGAGGAAGGAAGGGGAGGAGCTGACTTGTAATGGGCCCAATTGTTTTAAGTTGGCCTTTTTGGTGGTGGCCGGAGTGACGTTGTTAGGGGCGGTGGTTTCGGTTGTGTTGGTGGTGAGGACTTGGTCGTTCTATCGAGGGGATATTTACAAGAGGTTTAGAGAAGAAGGGTCGGGTGCGGAGGAGGAGGGAGGTGGTGATGAGGTGGCAGCGGCGGCGGAGTCGCCGGACAATGTCCGGAGGAGTACTTAGTTGTGTTGAATGTGTAAATTGTGGGTTTTAGTGTTTTTTGGAGGAGATATATATAGATTGATAGTTTAGCAAGAGGGTTACAAAAGGATTTGGGAATGTAGTTAATTATTACTCTTGTTGTGAAACCTAGGGATATTGTATTTGTATGGCCACTACCTAGACATGAAATGCAAGTTTTCTATCTCATCCCTTTGTAAATGTTACCTTCAATTTGGTCACAAGATTCACATATATTAGGGATTTACATGGCAAGACGATGTTTTGGATAAAAAAAAATTATTTATCCATTCTATGTATGATAATCGTCCGAAAGTGAGGGAAAGAGAAGAGGAGTTTATATAAATTGGGGGTTGAGGGGACATCGACGACCAATACTTCTCTCAAAGGAGATGTCATTCGTATCATCTGAAAGTATCCCATTCAGCTCGAGTACTTTGAAAGACAGACCATAACTTTGTTATTATTATTATTATTACGTATACACGAGAAATACATATCGATCAACAATTCTATGCATGCTTGAGTTACGCCTAACCAAATTAGACGCTAGACAAATTCTCGATACCTGCCTTATGCTTCATGAGGAATTTTACAATGCTATATAGTATTGGTGCTATAGGTTTTTTGCCTTGATGGTACAACTTGAAGTTGTACCCTTTAACGTTATGGTACAATTTCGGATTGTACTGATACTCATTGGTACAAATTCTTTTATAGAACGACTTGAACTTGTACATTTATTTGATGGTACAACTCAAGTTGTACATAACATAAGGATACAAATTCCTTTATGGTACAAACTGAACTTATACATTTAACATTATAGTACAACTTTAAGTTATACATTAAAATACCAATCTTTTCTACTATAGCAGAAATGTTCTATGCTTTTAACACCTTCTTATCCTTGATTTTACCTAAGTAGGATGTTTACAGCGATTTATATTTGGGAAGACTTGGATGTGAACCATGTCAATGCATGGATGGGACTTCAAATGATGCAGACCTTTTTAGTGAGCTGTTGAACGAGGAGGACGAAAAAGGGAAAAGCTGGTGTCAATATGTAGCTAAAAAGGATCAAGAAGCCCAGTTTTAGATTGGGCCCCTTGTATGCTTCACTTATAAGTCACGGCGGCCCACGGTCATAACAAACAATTCTTACTTCTTTTGTATTTCGGTAGGACGACTGGCGGACAACTACTAACTCTTTTTAGTTTTTACTTCTTGACCACCTTATCTTTTATTTTCTCACAATTTCACTACAGTTTTATCTCTTCAGTTTTCTAATTGGTTGAGATGAGTTTATTAGATTAAGTTAGAAAAACACGATTGGGAGGAAATAAATACAAATCTGAGTTAATTAGTATTTAGTTGGGTGGCCACATGATTGATTAATTTCATGGGTGGATCATGAATCAAAAAATTTCTATACACACTTATTTTATTTGGGTGGGTTGTGGGTTATTCTGGGTCACTCGAATGATCCACACCTTTAACATGACAAAGAATTATTTTTTGTTTATGTTGTCAAATAGTTATCATGTTTTCTAACCGCACCGCACACTCATCATCGACCTCTAAAAAAACTAATTAAGAATATGTTTTGAGTTTAACTTCTATTATTGGCCAATGTTTGGTGTACCCACCTTAAAAATATTATTTTGTTTAATGTACATTAGATATTGAGATGAAAATTCAAATTTAACTAAAGTTTTTTAAGGAATTTAAATAAATTTTATTATAATTAACAGATAATAATCTACATCACAATATCTAACATATATTTGATATTTCACAATCTAGTAGTGATGGCAATTTGAAACCGTCTCGCGAATATACCTGACCTGTCCTTCCCTATCCCGCCCCGCTCTGTTCTTGCTCATTCTATCTTAATTTCTTACCGTATATATAGATATTTCTTCTATTTTTGCTTTTTCAACTTGTTAGAATCGATTTTTCAACTTGTTAGACTCAATTACCCATTCTAGTATCATTATTTTTCATTCATAAATTGTTTTCCACTTTCTTTTATTGTAAAAGGGTAAATTTTGAGTGTATTTTTTTCAGATAACATATCAGAGTGGGTCGACCAGCCCCACCTCGTCCCCGCGCGAGTTTTATCCGCCCCACCTCATTGTCATCACTACAATCTAGTTACCAATAGTAGTAATTAAAATATATTATTTATTTTCCTCCTTTATAAGTCGATAATCAGTGTATGATGTGTGTTAGAGCATATGATGACTATTTGATAATATAAAAAATGATTATTTATCATAGGAAAGGTGCGATTGGATAACTAGCAATCTACCCACCCAAATAAGTTATTTACGGATATGTCGTCCATAGCCCAAAAGTACTACTATGAATGGGGTTAATTGCATGGTTGGTCACTGAGATTACAAAAAACGTTCATGTTTGGTCACTAAAAATATTTAAATCCAGTCTTGATCACTCAAATTAGTTAAATGATTCAAGTTTGGTCACTCTCCGTCTATTTCCGTTAACTCCAGCTTACGTGGCAGTCAACTTTCATAGTTGACCGTTAAATATGTGACGTGGCAATTAAAAAATTATTAAAAATAAAAAAATAAACGTTTATATTTTCCACCTCATTATTACATTCATTAAAATATAAAAAAATAAAAAACCTAAAAACAACCCTATCTCCCAAATCCCAATCGCCCCCAACAAATGATTCACAACTCAACGGAATCAGGACTAACCCATTTCCAGAAATGCTTTCTAACAGTCACAGCTTGATCGGCAACCTTCTTATCCTCCGAATCCCCATACTCATCCCCTTCCTCTGTCACAAAATCGTCGTCCGGCAGCCCGTCCACAATCGCGTCCACCGAGTACAACATATATCTCGCCGGCAAACCAGGGTACGAAGCCGAACACCTCTCCTCCACCTTCTCCCTGTACGAACCCGACACAATCCGCACTTCCCCACCGGCAATCGACCCGAGCTCCTCTCGGATCGCCCGCAGGACGGCAGAATCAGGGCTCTCGTCGGGCTTCATCTTCTCCGACAAGGGCCGGTGCCGGCTCCTCACCGTCCCGTCGGAAAGCTCCTGATGCGATTCGATGAGGACCCGGTTGTTCTTCCCGATAATTTTCACGGTGGCGACGTTGACGGTGCGAATCGGAGGGGTAGAATCGGCGAGGGAGGTCTCGCCTTGAGAGATCTCGAGCCAGAGGTTGTGAACATTCTTCGTCCCCGGCTTGACCCCCCAGGAGGAGAAGGAATCGGAGGGCAATCGGGGCTTCAGCCAATCGGAGAGGGAATCAGGGTTAGCGAAACGGCGCCGGTTGTTTGGGTTTGAGACCGACATGGATGGGATTTGGAGGAAGCGGCGGCTGCGGCTGGAGGCGAGGAAGGGGATTTTCGGGAAATAGGGTTTGAGAGAGGCAGAGGAAAAAGAAGAAGAGAAGAGGATGGAGAGAGTTGTTAGGAAGAAGTCAGGGATGTTGATGTTGTTGGGCCTGTAGCGGCGAGGAAGGGGATTTTCGAGAAATAGGGTTTGAGAAAGATGAATCGATCGATTACATGGCCATGTGGTTCCGTTCAGAGTCTTCTGCTTCTCGTCTCCGAATACATGGCCGCCGGCAGCTTGTCGGTTGTTTTTCGTTTGGTTTCGGTTATTTTTAGGTTTTTTATTTTTTTATTTTTAATGAATGTAATAATGAGGTGGAAAATATAAAAGTTTATTTTTTTATTTTTAATAATTTTTTAATTGCCACGTCACGTATTTAACGGTCAACTATGAAAGTTGACTGCCACGTAAGCTGGAGTTAACGGAAATAGACGGAGAGTGACCAAACTTGAATCATTTAACTAATTTGAGTGATCAAGACTGGATTTAAATATTTTTAGTGAGCAAACATGAACGTTTTTTGTAATCTCAGTGACCAACCATGCAATTAACCCACTATGAATGCGAAGAAGTTCAAATCCAAACCGGAAAGGTTGATTGCAACCGATGTACCAGCAAGCACTAAAGCAATCAAAAGTCATTTTGGCTCTCACATATAGCTTCCATTTTCTTGTTTGGCACACCAACAGTTAGCTGTAAAAACCCTTATCCATTAAGGTTTTTGCACCAATGCTGTCCTCCACAAATTATTATTATTTATTTTCTTCTTCTCTCATTTTTTGGTTAACTATGAAGGAAGCTATATTGTCCTTTTCCTCACAAGTCAAAACAAAATTAATAACTAATTTGTGAAGGGGTTATTATCTAAGTACTCAAGCTACTAGTTCACTAATTTTCTAATAACTTAGGCACTCCAAGTCAAATATGTAAACTTTTGTATAACAAAGAAAACATATTTTCCCAACTCAAAATTCATTAGTTACAAAATATTTTCACATGATTCCGAGGTCAACTGAATCTACATCCAACTCGACCAATGTGTTGTTCAAAATTTCGCATACTTGTAAAAAAAATGGTGAAGTATTTAAATTATAATCGATACATTAAGTATAAGATAAGTGTAGTTATATACAAACTCGATCTATTTCATCGGAATGAAAAAAAATTCAAACTTCAAAGTGCCTAAATTGCTTGTCTGTAATGTTGCAATTTAAACGATTTAACGTATTGGTCGAATGAAACTTTAAGTTCGAATTAACATTTTCACAAAAATTTTCTTGAAAACACTCTTCTTTTAGTTGCTATCGAGGTTTGAAGGATGTAAAGGCAAATTGATCGTCCATATATTAGTTCACACATTTTTTGTAAGATGATATACGTTTACTTTTCATGTCAAGTGCTATTTAACGAATTTGAATTTGAGACATCGAGATTGAAAATCACTTATATTATCACTGGAGTAAACTCTAATTTGCTATATTAGCTTACACATGATCTAATTGGCACTATTATGATTTATGCATAAACAAGTTATTTTTTCACTTGATACTATTCAACACTTTCTACAAATTTGATAAAATTAGTTGAGTTAAAAAAAAACCCAAAACACCATCACAAGTGAATCCAATTGAAATAGGGGGAACAAAATCCCCATTTACTTTCATTGCTTTGGCCTTTGGTGGATTAGAAAGCATCAAAGCAATATATTTCGTAATCATGCCCTTCCAATTTGTTATTATTATTTCTCTTTTTGATTTATTCTCATTTTGTTCCCCCGAGTTTAAACATTTTTTTTTTCTCTTTCTTCTCTCTCATTTCCTTGATTATCTCCAAACAAACACGCTCCCACTCGCATCCTCTTTCTCTCTCATCTTCCTTTCTTCTCTTCCCCCTAAAACTACCAATTTCTCCTCTCTTCCTCCCTTCCCTTCCTCGTCGGATTAATCCAATCGGCCGCCGCCGTCGTCCGATACAATTAAACTGACCACCGCCAAAACTCCTCCGGCGATCGGTGCCGAATGACTCCTCATCCCAATTCGGGCACGCTCAATTTCCTCGGCAGCTCGATTGGAAACTCGGTACAATTGCTCCTTCAATCCTCCTTCTCTTAGATCCCTAATTGTATATGTCCCTCCTCCCAAATTGGATCTTTCAAGTAGTTGATTGAATCATAGGGAAAAGAGAAAGCTTGTTTCCCTTCCCGTTCATGGCGCCTCGATAAACGGCCGTCCTTCCGATCACCGCCTGAGCTGAAAAGGGATAGGGGGAAAAGGAGTCGGCTTGCTGGTTTTCTGTTTTGAAATATTAGGGTTAGGGTTGTATTGGCGGAGGGATGTTTAAGAAGATCATTAAAGGCGGGCGGAAGCCATCGAAGTCGGACGACGGGTTTGGGAACGCGGGGCACCACCGGACCGGGTCGGGTCCTGGCAATGTGGTGGTTAACCACGCTTCGCGGGGTGGTACCGGGGCGGCGGTCTCCACGCCGGCTTCTCCGGCGGTGACGAACCCGCCGCCTATGCAATCCGTGGAGCCTCTCCCGCTCTTCAGGGACGTCCCCGTGTCGGAGCGGCAGAATTTGTTCCTCCGGAAGCTCCAGATTTGCTGCTTCCAGTTCGATTTCGGGGACACTTTGAAATCGGTCAGGGAGAAGGAAATCAAGAGGCAGACTTTGCTGGAGCTTGTGGATTTCATTCAGTCTGGGTCGGGCAAGATCAATGAGAACTGCCAGGAAGAAATGATTAGGATGGTCTCTGTGAATATCTTTAGAAGCTTGCCGCCCAATTCCCACGAGAGCACGGGGCAGGAGCCTGCTGATCCTGAAGAAGAGGAACCATATTTGGAGCCTTCATGGCCTCATTTGCAGCTTGTTTATGAAATCGTGTTGAGATACGTCGTCTCTTCAGATACAGACACCAAGGTTGCAAAGAGGTATATTGATCATTCATTCGTATTGAAATTGCTGGACTTGTTCGACTCTGAGGATCCGAGGGAACGGGAGTATTTGAAAACTATCCTTCATAGGATATATGGGAAGTTCATGGTGCATCGGCCCTTTATTAGAAAGGCGATAAACAACATCTTCTACCGGTTTGTATATGAGACAGACAGGCACAGTGGAATCGGGGAGCTTCTTGAGATCTTGGGGAGTATTATAAACGGCTTTGCCCTGCCGATGAAGGAGGAGCATAAGCTATTCCTTGTTAGGGCACTTATACCACTACATAAACCGAAGGCGATATCTATATACCATCAACAGCTTTCTTACTGCATCACTCAGTTTGTTGAGAAGGATTACAAGCTGGCGGATACGGTTATAAGGGGTTTATTGAAGTATTGGCCAGTGACCAATTGCCAGAAGGAAGTTCTGTTCCTAGGTGAACTCGAAGAAGTGCTTGAGGCAACTCAACCTGCAGAATTTCAGCGTTGTATGGTTCCTCTGTTCAGACAGATTGGTCGTTGCTTGACTAGTTCACATTTTCAGGTTTGCTAATATTACTAACTCTTAAGATTTATGCATATGTTAGAATTCATTCAATAATTTCTTGGTAGATAAAGTGTTTCCTTTGGTATGGTGTGGGCTGGAGGGAAAGCACATGGCTAGGGGGGTGCATTGGCCTTTCTTTTGTTATCTGCTACTTAGTTTGTGACATAAGCAAAGGTGCCTATGGTGTGCAATCCAAGCAGTACCTTCGTTCTATATTTTTTGTTGTTAGATTTGCCAGTTGTCTGACATTGATGGTAGACTAATTTTCTCAGCTCCCATCATAACGACGAAGACATTTTTAAACAATAGGGTCTGATATGGTTAAATTGCCTGATAACAACGAGTGTCACTTCTTGGTTTGTTCTTTTGGGTAGATGCCAAATAACAACCTAGCACCAACTGTTCATAATATCTATGTGCCTAAGCCATGTGCCATGAACTGACAGGTGACCATCCTTTCGGTTATTTAGTCAGCAGGTCTATTGAATGTGTTCTTCCGTCTGTGAACAGTCAAATCTTCTTCTGCTGCCTTTTGCTCTTCTTTAGTTTCCCAGTTATGAATGTGTTCTTACTTGATTAGATGGTGAATATTGTGAGTTCCTACAAATGGCAACTGGTTGTAATGTTTACTGTCGGCATGAGCTTGCCATTGTGTTTAGGTTCATAAAAATTCTGCAGTCATTGAAAGTATCCAACGGATCCTTTGGTGACAAACGTTAATTGCGTAAAGATTTCACCTTTCCAGTCACTTATTTCTAAAGTTCTAGTAAAAGTGAAGAAGTGTGTTTGCCAAGCCAAGGATCGAGTTCTTGGCTGTTAACCTGCAACTCCTATGTATTAGACTAGTTAGTAGAGTTCTGGTTCGTGCCACTCAGTAGGTGGTCTTCTTTTATCTATTACTGAGATCTCTTCTCTTGGTAGTTCTTTGTGATGATGATTAACTTCACATCGACGAAAATCGAAATGTTCTATACAAAGAGCTGAAATCTGTTTTCTCCAGGTCGCAGAGAGAGCACTGTTCTTGTGGAACAACGAGCACATTGTGGGGCTAATCGCACAGAATCGAGGCGTGGTACTACCGATCCTCTTCGATGCATTGGAGAAGAACATCCAGACACATTGGAACCAGGCAGTCCACGGGTTGACAGTTAACGTCCGGAAGATGTTCCTGGAGATGGACGCCGAGTTGTTCGAGGAATGCCAGAGGCAGTACGAGGAGAAGGAGTCGAGGGCGCAGGAAGTGGAAGAGCAGCGGGAGATGACGTGGAAGAGACTCGCTGACGTGGCTGACAAGCGAGACGACATGATCACTGCTTGACACGTCAGCCAAGGAAGATTCCTCTCCTCTCTCCAGTAGGGAATGGAGGGAAGAGATGGGCGATTAATGGAGTGCTCATCTCATACCCCCATTTTTATCATGCCCTATTCTTTTTTCCTTCTTCTTTGCAGAATCTATTTTTTAACCCCCCTCTATTTTTGTATTTTTTTTGGTTGATCTTCAAAGTCAATTTTTAAAAGATGTCAAAATTACAAGAAAAGCAGCCTTAGCAGTAAAAATTGTAATTTTAAAAAAGTGTTGTTTAGTAATATGCCTGCTGCTACATCCATCCAGAATCATATCTCCTGGGTGAGCTTTTGGTTTTTTTTAATTTTTTTGTTAATTTAGTTTTAGTTACCTTTTCTTTACTTCCAGATTTTATTTATTGGGGGGTTTCTTTTCTTTTAATCAGACTAGTAAATTTACTGAACTTTAACTCAGCTGTTTCCACTCATATATGTAATGTTGTTGCTCAATTTTTGTTTGGGTTATATGAGTGAATTTGCTTCTTTGGCTGTCCATAAGCTCTCTATATAGTTGTTTGTTAATCTTGGTTTACTTTCGGTTACCTCGATAGTTGTTTGTAATGTTGTTTCATCAACCAGACGTAAGATAAACAAATTCATGTTCTTTCTTTGTAGAGGTTTAATGGTTACCCTATAAATATAATAGCTTAGCTATAATTAAATTATTGTAGTTTTTTTTGGGATATCCAATTTCTTTGGAAAGCATGATATTTATAATACCATTCACCATTGTTTATTATTAATTGTGTGCAAAGAATAATTATTTGAACTTAATATTTATGGTCGGACAATCATTGTGAATTTTATCCACTTAAATAAAATCCATAATAATTTTCTTGGCGGCAGAAGTTTGGGAATGAGAAGGAAATAAACAAGGCCCATTGCTCGTTCATTCGTACTGTTTGTTTTATCCATTCATCTTCTTCATTTCTCCGCTTCCGTTCGCTCCTTAATCTCACCAACCAAAAACCCTATCCAACATTCAAGTCCATTAACCAGAACGAACTAGAAGGGGCTAATATGTCGAAGAAAGTAAGCGCGCCGGCGCCGTTGCAGAAGGACGCGCCATGGCGGGTCACAACCACCAAACCAATTCCCAGAATCCACCACTCCCCTATTCTCCGCGTCTCCCACAACCCCTACTCCGACTACGCCATTTCCATCATGAAGGTAGAAGAAGCTCCATCCATTGCAGTCGTTAAGTTCAGTGGTTTCTTTCCTCGATTGGGGTCTGTAGGTGTTTGATTTTTTCCCATTGTTTGGCGCAGCATCCTAATCCAATTGGAAGCGGGTTGGCCGATGATGCGATAGTGGAAGCCGCCGGCCCTGATTGCATAGTTCCCGGTCAAGTTACCCCCGTCCGATTGCTTGGCGTTAAGGTGTGTGGAATTGTGGAATTGGGTTCTCGCATTACTCGATCATATTGCTAAAGGGGAGGAATGGAATGGAATGAAATGTGTGTTTGAGCTCTCAAATTTTGGGGAACTGATCTTCTGTTGATTCCAATTGAACAGGTGTGGCCTATTGAAGTTGACTTGAAATTCCTGGAACCAGTTGGACGGGAACTCAAGTTGCTTGGCAAGGTACTTTCATTACACCATTGTTGAAAGGATTTCGAAGAAAGTTTGTTGCTTTGGATGTAATATGTCCAAAACTCCAATTGGGTGTTCTGTAGTTGGAAAACTTGTGCTTGTAATATTGATACCGTGGCTTAATCTATTTTTCAAACTGAAAGTTATTGCCTTTGAGCTCATAGTAAATTAGTAATGTCCCCTAGTGAATATAGTAGCCTTCTTGTGTATGCTCTTTGTTTTTTTTATCAACATGGACGACACTTAAACAGTGGCTCTACTATAGTGGATCATTTTGAGGGGGAACATAGATAACTCCATGAATCCTCGTCTGTTGGCAATAACTTGTCATGTTGTAGCCTCCTGTGGTAGTTGCTTTTACACGTCTCACTCACTTGTCTCCACTTCTGTCAGTCAGTTCCCTTCTATGCATGTTGAAGGGAATCTGTAAAGTTGAATGTTTGCTCGTGTCATCAGACTGAGAGAAGAAGGATGCTTAGGAGGTGGTTTTATAATGGGCTGACTGGATAGTTGGATTGAGATGGCAGGAAGTCTTTTCTGTTTCCATGAAGCCACAAATTTCAGAGTCAACCGTTAATGTATTGGCGCAATGATCACCCCAGTCATAATGATAAACCCATTTCCGTATACTTAGTACTTTGTAGTATTGATGATACCTTTGTGCTTGATGTGGATATCGCTAAGCATCATAATCCTTGAGTGTTGAATCCTTAAATTTGTTGCCAAAATTGAGCCTTTTCAGTTTATTATTTATTTATGCTTGTTTTATACCTGATCATATATGCTCTACTATCTCATTGATTTATTTTGTTGCTGACTTGAACCTCAATCACTGTTTGACCTTTATCATTGCAGTTCATGGATAATGCTGTCGATCTGATGAATAAATCTTTCATCGACCGCTAGTGGCACCAGGGGGAAGTAGTCATTTGTGCAACAAGCTGCAGTTTTGATTCATTCCAACAGAAGAAGTGGGATAAAGCAGAGAGCTTCCATAGATGAAGATGTAAACTTGTGATGTACCCTCGTTCCTTCCTAGTCCTAGTTATTATAACCTTATAGCAAGAGTTACAAATTGCTCGATGTCACCAGAAATGGGCAGGAATTCTTTTACCCAATAAATACAGTATCATGCCATGTTTAAGGCACCAATTTAGAGAACTTATTTACTCATCTTGTAATGATAGATCCTCCTTCCTTTTAATCAATGCACCTTTACTCTAAGCCTCATTACTCCTTTTGATCTTCTTGATCACAAGCTACATAACCAAGGTAGCCTTTGTGTATTCTACCCGGTTTTCGGCCATTGTATCGAAATTCAGGATGATGGGATTGAGATGTGTCAAATGTTTGGTCACCAACTTCACACTTGCAGAGTGCCTTCAGTGTTTGTTTATTCTGCAAATCAAGAAGAAAAGCTAGGAGAAGATCTTAAGATAGAGATCCATTTGTAGCTACCTTCCAAAACCCTCATCTCAATCCCATTCCTCTTTTGCTCATTAAACAAAAAGCTTCTCTCCTATCCTTCCAGGCTGTTGTCTCTTATACAGAACCAGTAACGTTAAGTTATAAGTGGAACTGCATCTATGTAGCACAACTGGGAGCTTTTTAAGAGCCAAATATAATGATGTATGAAAAGCCATTCCTAAACTCCCATTCTTTTTATCCTTATTCTGCTATTTCTTGTTCTCTTTCGTACTTGATTACTTTATCAACATTCCATGTCCAGCTAGACTAATGGTGGGTTCCCCACGAACACTAGTGTTTGCCCATGTCACAAGTTTCTGGTTTTCGCCCCCCGCCACAAGATTTCGCTCACCATAAAAGGGTGTGAAAACCACTCTGCAACTCAATGTGCAGAAGAAGAAAAATACAGTCAATGGAGCAAGGTGATAATAGCTTGAGGAAAGGGCCATGGCTAGAGGAAGAAGATGAACAACTCGCCAGGCTTGTGAATGTGTTTGGAGAAAGGAAATGGGACTCCATAGCTATAATATCTGGTATATAAATCTTGTTTCTTTGGTAATACTTCGATATTGAAAACATTTGAAGAGCAGAGTGATCTCATGAATTCTTTTGGTTTTGCTGCAGGTTTAAGGAGAAGTGGGAAGAGCTGCAGAATGAGATGGCTGAACTACCTCCGTCCCAACCTGAAACGTGGCCGTATTAGTCCTGAAGAGGAGCAGATCATCGTCGAACTCCACGACCGATGGGGAAACAAGTAAGTGTTGAAAGTTCTGATGGAAATCATTTCAACGAAAGAGTCCTTTTCCTCCATTCTGTTCTGACTTTATCCTTGTTCTTAACATGGTTAGGTGGTCGAGAATTGCTCGAAGCTTGCCAGGAAGAACAGATAATGAGATCAAGAACTACTGGAGGTCCCATTTGAGCAAGAAGGCTACACAACCACAAGAAGGAGGAAACTTTCATTGCAACTCCAATGCTAGCCATAATACTGAGCTGGATTTCCCTTACCAGACTGAGAATCCAAGCAACATCTGCAACTTAGCTTACTGTGACATAGCTCAGAACGACGGGATGATGGTAGGACCAGACCAATATGATCTGTGGAGCAAGATGGAGTCGCCATACGAGACGAGATTGTACGATCACTGGATGTCTGAGATCAGTTCTGGTGAACAAGGAGAACCCAAGTTTGGTGGAGGAGGGTGTCATAATGGATGGAACTACTCTGAAGTTGGTGAAAGTTGCATGCTGGGTTCTCTGTGGGATATGAGCTGAGGTTAATTAAGAGAGACTGGTCTTGTTGATCTGTGAGTAGAGGAAGGACAATTAGAGAACGTGGAATCTGTAAAATAAGGCTCTTGTTTTGAAAGCCCAATGTATATAACTAACATGCAACTTCTTCATTAAAAAGTTACTTTTCTCTTCTACAAGACTTTATCATTTTTCTATGTTATGCACATATATTTTTGTTTAATGAAGGAGGATCCAAGCGTTAGATGTTCATGACCCAATAAACTCATCAGCAGGTGGTTCGGACATTTATTTTTAGCGGTGATCACAAATAATATTTTCACATAGCAGTCAGGCGGTGAAAATCGAATCTTAAAACACACCATATCACTCTCATGCCTTACCATCCCGACCCTCCTCTTCGTTTTACCACTAATATACTTTGATACATGTCTCAAACATACATTTATTCCATACCCAACCAATACAAGTCAATATCTTCACAATTATGCATACATTCTTCAAAAGCATGGCTTCACCTCTAGCATATTGTATTCTTCATTTTGAAGTTTAGATAGATAGGTTCACTACTAAACTAACACTTGTTGGGATGTAAATATGAATACAATAAATGAAGAGTCATTACACCTTTGAGTCCAAACTAATTGGACCGAACTTTCGAACCCGCTGACAGTCCAAGACATGAACTAAAATATAAGAACTCTCTGTCTCTCCAAAAAAAGATTATCCTCTCATTCTAGATGTTATTATCATCTCTCAACTCTACCCCTACTTTCTCTAGTGTCCTCGTTCCTCCCAACTCTCTTCACATTTCTTCATCGTTTAAAGAGATAACACGAAGCAACACTCGATTTTATTATTATTCTAAGCGAAGGATTAAACAGTATACATGAGCAAAATGAAGTTGTAGGGTGTAGTTTGGTTGAGCATCCGTCATCACTATGGAGAAGAGATAATGTTGTTAAAACAAGCATGCAATTGGCTATATAGATAGGGAGCTATTGAATAGCACATCAAGAAACCAAAAACTTGGCTAAGTTAAGAGAACAGGAGCTGATGAGTACTGAGTTGAGGTCACAACTAGAAGAGTGACCTACCAGCTACTACCTCACCCTTCTTTCTTTGTCTTGTTCTTCTTTTTTGTGCTCTAAGAACACAAGGAAACAATTTAAAATGTTTTGCCTTTTATTTTGTGAAAATTTAAAATGTTTTAGTCACAAGTTGAATGTTGATAATAATGTATGGAAACTAACCCTTTTTGCCTTTGATATCCCATTCAAAGAGCCAATCTTCTCTTGTTTGTTCCCTTTTTTTTTTCATTTTCATTAAGTACAATATCCACATTTGGGCAATCCTTTTTCTAGAACCAAAAAGTGTTAGTTTCCTTTCTTGGGTTGGAGACAACATATATACTATTTATCTTGTGCCATGCTTGGACCAATCTTCTTCAAAGATATGGGTGGATTTGCACATGTTAGGAAGACCAAGAAATGTTAAAGATTATGGGGTTTAGGTGTCTTTTGAATTGTTCAAGAGGATGGATTTTGAATGATGAGTTATGCGATGATAGATGTTTGAAATGAGATTTTGAAATATGTTTATACTAGTTGATTGATTTTGTATATGATGAATATTCTTATTATTTACGGAATGGGTTTTGAAGTTATTAGGTATATACCGAATTCATAATCTCTACTTCTCATAGTACAAAGAAGTAGTCTTCAATAAGTTGTTTACGTTTCTTCGAAATCACGCATCAAAATGGATCATGCTCTAGTGAATGGCCCTAGAAACTACTAGCTGACTGTCAAAGTGAGAATATAAACTATCCAATATCGAATCCAACTCTCAACTTGTCAAATTGAGATTGTGAAATACACTTCCCAAAAAGAAATGGATCATTGTTATTTGCCCTCTACTCTATTTTGGAAGTAGGACATTATTGAGGTTGGTTTCTACAAGAACATCCACTACCTTATACCAACTTGGCTTGCCTTTTTTTCCCTCACAAATATCCAAAGATTCATAAGATCTTCAAAAACCCATCACCCAAACTTCTCTTTTTGTTTTTCAATGCCCAACAAGCATAAGAACACACTTCTAAAGAGAGTTGGTTCCAAGGAAAATGTTAGATTGCAATGCTACATAGAAATTTTGGTCACCAAACATTATAGTACACTTCTTTGTTTCCAACCCTCTTTTCCCCAACAGAACTGCTAAATAAGAAAGCAAAAAAAAATCTTCCTTGCTATAGCATGAAGGTCAAGCAAGAAACCGCCACAAACAAGGATAGAGACATCAGGAGAGTCGCCGGTGACGGCTGAAGCCCACCGCCGGCGTAGTCGTCGGAGTAGTCCTCGTTGGTGCCTAAACCGGGCGTTCCGCCATTGGGCCCGGTCCCCCACTTCCCCAAGTTGTTGTCCCTGTCCAAACCACAAACATCATAAGGCCCAACTGACAGTCAACAATAAGCCCACCCTAGACCCAAGCCCAAAATCATTTCTATCTAGACTCACACGGATATACCTACAAACCCGAAGTGCTTAATCGAAACTTAACGAAACTTCAAGGGCCTAATTGTAAGACCAAATAATAGAGACACGAAAGTCGAGGAAACGAAATGAAAAGGACAAAAAGCAGAAAAAGGCGCGTGAATAATAATAAAGCGGGACCGGCCTGGAAATCAGCAATCAGTTCGAAAAAGGAAACGACCGGAGAAAATACCTGCCGCCGACCCCAAGAGCTCCGGCGTGGAGCGTCAGTGAGCCAATGAGTTCCACAGATTTCGGGTCCACACTGTAAGCCTTCTCATACTTCACTTCCAGTTCCTCTCCTGACGAAATGAAGAAAGCTCCGTTCACCATCACATCCCCTTCCGACCGCCAGTTCCAGTCCTTCCACTCCCCGTCGCCGGAGTCCAGCCTCTTCGTCACCTGAAAAATCAAAATTCCATCTCAGTAAGTTCAAAACCCCCATTTCCCAAACTCCGATTACGCCTCCATTGAACCCAATTGAAAACTTTTTTGGGTTTACTTTACCTCCTTCGCATTAGGGTTTGAAGGAGCGACGTAACGATTCCCCTGGCTGTTAATCGTCGGGTGCCCGCTCCCTCCAATGGCGTACATCTCCCACTCCGTGAAATCGTTGTTGACAACGTGAATGTACCCTCGCCGGCACCGGGGCATCCGCTGGACGAGCTGTTCCCCAAAGTGATTGAACGCGATGGTGACCTGCATTCCGGAATCCGGCAGGTATTCGTCGCTGTGACCCAGCAGCATTACCTCGTTGTGGTGGGAGAAGTAGTTGTTGGAGATGGTGATTCCGGTGGATCCCATCACGGCGTCGATTAGCCCGTCTGTGCAGTGAGACAGCGTGCAGTGGTCGATCCATATGTCCTTCGCGCCGAAGATCGAGATTCCATCGCCGTCTGATTTGGTTCTGTAGCCGTAGTGCGTCGGACTCGATCTCACATTCGTGTTCCCTGTGAAAACAGGGGGGAAAAACAGAGGAAACCCTTAGAAAGCTGGAGCAAACACATTGCTAAATGGTACGGCTGTGTTTTTTGACTGACCTGAAGGAACACAATGGTGAATGTGGACGTTATGGATGATCACATTGCTGATATACTGCAAGGTGATGCATCCGCCGCCGGTTATGTGGACATTGGCGCCGCGACCGTCGAGGGTTTTGAAGCTGTTGAAGATGAGTTCTTGTTCCAGCTTGATGTGCATGTTGCTTGGGAACACAATCCAGAGTGGCTCATCCCGAATCACGGCGTATCTTAGGGTTCCCGGTTTAGGGTTGACGGCATCATCGTCGGAGGAGTCAGTGACTATGTAGTAGTCGCCATTTTTGCCTCCCATTGCGTACTGGCCGAACCCAATGGCGCAATCGGCCAGCCGCTGGCGGTTGTTGGACCAGTCCGGGTCGCATTTCCAGCAGTCGTCGATTGGGTTCCCGGTGAAGCAAAGGGAAGAGGAGGAGGATTGGTCTCTCTGGGTAGTTTGGAGCAGTTCCCTTCTGAAGACTGAAGCATTTACTCTCCTGCAAAGCATGAAGCAAACATTTCAATGAGGGTAAACAGATCACCATTGTGGGAAGCAGAACAGAAACCAAAGGTGAAAGCTTTCTTCTGCATTTTGTTTCTTTTTTTACCTTTGAACTTCTTGAGCTACGAATTCAGGGTCAGGGTGGGCAGAAGGGAGGGTGAGGTTGAGCATTGCCCATGGGAGGGGTGGGAAGGAGCTAAGGAGCAAAACCAGAACAATGCTGGTGATTTTCAGCATTGTGTTGGGTTGGTGGTGAGTTATTGCTCCTTTGGCTCCCTCTCTTTGCCCACTTTAGTGTGGTTTGTGAGAGTGACGAAGAAGAGAGTGAACTACTAAACTTGTGGGTTTTGAGTGAAAGAGTGGGTCCTTTTATTGGGTGGGGTAAAAAAGAGGCTAGGTAGCCCCTCATTTCTTTGTTGATGTATAATAATGGGAAACAAGAACCTTTTTCATATTTCACTTAAACCAGAACCAGAAAAGGAAGGGAAGATGGACAGAGAGAGAGAGAGGAATCAGCCCATCTCGAGGAAAATGGTCTACTGCAGTGCTGCTAGTGCTAGTGACTAGTGAGAGTGTTCTCTCATAACATCAAGCTCAGCTTAGGTGGACAGTTCAGTAATATCATGTCAAACTTACCGTTCTGAAAAATGACTCGAATTCTTTACCTCTCAATGCCCATTGCAATGGCGGGTTGTTTATGGATACTCTGAAAAGTCAACAGTCATCATCCAAAAGGGTAAGTTTGAATTTCTTTGATCCTTGCTGGGCCTCTCTCACTGTCGCCTTTTGTCTTCTCCATGAATGATGATTCATTGGTTCCATTGAACAGTTACTTGTAAAATTTACCAAATATGCTTTGCATATGGATAGATATGAATGTGTTCCCTCGTTCCAATACAGGTAACAGTCCTCCTCCAACATCTCCGTTTCGGTTTGGAGACAAAAGTCCGCACTGATTCAGGAAGCCATATTTAACTGATGAACGGCTTTGTGGAGCTGAGCTGAGCTGAGCTGGCTCAAGTCGGGTTTGCGGTTGCTGGCTGGCTTCATGGTTGGTTCGTGCAGCTCTTCTTTTCATGGAGGGAAGAAAAGAGCTGCTAAACAGAAGGTAATGGAAAACCCTTTAGCTTTCTTTTTGGCACTCTTTAGTCTTTATTAGGGGTCGTTTGCTTGTTGGATTTGGGTCATGGATTTGGTACCTAAATCCCAAGTTTGATGGATTTAACACAAGTCCATTGTTTGTTGATGGGTATCAAATCCGTGGGGTCCACGGATTTGGTCTTTAATTTGGGACCAAATCCGTGGACCCCACGGACTTGTAAATCCCACATATTTGTTTGGGATTTGTAAATCCATGATGGTTGTTAGTTGCTTATGTGACAAATCCATCATAAATCCATTATAAATTCTATCATGCAAACACTAGACTTTTCAAATCCATAATACAATAAATCCCTCATGAATCCCAAGGTTTTTGTTGCACAAAACCTTCATTTTTCAAATCCAACAAGCAAACGACCCCTACTTTCCCCTGCTTTTCTTCTACTAGCCCCTATCTTTTGGGTCCCCGGTAATTCATGAATCTCTCTCTCTCTCTCTTTGTAGATTCCCTTTCTACACAAATATCATAGTAGAGCACTAGAGCAGTAGAGCTTCTCACTTCTGAGTTCTCACCTTGTTCCTGGTTCTTTTCCATGCCCTATGGAAAGCAACTGGTCACACTTTAACCAGAGGGTCAATTTTATCATGTAATGGTTTATTATATTGTTAGATGGATATGTAGATAATGCAAGTTGGAGACCTCCATGTATTATCCAGCAAGAGTTTAGAGACATAATCATTTTGAAAGTGTTCTTTTGAATTTAGGGATGGCCAAAGCCAAGCCTGGAGACTAAATTTTGTAGCATATTCCTTCCCTCTGCAGCGTGCCAATGAATTTTAGGATAAGCTACGTTACAGAAATGTGATGTGGCCATTGTTGCAGGAAATCCCTCAACTCTTCTCTCTTTGATGTGGAGTGCTTACTGCTGGGTCCAGCTCCTGAAAGGTTGAGGAATTTGATCAGGATGGGGATGGAGCTTTTTTTATTTTTATGTATGTTGCAGGTGGAGACATGTAGGGTTGTAGTTAGATATGCATTCATCATTGGCTCACATTAGAGTAATATGGTTGGTTGGACTTAGCTTGTGTGCAAAGATTCATTTGCAGGGATGAGGAAAAAGGAAGGTACTTTGAAGTACCCCTTTTGAGGTATCTGAAGGGTAAATTGCATGAATGAATTGGTCACATGGCATGATTACCATCACTTCCTTGGAATATTGTACATATACATATGATTGAGTCCAATCACTATTGTCTCCATGGGAATTTCAATGACTCTACATGGCATGATTAAATCCAATATAGAGTTTAAAACGAATCATTATGAAACCGATAATGAGTAAAGAATCGTATAGTTTTATCTCTTATGAATGAATGAAACAATAGTACTAACCGGCTATTAGAGTATTGATAAGCTCTTATAAAGTGATAAACAAATAAGATTGATAACAGTGACTAGTGCATCATATAACGCCCTTGATCCTAATAAAAACAATAGACCTCTGTAACACTACACGAATAAAGGATCGAAGATTGTAAAAGGTGACGAGAAATGGCAACCAACTACAACAATCGCGCATATAAACCACGTGAAGACGGTGTTTCTCTAATTTCCAATTAGCTAGACTAAATATCGATTAGCAGACACAAAGAATGGACGGAATATTCCTTTAATTTGAAATATTTCACTCACCCTACTTTCTACTGACAACTTCTTTCTTCTCACTTTCAAAGATTGCCATCGACTCCTTTTCATGATCGACGGAACCCCAAACCCTCCTTTTTCGTTTACGTTTTCATTGTATTTCCATGCTCGCGCTCCTCTTGATTTTGGTGCAGGCAATTTTCCCTCGGATTTTTTTTCTTCCAATTTTGGTGTTTTCTTCTCTATCCTATGTGGCTTATCGATTTCGTCTCTAGTTGGGAGCCTCATTCAGATTGTGTGGTGGTTGTTCTCCCAGTTTGGTGGGTTCATCGTGTTTGGTGAAGCCATTCACTATTTTCTCCCTCCAGCCTCCCCTGGTTGTTTGTACTGGTTGGTCGGTCATCGAATCGTGGGGGTATGGTCTTCAAGCGTTCACTTCAGCTCCTTCGGGTGGTTGTTTTCACGATGTGCTTCGCTTTCCTTTGATGTATCTCTCAAGCACGACTTGTTTTCAAATTGTTTTGCCTTGAGATGAGTCTTATTTTGAATTCAGTGTGTTTCATTTTGTTATGTCTCTATAATCGATCATTCAAAGTTCAATACAAGATCTCCTTGGGCGAAATGAAAGTATAAAACTCTATAAATGATCATAATGATCATCCAATGTGAAAGCTTACTCGGATTTTGCAGGCCGAGGATTAAGCTGATTTAATCATAATTTTGTAATGTAGGGCTATGGTGATTTGATGTCCCCTATGGCATATGTGTGTAGTCTTATAGGGTGAAAGACATTTTTCTTTCCCCTATACAAATCCACATGATAAAAGCGAGAACATGGTTGCATGACTTGATAGTGGTACTGAAAGCCTGAGCAAGTGAGGCACACCACTGATCATCGATCACTTTTTTGACCGTTTTGGTTTGAGAGCCTCCCCACTTGTCTTAACTCTTGACTACTACTCCAAATAGTACAACTAATTGTCAAATTCATTGGCCGTTTGCATATCAATCCGAAGCAATAACCTTTCTTTCTCACAAACGAGGTTGTGGTCGAGTGATTGTGCTATTGATTTTCAATCTGGAGTCCAAAAATTAGAAGATAAAAAATAATGTTCGTTTTTCCTTTCCTCATCCCTCCCGCAACACACATCTAACAGGTTTTTGTCCAAAAAAGAAACCCTTCCCGCCTTTATATGAAGAATCTCTTCATATATATATATACTCCCAAATCATTAATCGTCACAGCTTGATCTAAGAGGCAAGGTGTGCAGGAACGTAGTGAAGATTCGTGTACTCATTCAAGATTGAGTAGCTTGTATGTAGCTAGCTGGTTAACTTGCACGGTACAATGTCTCTAACTGAAACTAATCGTATATGCGTTTGAAATCCGTTTTGAAAAAACTCGTGTTATAGTTTGAGTCCTCCAACATTATTCGATGCTATTGACTTTTCATTTGTTGGTTTCTTATCCCACGTTCAACAAGAGACAACTTTTGTGTACTTTTCTATGGGGTAATGTAGTTAGTTTATTTCTTCCCCTCCATTCTTTGGAAGGACGAAGTCTGTCCATCATGCCACTGACGTTGTTGGACTTCTCGTCACTCACCATTTCCCCCATGGAAGGGAAGAGGTAGTTAATTTTAGGGTTTTCTTTACCGTTAATTTTAGGCTGTATATGAATAGTTTATGAAATAACCGTTTCCCATTTGTATGGGGCCAATAAAGGCACACTCCGATTTCAGCGTGCTCCTTTGCCTAGTCCTCTCCTCGAGTGCCAAAAAAAGGGGTTAACAAAAAAAAAAAAAAAACTAATAATCAGAATTTCTCGAACCATTAAAAAATTACATACCCTAGCTGAAGCAATTTATTAACGGGTGTGCAATGGTCTGATCCAAAATCAAAGTAGACAAACCATGATGATAATTTAAGAACCAGAATTGGATGACATGGTGCATTTTTATTTGGTTTAGTTTGGTATGTTCTAGATATCAATTTAGTCCGAAAATTGCTTAATATTCATAAGTTTTATGATATCGTAGATTGAACCGAAATTATATTCGGTCTGATTCGGAAAAAAAAATACAAATATCGGTTTGGTCTGACCTACCAATGGCAATACCCTCTAAAATTCAAGACTCGCCAATACCCAATAGCAGAGGTGGCAATTTCAATCCAATCCACCAATCCAATCCATCAATCCATTAAAAATATCCACCTAATCCAATCCATTTAAATCCAATCCATTTGATCCAAATCTAATTGGATTGGTGGATTCATGGATTGGATCCATGGATCATTGGTAAATTACGGTTTAGTACCTATAATTTTTATTTTTTACATTTTGGTACCTAAAATTTAATTTTTATACGAAAAATATCATTGGAAAATTACGTTTTGGTACTTAAAAATTTTCATTGTAACATTTTAGTACCTAAACTTTTTACATTTTACATATTGGTCCTTGGTTGAGGATGTCATTTGGATTCATGGATAATCCACCAATCCACTTGATCCAATCCATGAATCCACCAATCTATTAGATCCAATCCATTTGATCCATGAATCCACCAATCCACCAATCCACCAATCCAATCCATTTGCCACCTCTACCCAATAGTCACTTATTTTTAACATCTAACCAAACGTTACCTCACTTTGACACTAATTAACCAATTAACTATAGAAAAATGCCATCCAAACTCCCTAAACCAAGCCCAACTCAACCCTTGACTCACCACAGCCCAATAGCCCCATCTTCAAGGCCCATCCGGCCCGACCCATCTCCCGCCTCGGATCCCTTTCGGCCAACTGTCAGCCAGTCACTCTCTCTCTCTTTTCGAAAACAAATAAGACCGTTTGGTTCATAGGACCGTTGCAAGATTTCGCCCGTTGTGTTCTTCACAAACCGCATATTTATACAACCAAATCGACCAATCGCCACTCCCACCATCAAATTCCTTCTTCTTCCTCTTCATCCCAATTCAATTCGGAGCCAATTTCACCAGATTAGACCAGAAAGAAAGAGAAATTAGCCGGAAATTAACGAAATCGGAAGAAGAAGTCAAAATGGGGATGGGCAGCGTAACTCTGGGCTCCGGCGCCGCCGCCGCCGCCACCAGCGACCGCCACTACAACGTCCACAAGGCCTTCCTCCTCTGCAACTACCTCCTCCTCGGCGCCGCCTCCGCCTGCATCTTCCTCACAATCTCCCTCCGCCTCATCCCCTCCATCTGCGGCTTCTTCCTCCTCCTCCTCCACGTCCTCACCATCGCCGGCGCCGTCGCGGGCTGCACCGCCGCCTCCTCCGGCGGCGCCTGGTACTCCGCCCACATGGTGGCCACCGTCCTGACGGCGATCTTCCAGGGTTCAGTCTCCGTCCTGATATTCACGAGAACAGGGGATTTCCTCGGGGAGCTGAAATCGTACGTCAGAGAGGACGACGGCGCCGTGATCCTCAAGCTAGCTGGAGGACTTTCGGCGTTCATGTTCTGCTTCGAGTGGATCGTGCTGGTTCTGGCGTTTTTTCTCAAGTACTACGCTTACAAGGAAGGCGATGGGGGAATCTCTGGCTCTGCCGCCGCCGGCGGGTTCAAGAGGGGAAATGCTAGGGTCCACCAGGGCGGCGACGAGGACTTGAAGGACTGGCCCTGGCCCTTCCAAGTCTGAATAAAAAAGCCCATCAAATTTTTTCTTCCAAAAGCCCACCAGATATTGTTACTGTGATCCTCTCAATGTATTGATTCCATTTGTTTGATTGGTTTATTTTTGAGTAATTATGTTGTAATTTTAGGTAGACTGCTGATCTACGTGAAATACTACTACTACTGCAATGGATATTTAACAACTTTTTCAAGGATATATATAGCTCTGAATTTTGGTACTATATGAGTTAGTAATTTCCCTTGGTTTTGGCCTTGCTTTTATCACTCCATTTCCTTGCACAAAACATCCATATGGGTTGTTGTTCGTTTAAACCACCTTTGTAGATAGATTTCTTTTGTTGGGTGTTCCAGTCTTCCAGAGATATTTAATGGGTCTATTCGTTTCAAATTTTAAGATTATTAGCCCGCACTTGCGTGGGTCGAAAGAGAGTACACAACAACAGAATGAGAGAAATGAAATAGATAGATCAAAATGAAATCGCGACAGATCGGCTATTTATGAACATATGTATAGTTGGTTCTACTATCCATGCTGCAATTAGTAGCTCCTCAACGAGGTTTTAGTACGCAAAGTTGACGACTTCACCCATAAAACAACACAATTAAAGAAGCAAACCCATCAACACTACACACAAAAAAAGGTACCAACTTAATTATTACCTTACCTCATATGGCCTTATAATTTACAATTTGAGAACTAACACCCAAGCTTAATTTTGCATGGTTCTAGAGATATTGTTAGGGCTAGATATAATAATTATATATCCTCATGGCGATGACTGGGACTTGGTTCCAATCTGGCTGGAACCGTACCCGCCAAATTCAGATCTTGGAATGTTATGATGGTTATTCACTTCCGGCTCCCCATTATTACTCTTACCATTGTTGCCGCCACCTTCGGAACTTCCCTTGCCGGCGGGAACTTCGCCACCGCCACCGGCGCTTCCGGCTACCGGCCCATCTACAGCAGTCAGAGCCCTGCCTCTGAAGTTGTCAACAAAGTAGTGCTGATGAACATGACTTCCACTGCTGCTGCTAACGAGCACGGATGCAGACGCCATCTTTCTGCTCTTGATCATCATCTTCATCGCGGTGGAGGCAGAATTAGCGAGGCAAAGGTGACGGCTAATGGCCATAGAGACGATGAACAGTAACAGTAAACGAGATGGGATTTGGAGCTTCATCGTGGGGGTTGATTAGAGGATATTAGTGAGTTTTGAGTGGTGGGTTATGGAGAGGAATGTATGATTATATAAAGGGAGGAATGTTCTGGTGGCTATGGTGGTGGGAGATTATGGAAGGGTTAGAAAAATCTGATTATGGACTTTCCATTAGTGTCATTGTCAAATCATTCCCAAACCTCACTAAAGTTATAGTGGCCAAGTTGGTATTAAGTATTAACCTAATGATTAATGGTATAGAATCGTATCAGATGTTGTACCTGATGAAAAGTTAGCGGTATATGGTATTTTATGTTGAAATTGTGGTTTAATCTTTTTTATTTTTTTTAATAAAATCGTGGTTCAATATTTTCCTACAACTAATTTTTTTTTACTGATTTACCTCTGCGACGTGAGATTTTCTTGATCGGATAGGTGGTATGGTACGATTTCATAACGTGGGCATTAACTATCTCAATGGTCTATGATTATGACTTATTAGTAGTTTTCTAATGACGGTTATTGTTGTTGTTGAGGTTAGTGATGTTTCTGTTTGGAGTGGGGAACAACGGTTTCAAATATCTTAATGCTGCACTTTGTTGTGTCAATCAATGAGAAATCAACACCTAGCCCAGCAGATATGTCTTGCTGAGATCGTGGAAAAGTAGCTCATGTGTGACATCAATTTGCACTCCATTTCCTGTTTTGACAATGTAAAGAGGACATGATGAATTGGATTTATACAATGTAAAAAATGGTAATTTGACAATATGAAAGCATTTGACAATGATAATATATATATATTACACACATTTTTAATGGACAACTAGAATGAGTGGGTTTTGGTTTTGTAACTAGATGTATAGTCTTAAAACTAATTTGGGAGCTCAAAGAAATGCACGAATGATAAGCGGATTACTATCACATCGCCCACTGAGAGTTTTGGAAAATTTATATATAAAAAGCCTCTCAAATTTATAGTCACTCGGGAAAATAACTCAAATGGAATAAATTTCCTGTATAATTTATAACCAAATTATTGTCTATTCCAACTATATTGTATATATATTTACAAGATTGTCGGATAGGGTTATTGCGAATAGCATCTTCAAGTATATATGGACTATCGAATTACTATCAATGATAGAACTGACGATCATATGAAACAGCAGTCGGTCCATCCTTCTGCTCTCCCTTAACCTCTCACCTTAGCAAATTACTATCAATGGTGAACTGATGATCATATAAAATAGCAGTCAGTCCATCATTCCGCCTTTCCTTAAATCTATCAACAGTAAACTGATGATCATATATGAAACAGAGGATCTGAATATGTTGAACTACAATTCAACACATTTGTTAACTTTGAACCCACCAACTTGTCGTCCTAATTCGACTTTTTAAGTATCAATTTCACAAATATCACTCAGATTCCATGTAATTTATTGAACCACACCACATCCCCATCTAGCCTCAAGAAGATGGGCATATATACTTCTTTAGGTACCAACATCACCCCTAACCCACTATCCATCAAGATTCACAAACAAGAAAGGAACAATAGAACTACAAAAGCTTCATTAGTAGGGCTTGCATACGATTAACCTACTAATTAATCAGGGATTAGTTGTTTTAGCTGGCCCCCTACCCTCCTCCACGTCTTTCTCTACTTACAACTGTGACAACTGCCACGTGTTTTGGGAAGTTAAAACATTACAGCTGGAGCTTTCAAAGAGTGCCAGCTCAAGCTCATGATGCCTTGTCTCCTATTTGTTAATTATGTTTTAGTTTGTTTTAATCAGTGTTTAATTACTGTTTTTCGCATTATTCCTAATTATGTATGGCATGACGAAGATGGGGAAGCGCGTTGTTTGGTATAATCCTTTTTTCCTTTCGGAATGTCGTGTTGCGGGTTTTTTTTTTAAAGATCTCTCTTCTTCGATCATGGCAGCAATCAGCAAATTTATTGTGTTGTTCACTGGTTCACCAAACCCAACTCAAAACAACAATGGCGCCAAACACTAGGAAGCCAAACACACCTTCTTTGACTCGAGGTGTAGTTGCTCGGTTGGATTCTTGTAGTCTATCATCCAAATAATATATGTTAGAAAGTTATACTCATTTATGTGTTTATTTCTAAGTTTATTCATTGTTATGGCGTACGTAGCTAGGATTTGGCATAAGGAGAGAAAGAAAAAAAGATAGGAATTTGAAAGTGTTGAGTTTTAAATTTGTTTTAATTTATTTATGTGTAGTTTTGAATGTAACATAGATATAATAGAGCGTGTTAATGGTATCACATAAATAATTATATTTTAGTGATAGATATGTAAGTTGAAAACAATGAATTTTTGTGCCCAAAGTCTCTCACGACATAAAAGAACAAATGTGTTTGGGTGGTGTTTTAGCCAAGAGCTGGCTCTGTTACTGACAACGACTCAAATAAGATTCAAACTGATCATCTCAAAATTATTATCTTGCCACTAATACCATAAAATCAAATGTATCATTATTGATAAGAACTTGTTTGATTATTTGGCAACAAAATGAGCATGATCTAACTAAAGATTTAAGTCGGTTTCATGTACAGAGTATGATGTGATTATTAAAGAAATATTCAATTAACCAAATATCCAACAAATCGTCACTGCATGAATCATGCTTCAATTAAATTAAATTCTTCCAGGGAGAAAGCATAAAACAAAACAAATGTTTGCTCTGTCACACGGCCTCTCTTACAAACTTCTATATCTTGGAATCATTAAAGAAACAACCTAAAAAATAAAAACAATGAAACTTCTTGGCACACACGTTTAGACCCTAATTTTGTTCTACTTTATTCTTTTGTTTAAGCTCTCCCTTCCCTTATATAATCAACCACTCCACTCCCTTCATTTTGGAGTCCACCATTAAACCTTCCAAAACCCTCCCAAATTCTTGCAACAAAACATGAAGCTCCAACAACAAACAAGAAGCAACAAATCCTCCTCCTTCTCCACATTCTTCATATTCTCTCTTCTTCTTCTTGCCCTTCACTCACAATCCTCCTTCGCGCAGGAAGTTGGTACGTAAATACTGTTTGTTCGTTCGCTCGTTCATACAAAAGATTTGAACTTTGGGGTTCTCAATCCTTCCTTTTTTCGTTTTTGCAGAGGATGAGAGGGAGTTTGACTACAAAAGAGGAAGCCAAAAGGGTCCCTCAAAATGGGGAGAGCTGAAGAAAGACTGGGAAGCTTGCAAAACAGGTCACCTCCAGTCCCCAATCGACATGTCGATTCAGAGGGTGAAGTTGCTCAACAGATCGCTAGACATCAACAGGAGTTACAAGCCTGCAAACGCCATTGTCAAGAACAGGGGACATGACATTTCGGTAAAGCCAAAGCCAAAAAATCTCAATAACCCATGATTCCAATGTTGATTTGGCTTCCAACCCATTTTTGGAAAGGTGAGAAAGATTGAGTCTTTGATGAAATTTTGGTTGGTTTGCTTAAAAAAACAATGTGCAGCTTCAATGGAAGGGGTCGGATGCAGGGTCGATAAGAATCAATGGGACTAAGTATCTGCTCCAGCAATGCCACTGGCACTCTCCTTCCGAGCACACCGTCAATGGCAGGAGGTAGGTATTCATCTCGAAGATCTCGTGTTCGTATCCTGATTATGACTCGAATCAAATGTTTGATCTAAAGTATGTTCCATGGCAGCTATGACATGGAGCTCCACATGGTCCACTTCAATCCAGAGACGAAGGGAATTGCTGTTGTAGGTGTGCTGTATAAGGCTGGCAAACCAGATCAGTTCCTGTCGAAATTGATTAAGGACATTAAATCCATTGAGCACGACGAGATGGATAAGAACAAGAAGAAAAAGATTGAGAAGGAAATGGGTGTAATGGACCCTAGAGAGATTAAGATGGGAGGCAAGAAGTATTATAGATACATTGGCTCCCTCACTGTCCCACCATGCACAGAAGGAGTCATTTGGACCATGAGCAGAAAGGTAATCCTCAGATTTCCTTGTTCCATAGATAAGGACAGTTTCATCCTTTCTTGCCTTGATCTACAATTCATCAAAATTTCTGCAACTTATTGTGTTAATAATGATGACTCCTTGATTTGCTGTACAGATAAGGACAGTTTCCAGAGACCAAATCAAAGCCCTTCGTGATGCAGTCCACGATGTAACTAGCTTAACTACATCTTTGACTTGAATACATTTGCTTACCTACAAGAAATGACTATTTCATTTGAATTCTGATTGACTGAATTTTCTGAATTGATTCTGGCAGTATGCAGAGCAAAATGCCAGGCCAGTTCAGCAGCTCCATCAGAGAGAAGTAGACCTTTATGGACCAAACAGTGTCGAGACTCCCAATTAAAGTCACAGTTTTCCCCTTTGTCAAGCTGCTTCTATTTTTTGCTTGTGGATTCCAGAAAGAAAATATAATTTTCACCATATACTATGGTTTTCCTCTGATGTAGTTCTCAAGTTCTGATCCTAAATAATCGATTATTCTTTATTTTGTTACATGCAAAGTCCGAAATCGCATAGAATTGGTATAGAATGGAATCGAAAAATGGACGAGAGACTGGAATAGAATGAAAAATGCATTTGTTTCGGATCTGGTGTAGTCCGATTTCAATTTATTTACCTGGTTTTTCTTTTTCAACTGATCAAATGAAGCGTGTCAAGAACCAGTTGATCCCAATAACTCGAGTTGTTGGGAGAGGTTCAATCGTGGATCATATACCACAACACTAACACGCCCCCTCAAACGAAAGCCACTCACAAGGGCTTGAAGTTTGCACAGGTCTGAAGACAAGATACCATGTGCTTAACAAATGGGGGTCACCGGGAATCGAACACAAGACCTCTCGGACACAGAAGGCTCTGATACCAGGAGCTGGGGAATTAGGGTTTTGATGGGAAGCCCAAAAAATTTTTCGACCAATTGACGGAACTGAATGAAGACACTAAGCAATTGAGATTTATAACGAATGAAATAAATCCATGAGAATTTGCTATAATGATCATAAAACAAAATGTAATAGGATTGCTCATCATAAGATAAAACCGGAGCGGGGCCCCATACATCACTACAAACGAGTTCGAGTGGAGCGGTAGCCTGGAAAGTGGAGGATGAAAAAGGGAGCTTATGAATTTTACTAACTGCACAACCATGACACAACGAGGGAGGAGAGGAGACAAATTTTATTTGATGCTGATGAAGAGCATGTTTAACGGCTCGTTCATGAGCATGACCAAGACGACGATGCCAGATGTCAAAAGAGGCGGCACAGGCAATTGGAGAGAGTTGGCGAGAAATATGCAGTGGAAGAGAGTAGAGGCCGTTCACTGCATAACCGCGATGAAGTTCATGCCCCGTGCGTCGATCCTTGATAAGAAAAAGAGAATCAAAAAATTCAATAGAGATAGGATTAGATCGAGTGAGAGAACTGATTGAGAGTAGATTGTAAGGAGCATGAGGAACATGAAGAATGTTAGTCAAAGAAATGGGAGCAGTGGACAACGAGGAAGAAGAAGAGCCGATACGAGAAATGGGAAGAGAGTTACCATTGCCAAAGGTGACCTGATCAGTGCCATTATATTCTGAATGATGGGCGAGGTTGTCTAAATCCGAAGTAAGGTGATGGTTTGTACCAGAATCGAGGAGCCACTGTTGCGGATTAAAAGAAGGTGCAGGAGAGGAGGTGTACATGGCATGTGGGCTGTAATTAGAAGAGGAGGCATGTGGGCTGTAATGAGAAGAGGAGGACTGGGCCGAACGGGTTGGTTGAGGCAGATTTGGGCTTGGACAGTTTGGTTTAATGTGGCCACGTCCACCACAATTGTGACAAACCACCTGAGCATTGTTGGGCCGAGGCCCAAGAACTCCTCCAGCTGAGCCCGACCTGCCAACAGAAGGAGAAAACACAGAGGGGTTAGGATAAAAAGGGCGGCCGCCACGGGGGTAGCTGCGTCCTCGCCCACGCCCTCGGCCACGATATCCGCCGGCGGAGGAATAAAAGGCAGCAGGCGAAGGCGAATCCGACTGGGAGGCGTAGCGCTGGATCTGTAATTCTTCGGAGAGAAGAAGCGAATGGAGGTCTTCGAAGCTGATGGGTGCCATACGAGATTCTATATGGCGGACGAACGGACGGTAATCCTCGCCGAGTCCGTCGAGAATCCAGCCCGTCAAGTCGTCGTTGGGAACTGGAGAACCCAGAGCAGCTAGTTGGTCAGCCTTGGCTTTGGCGGTCTGGAGGTAATCATGAATGGAGGAGTCGCCGCGGCGGATGTGCTGAAGAGTCTTTGTGAGCTGCCGAATTTGAACGTGTGAGCCAGAGGCATAAATGGTAGCCAAGGCTGTCCACGCTTCAAACGCAGTAGCCTTATTGATTACATTCGGCAGCACAGCTTCGGAAAGGGAGAGGTTTATCCAGGTGAGCACGTACTGATCCCGATCATACCAAGTCCAATAGGCAGGATTTGGTTGACCGTCGAGAATTGGAGGTGGAGCAGAGAGTGAGCCATCGACATGGCCCATCAAATGATAGCAGCGAAGGAGAGGAGTGATTTGAGCGTGCCATAAGAGGTAATTGGATGGCGTAAGTTTGATGGTCAATTGAAGATTGGCAGGAAGAGACAACGTAGACACTGGCAGTGAAGAAGATCCAGTGACAGCAGCAGTAGAAGAAACAGAGGATGGTTCTGTGCCCATCCTGTGAAGAAAGAGAAGAAGAAATAGACAGGGAGAAGAGAAAAGAAAAGGGATTGACTCGTTAGAGTTCTATAAGCTCTGATACCATGTGAACGCAAGACTTGTGTTGCTCTTATTGAAACAAAGTATTTATAGTACATCAGTAACAGAGGCTAGCTATAGATGTGGAACAGAAAGAGTGGAAGCAGGAACAGAATAAAGTATCCAACGTTCTACTCCTAACAACTTAACAGTAAGTGAGAAACGTAAGGGCCAAGTCCCTTATGTGAACGCAAGACTTGTGTTGCTCTTATTGAAACAAAGTATTTATAGTACATCAGTAACAGAGGCTAGCTATAGATGTGGAACAGAAAGAGTGGAAGCAGGAACAGAATAAAGTATCCAACGTTCTACTCCTAACAACTTAACAGTAAGTGAGAAACGTAAGGGCCAAGTCCCTTATCACGCCCCCGCAAGTTGAGGCTCGGTGAGGCGAAACTTGGAGCAGAATTTGGTGAAGCTGGGACGTGGCAATGGCTTAGTGAGTACATCGGCGATCTGATCTGGGGCTGGTAAATAATGTACACGGAGCTGCCCTTTGCTTACTTGATCACGAACAAAATGGAACTCGATTTCCATATGCTTTGAGCGATTGTGAAACACCGGATTATGAGCAAGGAATGTGGCACCAAGGTTGTCACACCATAATGCTGGTGCAGTAGGAATCAGCTGACCCATTTCATGAAGTAAGGTCCGTAACCACAAGACCTCAGAGGCGAGAGTAGCAAGAGCGCGATACTCGCACTCGGTGGAGGAACGAGCGACGGATTTCTGTTTGCGGGTGGACCATGAGACCAAGTTCGTACCGCAGAAGACAGCAAACCCTGTTATTGATTTTCGATCCTTGGGACAAGAAGCCCATGAAGCATCGGAGTAGCCATGGACATGTATGGAGGGTGAACTCGAGAAGACAAGGCCGCGATCAACAGTACCTCGGAGATAGCGGAGAATGCGCTTGACAGCAGCCCAATGGTTGTCGGTTGGTGAGTGCTGAAACTGTGATACATGGTTAACAGCAAAGGAGATGTCGGGCCGGGTGAAGCTGAGGTATTGCAGGCCACCAACAATGCTGCGATACAAGGCTTGGTCAGCGAACAGGGGAGATGAATCCATGGCAGAGTGCTGAATGATATCAACAGTTGAAGGAGTGGATATGGCCTTGGCATTAGACATATGAGCACGCTCTAGGAGATCCAGAACGAACTTCCGCTGACTGAGGATAAGACCATTGGGTGTGCGATGTACCTCTAGGCCGAGGAAATATGAAAGAGGCCCCAACTCTCGCAAGGCAAAGTTATCATGGAGAAATTTGAACAGCTGCTGGATGAGAGCAGGAGCATTACCGGTGATGACAATGTCGTCAACATAGACTAACATGTACAGCCGAGTGGAACCAGTCTTGTAGATGAACAGGGATGGATCAGTGCGAGAAACCGAGAAGCCAAAACGGGTGAGAGCAGCCGCCAAACAGTGAAACCAGGTTCGGGGGGCTTGGCGGAGACCGTAAATCGACTTCTTAAGTCGACAAACATGATCCGGCTTGTCTGGATCAACAAAGCCAGGAGGCTGCTGCATATAAACTGTCTCCTGCAACTCACCATGTAAAAATGCGTTAGCAATGTCGATTTGGTGAAGGGGCCAGCCCTGTGTGACTGCCAGACCGAGGACAAGCCGGAGAGTAGCTGGCTTGAGGACCGGGCTGTATGTGTGTTGAAAATCCAGGCCCGGGATTTGCTCAAAGCCGCGAGCAACGAGGCGTGCACGACGCCGATCAAGCTTGCCGTCGGGGAGAAGTTTAGTACGGTATACCCATTTGTTGGATAAAACATTGCAATTGGGCGGCCGCGGGACCAGCTCCCAAGTTTGATTGCGAAGCTGAGCATTCACCTCATCGGCCATGGCCGAGCGCCAGGGAGGAAGTTTGAGGGCCTGAGTCACCGTGGTGGGAGTGTCATCGACGTGGAGGTGGGAGACTAGGCTTCGGGGTTTAAGGTGGCCTGTTTGAAGACGAGTGACCATGGGATGCATAGAGCTGGTAGGGTGTACAATGGGAAGGGGTCGTGGGGAAGTATTGAAGGGCGGTCGGTTAAGTATAGGGCGACGGGGCGGGAGTGGGGTGGGACGAGGAGCTGGGGAAGCGGGTGAATTGGGCAAAGGGTCTGGAGCGAGCGGTGTAGGACGAGGGAGGGTTGAGCTAGAAGAGGGACGACGGCGGTGATATTGAAGAAGGGGTTTTGAGGATTGGGGAATTAGGGAGGAAGCTGGGGACACGGGTTTGGAGGAAGGAGGGAGAGCAGTGACAGGTGGGGTTGATTTTGGTTGAGGGGTGGCAGGGTGGGTGCGACGGCGGTGATATTGAAGCAGGGGCGGTGGGGATTTGGGTAGCGGCGGGGGAGTGGGGGGAACAGTGGACGCAGCCGAGGGAGACGTGGAGGTGGGCTGAGGCTGATCGGCAGAAGGCTCGGGGGTGGGGAATGGGCCGGGTAATGGGTGAGGGTGGTGGAGAGCAGTGGGCTGAGGGATGGGCTGGGCCGTGGTCTCAATGGAAGGAGAGGGTGATGGGGAGGTGGGCTGTGGTAATGTACCAGGTGGAGGCGGAAGTAAAATGGAAGTGGGCTGGGCAGGAGATGGAGAAGTTAAAGGTGGTGAAGTTGAGGGCAATTCAGCAAAGGGGAAACGGGATTCATCAAACAGAACGTGGCGACTGACGTAGATACGACCGGTGGGAATATGAAGGCAACGGTAACCCTTGTGAAGTTTGCTGTAGCCAAGAAAAACACATGGAACAGAACGAGGAGCAAGTTTGTTTGAGGCGATGGGGCGAAGCCATGGATAACAGAGACAACCAAAGACACGAAGACTAGAAATATCAGGAGAGCGTTGAAAGAGAAAATGAAAGGGAGAATCATTGTGCAGAAGAGGTGTAGGAGTGCGATTAATAAGATAGCAAGCAGTGTCAAAGGCGAGAGACCAGTATTTTTGTGGAACATGAGAGTGATGTAAGAGAGCAAGGCCGTTATTAACGATGTGTCGATGTTTACGTTCGGCACAGCCGTTCTGCTCCGGAGTATAAGGACAGGAGGATCGATGAGCAATACCATGGTGAGCGAGATATGTAGAGAGAGCTTGATATTCGCCGCCCCAATCAGATTGAAAGGTTTTGATGGGAAGCCCAAAAAATTTTTCGACCAATTGACGGAACTGAATGAAGACACTAAGCAATTGAGATTTATAACGAATGAAATAAATCCATGAGAATTTGCTATAATGATCATAAAACAAAATGTAATAGGATTGCTCATCATAAGATAAAACCGGAGCGGGGCCCCATACATCACTACAAACGAGTTCGAGTGGAGCGGTAGCCTGGAAAGTGGAGGATGAAAAAGGGAGCTTATGAATTTTACTAACTGCACAACCATGACACAACGAGGGAGGAGAGGAGACAAATTTTATTTGATGCTGATGAAGAGCATGTTTAACGGCTCGTTCATGAGCATGACCAAGACGACGATGCCAGATGTCAAAAGAGGCGGCACAGGCAATTGGAGAGAGTTGGCGAGAAATATGCAGTGGAAGAGAGTAGAGGCCGTTCACTGCATAACCGCGATGAAGTTCATGCCCCGTGCGTCGATCCTTGATAAGAAAAAGAGAATCAAAAAATTCAATAGAGATAGGATTAGATCGAGTGAGAGAACTGATTGAGAGTAGATTGTAAGGAGCATGAGGAACATGAAGAATGTTAGTCAAAGAAATGGGAGCAGTGGACAACGAGGAAGAAGAAGAGCCGATACGAGAAATGGGAAGAGAGTTACCATTGCCAAAGGTGACCTGATCAGTGCCATTATATTCTGAATGATGGGCGAGGTTGTCTAAATCCGAAGTAAGGTGATGGTTTGTACCAGAATCGAGGAGCCACTGTTGCGGATTAAAAGAAGGTGCAGGAGAGGAGGTGTACATGGCATGTGGGCTGTAATTAGAAGAGGAGGCATGTGGGCTGTAATGAGAAGAGGAGGACTGGGCCGAACGGGTTGGTTGAGGCAGATTTGGGCTTGGACAGTTTGGTTTAATGTGGCCACGTCCACCACAATTGTGACAAACCACCTGAGCATTGTTGGGCCGAGGCCCAAGAACTCCTCCAGCTGAGCCCGACCTGCCAACAGAAGGAGAAAACACAGAGGGGTTAGGATAAAAAGGGCGGCCGCCACGGGGGTAGCTGCGTCCTCGCCCACGCCCTCGGCCACGATATCCGCCGGCGGAGGAATAAAAGGCAGCAGGCGAAGGCGAATCCGACTGGGAGGCGTAGCGCTGGATCTGTAATTCTTCGGAGAGAAGAAGCGAATGGAGGTCTTCGAAGCTGATGGGTGCCATACGAGATTCTATATGGCGGACGAACGGACGGTAATCCTCGCCGAGTCCGTCGAGAATCCAGCCCGTCAAGTCGTCGTTGGGAACTGGAGAACCCAGAGCAGCTAGTTGGTCAGCCTTGGCTTTGGCGGTCTGGAGGTAATCATGAATGGAGGAGTCGCCGCGGCGGATGTGCTGAAGAGTCTTTGTGAGCTGCCGAATTTGAACGTGTGAGCCAGAGGCATAAATGGTAGCCAAGGCTGTCCACGCTTCAAACGCAGTAGCCTTATTGATTACATTCGGCAGCACAGCTTCGGAAAGGGAGAGGTTTATCCAGGTGAGCACGTACTGATCCCGATCATACCAAGTCCAATAGGCAGGATTTGGTTGACCGTCGAGAATTGGAGGTGGAGCAGAGAGTGAGCCATCGACATGGCCCATCAAATGATAGCAGCGAAGGAGAGGAGTGATTTGAGCGTGCCATAAGAGGTAATTGGATGGCGTAAGTTTGATGGTCAATTGAAGATTGGCAGGAAGAGACAACGTAGACACTGGCAGTGAAGAAGATCCAGTGACAGCAGCAGTAGAAGAAACAGAGGATGGTTCTGTGCCCATCGTGTGAAGGAAGAGAAGAAGAAATAGACAGGGAGAAGAGAAAAGAAAAGGGATTGACTCGTTAGAGTTCTATAAGCTCTGATACCATGTCAAGAACCAGTTGATCCCAATAACTCGAGTTGTTGGGAGAGGTTCAATCGTGGATCATATACCACAACACTAACACGCCCCCTCAAACGAAAGCCACTCACAAGGGCTTGAAGTTTGCACAGGTCTGAAGACAAGATACCATGTGCTTAACAAATGGGGGTCACCGGGAATCGAACACAAGACCTCTCGGACACAGAAGGCTCTGATACCATGTGAACGCAAGACTTGTGTTGCTCTTATTGAAACAAAGTATTTATAGTACATCAGTAACAGAGGCTAGCTATAGATGTGGAACAGAAAGAGTGGAAGCAGGAACAGAATAAAGTATCCAACGTTCTACTCCTAACAACTTAACAGTAAGTGAGAAACGTAAGGGCCAAGTCCCTTATCAAAGCGTAACCACAGTACGTACAGAGGCCAGGCAAGAAAAATGACTGGAGAAGTACTTCAACACTCCCATAACAAACTTTTCTTCTCCCCCAAGATATAAGAGGTTGACGCTTGACAGAATATAAACCACAAAGCTCTCTGGAAGCTAAGCCTCTGGGTGCTTTGGCAATGAACACCTCTCGGCGAAGTTCCAGCAATTCGGATGGTGCTCCGGTAACGAGGAAGGATCATGGTAGTTGGTTCTTTTCATTTTCCAGCTGAGAAAACAAGGAGATGCAAAGAAAGAGCCATTCATCTCACCATTTCTGGGATCCTTGATGAGCAAGCTGCTGCTTTCGCTCCCCTGGTCTGCCTTGTGTTGTATGAATTGCACTTCAGGCACTTGTGTGCTAAGATGTGGAAGTTCACTTCTGATGTTTCTCCGCAATCATTGCAGAGGATCCAAACCTGCAGTAAGTTCATTGGAGAAAACCGTCCAAAATAAGCTGAGAAAACCTATAAAGAAAAACTCGGGCTTATGTCTCTCACACTCAGTCACTGACTCCTTACCAGCTTATTCTGATAAATTTGTGGCATAGGTGTTGAAGCAACCTGCATCAGATTGGTTTCACATTACAAAATCTAGTGAGGAAGAAACACAATATTCACTCACACCCATGTTTGACTGGTGCATTTGATGTAAATTGTGGTGATCAAACCGTTGCTACAATTGGTATTACCTCTTGATCAAGTTTCTTCCATGCTTGGGACATGTCACAATAGGACTTGGAGCAAACAGGGCAAGAGTATCTACACAAACACACATAAACGGTAGTAAGTACAGTTTATGAACACGGATGACGATTAGAGAAATTAGATCGGTCTCAGCAGTTCTGAGATGCTTACTGAAAATGTCTTTGCATCTGATTAAGGCATTCTACATGGATAGTGTGTCCGCAGTGCAATACTGTGATGTCTTTCGTTGTCTCAAACAAAAACTGTGCCAAGAAGAGGGAAGCCAGTTTTAACAAAATACACCCACTGTGACGAATAATGAGATGTTCTCAGCTTGTAAGTGTACCTCAAAACACACAGGGCAGTTATGGTGCATTGCTCTTTCGACGCAGTTGTGTGAATCCTTCAAAAACGTTGAATAGCAACATCCTAACCATCCAGGACGGCGATAAGTAAGAAAACCAGGATCCCCAATCTTCAATTCTAATGTTTCCTTTATGTCAAGAATCTTACCGCATTTGTCACAGTGGAAAAAGTTATCCTCCCCTCCAGTTCTGAACCATAAAATTTACAGACAGAAACACACCATGAGCAAAGAAAGGAAACTAGCATTTTCATCATCAAAGGTAAGAGTAGGCAAAGGCACAAGTAGTAACCTGCAGATACCACATTCTTTGCAGTGGTATTGCTGCTTTGAGACCTGGGAAAACAAGAATGGGCTGCAGCAATTAAGGTATGCACAAGGCTAAAGCAAAATGCGATTATATTTTTTGAAGGACCGAGGAAGCTTTACATCATCATCGAAGAACTTGCATTCGGAGCAGAAGTACTTCCCCATGCAAACTCCACAATTGATGCAGTGCTGTTGAACCTATTGCATCTAAAGAGAAGTCAAGAAACTGGATATGCATGCAGATACTGTAACTTTCAACAGTGCTCAAGCAAAGGCACAAAGAACTTACATCTTGTTCTGTGTCACAAAGGGAGCAAATGACCTGTTACACAGAACACATCCAAAGATTGCCATTAAGTTGATTAGCCGCTCATTAAAAGTGCAAGGATAAGATGCTATAAACCTTAACTAAAAAGAAATACTCGAATATTCCTCATAAGGATTTCTCAACTTTCTCACAGACAAGGGATCTAGGTAGGACCAAACCATCTCTTTCCAAGTCAAATCACATAGAAAGTGAGGATTTCAAACATTGATAACACCCACTTTTCTTCCTAACCAAAATCGAAGCTGCTAAAACCAACAAAGATGCAAGCTTTAATCAGAAAACTCCTCAACTAACCCGTTTCAGCTGGTGGCGAGGAATGTCATGACGATCATGGCAATCGACTTCAATCGAGTTCTGGGATACGAAGAACAGCAAATATAAGAAATTGCACAAGATTATGGAACAATAACTTATTAAAAGAGAGATAGAAAGAACCTTGGACTCGTTATGGCAATGCCTGCAATCAAATATCTCGTCACAGCACGGCGCCCTGATCTTGCACCTTCTCCTGTAGTGCGAACACCTGATGAAGAAGAGGGGGGGAAAACCCATCAAGATATTTCTCCAGCAAAACCATATTGTATCAGAGGAAGAATGAATTGAAACGAATCAAATGTACGATCAAAATCATTTACCCGAAGTTCCCAATTCCCATATCCTGAAGAGGAGGAGAAGATTGCATTTTCAATCCGCTTTCCATTCCTTCTTTTTTCTCTTCAGCTGCCCACCTGAAATCTTCCCAGGAACCAAACAGACAAACAAACAGGAAATCTCAGAAACGACAGCTCCATTTACAGCGTCTGCTAACTCGAGCTTGGGAAAGCAAGCACTAGTTGAAAGAAACTAACGCCAGAGATCGGCTCGTGGAACGAGGCGGCCGGTGGAAAATTAGGAATCTTTTTTGCAAGAGGGAACCACTTGGATGACGAATCAGTTGTAATTTTTTTTCTCAAGTGGATGCCTCTGCAGCTCTGGCTGAGCTGTCTACAGAAGGAATGGAAACGGAGAAAGCAAAAGGAGGAGGAAGAAAAGAGGATCGGGGAAGCAAAATATCTAAGCCCAATTATTGAGGTGAATTCATAATTAATTACACGTTAATTAGGTTTCTCGGATTTCGCTTTCTCAAAATTATTTTTCAATCTTATCCAAAAACGAATAGCGACACGCCACGTTTGCCATCTCCCACTTGCGCGCCGCCCAGAGTAAACTAAGCACGAGTTTGGTTCAATCGCCGCCCACCCAAGGTTTTTTAACGGGCTGGGCTAACTTTGGGCCGGGCTTAATTAGGTGGTTACGGGTTTTTTATGGGCCATGACGGACCATTAGCAGGAGAAAATCTAACAAAGTAGAGTGTAGACTCCTCCATTTGTTCAAATCGGCCCATTTTCGGCTGGTGATTGGACCCTCCCTTTGATATTCTTCTCCATACTTTACGGGATTATGCGACAAAGTAATTGATGCAAATTTTATTCTTTTTTAATAACTCAGAAACATTCCCACGCATTCACGCCTCACGGCTTGAGTGATGACGGAGTGAGACCAAACTTGGGGGTTCATTTGTTTGAGTATGATGGACACTCCACGAGGATCTCTATTAAATACTTCCGGGAACACCATATCCAGTCTCGGTGGGAGTCAAACACATGATCTGTCACTTCCCGGAATGAGTGCCCAGCAAGGATTTCACTGCTAGGCTATGTGAGCTTTGACGTAATGGATGCAAATTAATTACAACAAAACAACACGAAATGTTTTTATATAAAAAAATTATAAAAATGTACGTATTGCGTCCTATTATTGAATAACTCACAAACTAATCACCTATTTGATTGTAGAAGAGGGAGTAGATTGTCTTGTTGTTTTGTTTTCTTAGGGGTCGTTTGGATGTGAAAATGTAATGCAGTAATTGGACCCAATTACCACATAATACAGTAATTGGGTTAAAAATCCACGTTTGGGAGAGCAAAAATGGTATGGAAATTGGACCATGGAAATTGGCTTCAATTACCACATTCATGGTAATTGAGAATACTACACCTCCCCCTAGTAATTTGACATTACCACGTTTTCTTACTTCTTTTTCCAAATTCCACACCATCAATTCCCACAAAATTAAACCCTATCCAAACGTGAATTTTTTTCAATTTCCACAAGTCAATTTCTTGGTTTTGTAAAATGTGGAAATTCAGACAAATTTCAACAATTTAAAATTTCCACATCCAAACGACCCTTACTGATAAAAGTGTGAAAGGATTTAGTTTGTATGATTTGGATGAAAAGTTTGAGAAATAGTGTTCAATTGGGTTTTATCTCAGTTTATAAATAAATTTTATAGCTTAAATACAACAAAACATTGTTTGTACTGTAGTGGATCACATATTCTTTAATAATTGAAGAGTCATGACGTTTTGGACTCAAAATTAATACTCTACTCGATCTATTTCCCCACAAATTTAAAAGGGTCCCAAAGCGCATTTAGATAAAATATAAAACGAGTGGACATTACTGGGTCCTTTACCCTCAATCACTTTTATTTGATAAGACTTGTTTTTTAATTTTCGCCTCTAACACTAATTATTAGCGAAATTTTTTTTATTAATCAAATTTATTAAATTATTAATAATTAACTAAATCTTTTGTAATGCATTAAAATATTAGCCATTGTTACACTATTGTTATTAATATTGTAACTCTTTTTTAGTTAAAATACTAAAATTTTGGAATATTAACCTCTATGATTCATGTGTCTATTCAAAATCAGTATCATGCTGCCAAGTCAATATTACTAACAAAATTGCTACCTGAAAGTTAGCATTTCAATAAGTATTAGTGATTCAATAGGTTCAGCAAATAAAAAAGAATGCAGGAAAGATTTGGCTAACAATTAGTGTTAACCTTTTTACTTTCAAAACAATTTAGTTGTCTCTCCCTTGATTTAAGAGTATAGGAGTCTAACTTATATGATATATATGAGGTAATTTGCGTTAGTAAATGGTATCAGATTTATAATTAAACTTATTCAAGCAGTTTGAGTAATTGAAATCAACTGATTTTGACATGGTATTACAACCTTCTACTATCGAAAGAACTTTTGTTTGAATCTTAATGATGATCGGATCCCTACATTATTTGTTCTGTGATGTATATGATATCCTCCCATAATTTCTTTGGACTTTTGCATGAACCAGCTTAATACATGTGGCCACCCACTATAACTTTGGTAGTTGGAACAGTTTAATTCACACGTGGTCCATTGTGTACCTTCCTTAGTGGTTACTGGTTAGGACTTAGGATGGATTGTCAAAAATTACAGGGGAAGGGTGGGTATCTATCTACGCCATGGTTGTGACGCCGGCCGGCGTGCCACCGGTTGAACCTGGTTCAACCGATATCGGTCATAAATTCGGCGTGACACCACCGGTATGACCGGCATGATCTATATACGAATCTCCAAGTAAAATGGCTTTATTTTAGTGAATTTAATTGATAAAAAAAATTTATTAATTATTTTATGAGTATAAAAGTTAAATGTTGATGTTATTTGTTGGATTCAAGTATAAATGTTTAAGTATTGACGTTAAATGTCATGTTTAATATGAACATTTATAATTTTATTTGTAATATTGACCGGTATGAACTGGCACAAACCGTTATGTGCCATCGGTCGAACCATTCAATTTGCTAAACCGGCACACTGACATAAACCTGTTTGACAACCTTCATCTACGCCTTCAGTTCTATTAAACCATCTTGTTCTCTCATGCCATTTATCCTTACCACCGCAAAGTACACGGAGAAAGCGAGAGGAGCTGAAGAAGGGTGGGGGCTTTTTTGTTTTGTTTGATGAAGATCGAAATTTTATTCCAAAGTACAAGGTACTTTGAAGACATGGAAGAGGAAAGAGAGAAACTGAGGGATAGGAGTAAAGAAAGGAAAGAGGAAAAGCGAGATCAGGTAGTTTATGACATGACGATTCTCAATATTAATTGTTGTTTTAAAGCACATAGTATGGCAGGATTGTGCGAATTTCAAGTCCATGAGTTGGCTTTTGTTTTGATGGGATGTATAATAAGGAGGTGGTTAAGTACAATACATGGATCTCTTCTAACAATTCAAATTATCGAAACCACTTAGTTTATGAGAAAGGAACCTGCCGATTGAATGAGGTAGTATCTCTTGCTTTGACAGGGTGTCATAAGTTGTATGAGAGAGTCAATATTGTGATAGTATCCAAATGATGTTTATGTATGTTTTTTTCAGATACTCGATTGTCAGCATACAACTGTGATATATGATGAATGAATTCAACTAGTGTTTTGAGTCTTTCTGATGATGTATTTGATGATATGTAATGCTAAGGGCTAATACCACTGGGAAACCCGAACTATTAACTTTGTGTCATTTGTGTCCTAAAGTATTCGATACGACATTTGTGTCCCAACCTATTATAGTTTTGTGTCATTTATGTCCTGACGATTTTGTTGACCGTTATATATAACGGTTGACCAGACGGTGGTCAACTTGATGTTGACTTTTGCTGATGTGGCAAACACGTGGCAGCCACGTAGATGCCACATCATTGACACCTCATATTTGTAATTAAAATTTAAATAAAAATAAAATGGAGAAATTAAAAAATTAAAAATTAAAAAACTTCTCACTATCATCTCTACCGATTAGCCTTTCTCTCTTCTAATGTTGTCGTCTCCGCGCAAATCGCCCAAATCCAAATCCAAATCACAAATGTCCACCACCGCCTTTCACCACACAATTTCCGGCCGCCGATTCTCCAACCAAATCACTCAACCTCCACTTCCAATCAAAGTCCCACCCCATTGAGAAAACCCTTCACCGTTCTCACATCGATTGGAACAACGTGGCGAGGCCTACTTCCAATCGAAGTCCTACCCATATTTCTATCTCTCTCTCTTACTAGATTTTGCGGTGACAGAGAAGGGAAGAATGGTCGATGGCGAGAGGGAGGGAGGGAGGGTGCGATAGTCCCTTGAGGATTTGGGCGAATCTGTTTTGGAGAGGGGAAGCGACAACCATTACTGGGAAGCCAACTGCGAGGGGAAGAAGAAGACATCGTCGACCATTGCTTGAAGCGGGCAAGACAACGGCGGCTCGGAGCATGATTTGGGGATTTTCTCTGGCAGAGCTCCCAATCTCCAGCTACCTCGTTCCAATCGACGTCGTCTTCTCTGGCAGAGCTCCCAGCTCCAATCGATATCTTCTCCAACGACGTTTCCAACTCCAGATGTCGTGTGTACCAGTTGCCGACAAGGAAGCGGATGGAAGCTTGAACCCATACCAAATCGTCGATGGAAACCTATATAGCCAAAACCATCTCTGACTCTGCCGTATTTGAATTGCTTTTCATCGTTGGGTTTCATTAGATCTGGGTTTCTGCGTTTCCTTGGATCTGGGTTTCTGCGACCACTTTCAGAGCTTGAGGATTGGGTTTCAGGGAGGATTTTTCAGACTGGATATAGACGGCGGCGGAAATAAGGAAGAGAGGAGACGAAGAAGCAGCGGACGGGAGGAGAAGGGGACGAGAGAGTTGTAATTTTTTTGTTTTTTATTTTTGTATTTAAAATTTTTATTATATGGAAAAAAATATTAAAATTAACATTAAATTTCCACATCAGATGCCACATCAGCGCTGACTAGGCTTTCTGTTAAAAACTAACGGTCAACGCTAGTCAACTCTAACGGAAAAATAGTTTAGGACACAAATGTCGTATCGAATACTTTAGGACACAAATGACACAAAGTTAATAGTTCGGGTTTCCTAGTGGTATTAGCCCTAATGCTAATTGTGAAATGTTTTACATGTAATTTTACCTATATTTTAAAATTGAGAGAGCTACAAACTCCTTCTAACTTTAACCTAGCTCCACCACTGACGAGAGCTATAATATCCTATACGGCGGTCGGCGAGTATGGTGCTTGTCTCTGCTCTGCCACGACGATGGAGTTTAACCCGTATCCACTAAAAGTCTTTCGAGTTCGAGTTTTACCCTACCATAATAAGTCGGATTCGAGCGGATATCCACGGTTACAGATATTTTTGTCATCCCTACCTGACCCGAAGACACGGTGTGGGGTAGGGCTTGGGTACTATTTCTGCAATGTTCTGTCTCGTCTTGTTCTCGTTCTACCTTGATTTATCTCAATATCTATCGGTATCTCTTCTATTTTGACCTATATTCATTCATATTTTCAACTAATTGGACTCAATTAATTTTTCTATTATCTATGTTTCTCATTTATGAGTGATTTCCCATTGTATAATTGTTAAAAATGAATATATATTTTTTTTTCAAACGATATATACGAATAGGTCGACCTATTTCGACTCGCACAAATTTTACCCAACATGATTCCACTTGATGCAAAACGGATATGGACATAAAGGTACTGCCCCTCCCCATTCCCATCCTTGTCCCTCATCCTGCACCGAGATCTTTGGTAGCTTTCTCAAAAAAAACATTATTCTTTGATAGCAATCTTCACCACATAGTACACAAAAACCCTAAACAACAACACAATAATGAAACAATGAAATGAGCACCTGCATGGCCCCCAGTTACTGTGATAATTTTGTCCTCCACTCCATGCAACTTGCTCATTCACAGTCATCCTTCCATTTAGTTTCGTCTTCTTCAAATATAGTTGGTTTGATGTATCGATTCTTACCCTTTCCCTACCCTCTGTCTCTCTGAATTCCCCCCCATAACTCTGTTTTCTGTAGTGACTTTTTCTAGCGCCTAGGCTGTAATCAACAAATCTGGGCCCCAGGTACTCTTATCATCGAAGGACAGGAAGGGACAGGCTTCCCATAAATAGCAGCTAACTTGTGTTTCAAAGCCATTGCACTTTGCAGAGTTTACAGTCTTGAGTTTTTATTACAGGATGGGGATGTTCAAGAAGCAGCAGAAGGAGGAAAGGGAAGAAACAGAGCAGCCTCTCCTCCTTCCTCCTTCTTCTTCATCATCATCATCATCTTCTTCTTCTCAGGATCATGTTGGTGATCGAGATTCCACTCTCACTCCAACCTTTCTTCTCAGCATCTTAGCAGTTGCTTGTGGCTGCTTCGCCACTGGTTGCACTGTGAGTTTCCAGTATGATTAATGGTGGCATTTTGGTGACGCAGTTGCTGCAATGTTATGAGATATACTCTGTTTTCTCTGGCTTGACTGTGCAGATAGGATATACTTCTCCTGTTGAGTACCAAATCATAGGGGAATTGGGTCTCTCAGTTGATGAGGTTAGTGATTGATTCGAATCTAATTACTCAGCTATGCAGAGAGATACAGAGAGAGGCAGAGGTTTACAGAGTTTTTCTGTGCAGTACTCTGTTTTCGGGTCAATGATGGTTGTTGGAGGACTGGCGGGTTCACTAGTCGGTGGGAAGATTACAGAACTCAGTGGAAGGAGACGTGTAAGGATGATTACTACCTTGAATTGTCACGTAAGTTTGTTTTTCTTCTTCTTGTTCATGGCGAGGAATTTGTAACAAGAACTGTTAATTTCGGTGCAGACAATGATGGGTTTGGATGGACTGTTCATAGGTGGATGGTTGACAATTGCATCTGCAAAGGTCTAATCTTTTTCCATCTTCTTCATTTTTTTTCTGTTGGTTATGGTAGTCCTTGAGGCTTGAGATATTTGCTTAATGGCTGCTTGCTCCTGAAGTTATGTGGGGCTGTTATCTCCAATTATTGTAAAACCGTACTGGGAACGACAATAATTAGTGTATTTTATTCTTAAAGTGTGGTTCAATCGGTTTATATCGCTAAAACTGTCTTCGAAAAGACTTTCGGTTTTCAGCATTTTTCGGTCCAACCGGGTGGTATCTGAAACATTTGTTATCTTGTATAGGGTGCTCCACAGCTTTACTTTGGGATGCTCTTGATTGGAATGGCAGCACCCATCAATCTTTATCTGGTAATAATTTTGGCCTCAAAATCCTCACTAATTTTCTCGCGGATTCACAATCGTTGTGAATCAGTGGTGGAACCCGTAGTTGAAATTAGGTTATCATTTATTTGGAATATAAATAATTTCAATTCTAAATTTTGGTTTTAATATAATAAATAAATATTATAATAATCAAGTAACAAAAAATGAAATTTAATACCATAATAAAATATCTTCATGTCACCTCAAAATGGTGAATTTTATCTCTACATAAACAAATATGGGGTTTTATTGTCTTTTTACAAAAAACTTACCTGTATCTGTGACAAATCTCAAAAACCCTCCACTCGTTCGTTTGTGGCTGTGACTTGTGGTGGTGGATAGTATTATTCGAAAAAATATTTATTTTTTCCTGTGATCAATGATGAACGATTGATCGGACTAAAAGTTTAATAAACCAGACTATGAGACCAGTTACGACGCAAAACAATATCTACGATCCACCGTCTAACCTCGCCTTTTTCCTTTATGGGGAAGGCCCCTATTTATGTTGCAGAGATCACACCCAGCAACCTAAGGGGAACAGTAGTCTCAGTCACTCAGCTGATAATGTTTTGCAGCATTTCATTCGCATACCTTTTGGGGTCATTGATCAACTGGCGTGCTTTGGCACTAATAGGTATCTAGCTACGCTATATGAAAAAAATATGCAACTACATTAAAAGTTTTGGAATCATGGTTTTTTTTGTATGTTTGTTCAGGAGCAATTCCATGTCTAGTGCAGCTGCTTCTTACTATGTTCATCATCCCTGAGTCTCCAAGGTGGTTGGTGGGTACATTAAACTGACCTTTGGTTTGTGGGGTTGATTACAATAATAAACCGGTTTGTTGAATTGTGGGTTGGTTAGTTAGTCTAAGCTTAATTGCAAGCCACATGGATTGTAGGCTAAAACTGGGAAGAAAAAGGAGTTTGAGGCTGCCCTGCTGCAGCTTAGAGGAGGAAATGCTGATATCTCTTGGGAAGTTGATGAAATCAAGGTAAAGAGGTTGTTTTTGTTATTTAATAGATGCATAGAGAAATGCCATATATACATATTTATATGAGGCTGATGATGATGATCCATCAGGAATATATAGAGACCATCAACAGCATCTCTTCTAAGGACAGCAGCTTCCTGGATATGTTCCAGAGACAGTATGCAATTCCTTTGATAGTAAGCCACCATTCTTTGAATCAAACTCAAGATCAGCTCTCTCTCGCTCTCGATCTGTCTTTCGTGTTCTGCCTCTAAACACTTGGTCAATGATGATGGGCAGGTTGGAAATGGCTTGCTGGTGTTGCAGCAATTCTCAGGGATGAACTCATACAATATGTATACTGATGTCATCTTTGTTTCTGCAGGTTTGAAATTTCATTATGTTATATATGGATTCCTAATTCCTTGTGACATTGCTCAGAATTCATGGAAAGTAAAGTCATCTTGCTTACTTTTTTATTTGGTGTTATGCTGTTCAATGGCAGGAATCCCTAGCACTGCTGGGTTCTTGGCAGTGGCATCTTTCCAGATTGTGGGAGCATTTTTGGCTGCTACAATGATGGATAGATATGGCAGAAGACCTCTTTTACAGGTTAGTCACATAGAAAATGGTAGAAAGATTTGTCTTTTAAAAAGGTAGCCACATAAGTTGGAAATCCTTAGTGGAAATAATTCTGGTTTGTTTTGGTAAGGCTGGAGTTATTGGAACATGCCTTGGGAGCTTGCTTACTACACTGTCATTCATCCTCCAGGTTTCCACTGTTCTCTATGGATGGATAATAACCCTAAATCCCTAATTAACTATCACTTTCTCTTGAGAGCTTGTTCCTTTTTCTTGCTGGGAAAGATTAAATCCTGAAATGTTTTTTTTTTTGGATTTCATATATGCTAGGGCTTTGAGGGATGGAGTAGAATGACTCCAACATTGGCACTCCTAAGTGTAATGGTAAGAACACATATGAGATTTAATTCCTTCCTTCCTACGAACCCATGTGGCAAAACTCTTTATTTATCGAGCATGACTTCATCTCCAAGTTTCGAATAAAGAACTTCATTTTGGATCTATGTTGATGAACTGATACAAAATTTGATAAATTTTCCATTTTTCGTTGGCAGATATACGAGGGAGCGATTGCTGTCTGGAGTGGAATTCCATGGATGATTGTAGCAGAGGTAATTTCGTAGAAGATATATTTGAGAGACTTGTCGATATTACTTTCAGGCCATGAATTTTTCTTAAATAAAAATGAACTCATTATTTTTTTTTTTTTTAAATACTTAATGTGGCTGTGATCAGCTATTTCCTCTGAGCATCAAAGGATCAGCAGGGACAATGTGTTGCCTATCCTACAATATATCTTCACTCATGGTTTCATTGACCTTTCAATCTTTGCTTCAGTGGAACCCTCCAGGTAAACCTTTCTTCTTTTGATAAGTGGGAAATAGTAAAAAGTGACGAATAATAATGTCCTTTGTTTGAGGAAATTATACAATTTTTGTATAAGCATCATGAATCATGTTATTGAGTGAATTCAGTGTTTTTGAGCGGTTGCTTTGTTTGGCCATAGGTACATTTCTTATATACGCAGGTGCGAGTGCTGTGGCAATAGGATTCGCAGTCAAATTGGTTCCTGAAACTAGAGGGAAAACCCTTGAAGAAATCCAATCCTCTTTCACCCACAAGTGAATGAACCACCCAAGATTTTGGGGGGTGAAATAGATTGCTACGGCGTGAAACATTTGTACTATCTCAAAGACACGAAATCCTTTCACGAGGTTGGAAATTAGATCCTTCACCACGAAATCCTGGATTTTCATGGCCTTGAATAAGTTGTTTGATGAACGAATGAATGAAAGCTAAGTTGTTAATTTACCAAAGAGATCTAAGCAAATGTACGATCAAGATTATTATACTCGAAAATTCACGATGGTAGTAAGTGACAGATGATTCATAATTAAGGTTCTCCCAACAATTTGAATTATTGGGATCAACTGATTCTTGACACCTTATTTTCTTTGTGAATAAGAGCTGAAAATTCTACTTCGAACCTGCTCTCCGTTCCTTCCTTGAAAAATTTTCCAGGAACCAAACAGACAAATAAAGAGAAAATCCCAGCTATACCTACGGTTGATAAAAAAAAAATGCCGGAAAAAAAAAGAAACGCGGTGAGGCGGGATATAGCTGGGATTTTTGTTCGAGGAAGCATAATATCTAAGCCCAATTATTGAGGTTAATTACTAATTAATTACACGTTAATTAGCTTTCTTGGATTTCGCTTTCTCAAAATATTTTCAAATTATATCCAATAACGAATAGAGACACGCCACGTGTTGCCATCTCCCACTTTCCCGCCGCTCTAAAGCAAAGGAAACGAAGCACGAGTTCGGTCCCACAAATCAGCCCCTCAAGTTTTTTTAAACGGGCTGGGCCAACTTTGGGCTTCGCTTAATTAGGATGCTACGGATTTTTTATGGGCCATGACGGACCATAGCAGGAGAAAGTCCAACAACGTAGACTAATCCACTTGTTGAAACGGCCCATTTTCAGCTGGTACTTGGACTCCTCCACTTGTTTGCATTATCATAGGAGACTTAATGTGGCTCGATTTTTGACCACATGATCTTGACGAATGCTCGAGAAAGAAAAAAAAAATTGATCGAATTGATATTTGAATTGGACCTAATGCAGTGTTGGTACTATCCGATTCTAACATATCGTTCATACTATTGGATCGTAGTTCTCATAAGTTTGATCGGACTAGAATATCACACACCTGAAACCATACTCTAATTTACAGTGTTCACCAAATTGACCACTTGATGTGCCAAAGACTGCATTTTTGACAAACACCACCAGACAGTGAAACAAATGAAATCAGCACGTTCATCATCTTAACAATAATGTCTTCCATTCAATTCCATGCACCGTGGGTAAAGCGATAGCCACTCCTTCTTTTGAGTGATTGATTTGATATATTTTGATTGTTAGTAGTTAGTAGTACACTTCCCCTGCCGATGTCTTTATCTAGCTGGGTTGTCATCAGTAAATTCAGGAGAGGTCCCAACTCCATCGCCATAAATATCAATAGCCACTAACCTGTGTCTCAAAACAAAATGTGGTGACAGTGTTTACAGTCTTGGGGGGTTTGATTACAGGATGGGAATGACCAAGAAGCAGGAAAGGGAAGAAACCAGCTGCAGCAATGGGGAAGAAGGAAGAACACAGGCACAGCAGCCTCTCCTCCTTCCTCCTTCTCAGGGCCATGATGGCGGCGGTCGAGATTCCCCTCTCACTCCAACTTTTCTTCTCAGCATCCTGGCAGTTGCTTGTGGAAGCTTCTCCGCTGGATGCACTGTGAGTGTCCAATTCAAATGGTGGCCGCCCATTTTTGGTTGTTGATGCAAATGCTGCAAATGTTATGATTGTCTGTTTTTTCCCCCCCATGTGCAGATAGGATATACTTCCCCTGTTGAGTACCAAATCATTGAGGAATTGGGTCTCTCAGTTGATGAGGTAATTACTCAGCTAGGCAGGAACAGAGAGAGAGGCAGAGGTTTACAGAGTTTTTTTGTGTGCAGTACTCTGTTTTCGGGTCAATGATGGTTGTTGGAGGACTGATGGGTTCTATAGTCGGTGGGAAGATTACAGAACTCATTGGAAGGAAACGTGTAAGGATTGTCACATCAAGTTTCATTTCTTCTTGTTCATGGCGAGGAATCTGTAACAAGAAGTGATAAATTTTGGTGCAGACAATGTTGGGTCTGGATGGACTGTTCATAGTTGGATGGTTGACAATTGCATTTGCAGAGGTCTGATTCTTTCCTTTTTTATTCCCCTTGTTGTTTGTTTTGATTCTTGAGAGATTCCCTTAATGGTTGATTGCTTGCTTCTCAAGTAATGTGGGTGTTGTTATCTTGAATAGGGTGCTCTACAGCTTGACTTAGGGATGCTCTTGATTGGAACTGGAGCATCCATCAATATTTACCTGGTAATAACTAATTTTCCTCTGCGCTTTTCACCATCCGATTGATGAACGATTGATCGGATTGAACCAGTTACGATGCAACAAAATAAGTATCCACGATTCGCGCGATTTAACCCTTTAAGAATCGTAGCCATGTAGTTCATTTTTCCCTTTTATGGGGGAAGGCCCCTATGTATGTTGCAGAGATCACACCCAACAATCGAAGGGGAGCAGCGGTGTCAGTCACTCAGCTGACGATGCTTTGCAGCATTTCATTTGCATTCCTTGTGGGTTCATTGATCAGCTGGCGTGCCTTGGCTATGATAGGTACCAACCTAGCTACAAGAACTGCATTGAAGTTTTTGGAATCATGGTTCTGGTTTTTTTGTTCCCTCCCTTCATGCTTGTGAATTATTTCTCAGGAGCAACTCCATGTTTTGTGCAACTGCTTCTTGCTATCTTCTTCATCCCTGAGTCCCCTAGGTGGTTGGTGAGTACATAAAACCAACCTGTGATTTGTGGGTTGATTACAATAAATTGATTTCCAACCACTTGGATTGCAGGCTAAAACTGGGAAGGAGAAGGAGTTTGAAGCTGCCCTGCTGCAGCTTAGAGGGGGAAATGTTGATATCTCTTGGGAAGTTGATGAAATCAAGGTAAATGGAATGTTTGCTTTTTTGGTAAATTCATAACAAAAAATTAAGTTCCAATTCCACTTGCAGAAGGTAACTAAAATGACCTATGTATGATCCATCAGGAATATACCAAAATCATCCATGGCATCTCTAAGAACAGCAGCATATTGGATATGTTCCAGAAACAGTATGCAATTCCTTTGATAGTAAGCCCTCTTTCTTGAATCAAACTCAAGAAACTCTCTCTCTATCTTTGGTTTTCTTCCACTAATCAATTGGTGAATGATGGGCAGGTTGGAAATGGGTTACTGCTGCTGCAGCAATTCTCAGGGATGAACTCATATGCAATGTATACTGCTGCCATCTTTGTCTCTGCAGGTTTGACATTCAAGTAACAAAAGAAAAAAATGGCTTCTTAATTCATTGTGACTCACATGACTCAAAATTCATGGAAGGTAAAGTTCCTGCTTTTTGTTTTGTAGGAATCCCTAGCACTGTTGGGTTCTTGGCAGTGGCATCTTTCCAGGTTTCTTTAACTGAAATGAAATCTAAATTTTGCTCTCCATTTGTAATATGATGTGGTAAAAGAAGATGTCTAAAAAGGGTTCAGCTGTGTTTCCTTGTTTATCAAAATTTTACAGCTTGTGGCAACATTTATGGCTGCTGCTTTGATGGATAGATATGGCAGAAGACCTCTTTTACAGGTTAGCCACAGAGAAATGGTAGAAAGACCTGTTTTACAAGATAGCCACATAAATTGGGAATCCTAAGTATCAATTTTCGGTTTGTTTTGATAAGGTTGGAGTTATTGGAACATGCCTTGGGAGCTTGCTTACTGCACTGTCATTCATCCTACAGGTTTTCACTACTTTCTTCAAAGTTTGTTCCTTTTTCTTGCTGGGATAGACTCCTCATTATTTTTCAAATTTCATGTATGTTAGGGATTCGAGGGATGGAGTAGAGTGTCTCCAACTTTGGCACTGCTAAGTGTAATGGTAAAAAGACTTTTGAGATTCCTTCCTTTCCTAATAAAAGCACGTGACGAAACTCTTTCTATCAAAGCATAATTTCGCTTGCAAGTTTCATATTTCAAACCTCATTTTGGATTTATGTCATTAAATCAATACAAAATGAGTCAGCTTACATATTCTTTATTACTTTCTTGATGGCAGATATATTCGGGATCTATTTCCATTTGGAGTGGAATTCCATGGATGATTGTAGCAGAGGTAATTTGATAAAAGATAGATTCAAGGCATTAAGGATTAGATTTAACAAGGATTAGAGGTAGAATCATGGACCAATAGTGAAAGATATTTTAAAATTCATGAAACCGGATCCAATTATATTTGGTTCAGTATGATTCTATACGAACCAAATCATTGCAACACCTATACCATCTTCAAGCCCTAATTTTTTTCAAATAAAAATGAACTAACAGTTTAATTTTTTTTTTTAACTTTGATTGTCATCAGATATTTCCTCTGAATATCAAAGGATCAGCAGGGACAATGTGTTGTCTATCCTCCAGCATATCTGGACTCATGGTGTCGGTTTCTTTCCAGTCTTTGCTCCGATGGAGCCCTCTAGGTAAACCCTTTTCTTACAAAATTTGACTTATGCATACGAATTACTAGTAGTATTTTCGAGCAAATGTCTTAAATCTTTCTGTTGTTGCTCTTTTGGCCAGGTACATTTCTTATGTATGCAAGTGTCAGTGCTGTGGCGATAGGGTTTGTAGCCAAGTTGGTTCCTGAAACTAGAGGGAAAACACTTGAAGAAATCCAATCCTCTTTCTCTCGCGAGTAAACAAAGTAACAAACACCCCAATTTACAGTTTGTAGCATTTGTATCATCTTAAGCCACAAAATCCTTTTATGAGGTTGGGAAGTAGATTCCTCACCCCCCCTAAACTATGGAAAAGCTATAGTCAGAGCGATAATTTTTCTGACCTTGATAGAATTATTCCATGAAGGAAAGTAAGTTTTTTTTTTAATAATAAATTTCACAGGAAGAATACCTTACACGCCTCTTTCTGCTCGCTGATGAAACACTCTAAATTAGAACAAAGAAAAAAGTTTATTTCACCACATTATGAACAACCCAACCGGCACTCATAGGAACCACACACACAACTCTAAACCTATATTTAGAGCAGTTACCATCTGAACACAATCTGTGAGAGTGGGGAACTCCAACAACATTTGCTTCCGATCTCCTAAATCGGAAATCAAACCGGGTTGGACCCATTTTCGGGTTACACACCTTGTGGGTTTGTCCATGTGAAACATGCTGGCCTTGATTTGGTGGCCATACAAGTCCCTATCACTACGCCATATCCCCTATCCTTCCTCCTCCAACTATGCCGAATACTTTGCATTAATATCTTCCCCTTGAATGTTTCTGGTGCAGAAGCAGAACACAGTATTGTATTTATTTTTGAGCACACATTTATTCTGAAACCGCTGGCCGTAACGTAGCCCACTGTCCAAACCGGCACAGAACCCAGACCGGCCCGACCCTTCTGGTGGACCCTCGAACCCACTTTCCTGGTTTTTGGACGGTGATGCCGACAACGTCTCCCGGGGAATCATGTGGACTATGCCCTGCCACGTTGCGACATCTAATTGGATGGGGAAAGACCAAAAGGAAAGGTGGTGAAATTGCTAGCGGTTTGCCTTGTGATTCCAAATCGATCTTTCCTTCTCTACCTACCTTCTCAATGAGAGCATAGAAGGTATGTATTTGATGATTGCGAGGGTATTTGATGTTTTTGATTTTAAGCGTTGTGAGGTCGTTGTTAAGATTGTGAGGTCAGTTGTTAATTAAATGATGTACAATGTTGGTATTGAGTCGATAAGAAGAGGTTTGTTGTTGATGTGCATGATCTTTGAATATTATGTACGTACTTCCATTTTTTGTATAAGTTGAGATATTATGTACTTCCATTATTTCGGGATAGTTGATCGCCATTTGTGATCTAATTTTTTTTTTTAATGAATTGATACATATATAACGGACAATGGTATGAACAATCTTTGCATCCCAACCATACAGATAGAACACGGCAAGAAAAAAGATGTTGGAGAAACGGTGAAAACACCTCTAAACCAAATCATACGTGAATTTAAAGAAAGCATATATACGTGGTGCCAAAAAAAAAAGATAATGGCTAATCTGCCGACAATCATCAGAGAGAACACTAGCCTAGGATCAACTAAAGGGCCTCATCAAATCTGTCATGAACTAACTTGTTACAATAACTCGAGTTGTTGGAGAGGTCAGTGTATGGTACTTAACCATTTCTTTGCACCTCTCTCAAACGAAAGGCAACTTATGGTATTATATTGAAGTAATTTGCATAGTCTCGTCATGGTGCTATACCATGTACTTTAAAGACAACGGTTAATATTTGGATCGTGAGGACTTGAACATGTAACCTCAAATGTTGGAGAGGTCATCAAGACTTCCTGCTAGGGCTAAACCTACGGCCAAAACTATCATACGTCTAACCTTACTAATGGACTATATACAAGTATCATGGGCCTAATCCACTAACATCATATACAGTAAACTCTCCACACCCAAACCCTCAGAAACACACTCGATATAGATGCATCATATACGAAGAAGAAACAGCCCAAGCCCTACTGTCAAAAAAAAAAACGTCGACAGAGAAAACAAGCAAGGTTTTCACTTTTCTCAACTTTCATATATGTAGACTGTAGAGTAGTAATTTACACTGTTCATACATTTCATTTACTTTCCCTCTAAAGAGAACTAGGAAGGACACAACCATGTCAGTCCGTGGAGATAGTAATAGTATGTACACCAAACATATTGATCCTCTCTCGACTAGGGCTGGGCTAAACTGCTGGCTAGCTAGCAAAAACTTTCATACGAGCTGAGTTTCGTGAGCCATTTTTGTTTCGATGGTTTGTTGAGTTCAACTCGTAAGTTTTGCTTGATTTGAGTCACGAGCTCGCTCGACAACCACCTCAACTAGTAACTTATGAAGGGAGTCGACTAATGGCTTATTGTAGGCTTGTTGATAATTCACATATTTGTTAGATTATATATCTCGCCACATGTGATGTTTAAGAATTTGAGCACACATTAAATGTGTCTCATTTATAATTTAAAAAAGCAATTATGTATCATAAATTGCTCTTATTTAAATAACATGATATGAACAGTTAAAACTTATGAACTAAATTATATAATATGTAAACTCGAGCCGATCTTGCAAGCTAATTGATGAGCCGAACTCGAATTATACAAAACAAAATTTTGTAAACAGGCCGAGCTCAAACTCAACTTGTTTATTAACATGTGGAGCTCAAGTTAAATCAAAACTCGACACTACTCGACTCGTTTGCAGTGCTAGAAAGGACCCTAGATAAGGACCTGAGGGAGAGATATGAATAGGGATGGCAACAAAACCCGAACGACGGGTACCCACCCGGCCCAACCCGGTCAACGCGGGTAAAATCCGTGTTGACGGGTTTTGGGCCGGGTTTGGGTTTAAACCCGTTCACTATTCACCGGGTTGGGTTGGGTTTGGGTTTAGGTAAACCCGACCCGTGGGTACCCGCCCACCCATATAATTAATTTTTTCGATATATTTAATATTCTAAACAACTAATCTTATTTATGTTTCTGGAGACATGTCTAATTTTTTCTTTTTAATTGTGTAGAATGAAGTTGTTGTTATGGAGTGGAGAGTAAAGAAACTTAATTGAAAGGAAGAAGCTTTCAATTAAACATGTTATTTATGGATAATTTGTGATTTGCTTTAATTTTCTTGAGTTTTCTGGATTGGTGTTGAACAATTTGTATAGTTAATTTGTGATTTGCTTGAATTTTCTAGAATGATGTTTTATATATGGATAATTTGTATTGAGAGATTGATATTTGACTTTAATTTTTATAAGAACTTGTAATTGTAAATTTTTTACGACAAAACTCGTGGGTACCCATGAACCCGCGGATACCCAACGGGTTGGGTTGGGTTTGAGTTTTTCAAACCCAATGAATTTTACCCCGGGTTTTTTTCAAAAACAAACTCATAGGTTTGGGTTTCGGTTTGGCAAAACCCGACCCAACCCGACCTATTGCCATCTCTAGATATGAATCAATAATTAAATGGGTCCATCCTGCCCCAAAGGGTTTATCGTCTTGCGGAGGGCATGTTGGGACTTTTAGGGACGAGGGTACATGTACGATAGCCCGAGACCTGGTGACTAGGATTATGATAGAGTCGTGAACTATGTTCACTTTCCGAAAAGAATATTTCCACCCTCTACAAAGCCTTGGGTTACAGAAAATTTCTCCCGAGGATAAAACTATCACCACTTTAGGTTCCAGGCTCAAGAACACTAAAGCATACTTAGAAGTTTATTAGGAAGAAGAATAGATTTTGGTGTTCTTTTCCCACCAACCGCTCCCATCTATTTATAGATGCTAAAACCACGAACTACTTCATAATTGAAGCAATATAATGTTTCATGGTTGACGGGCAGTTAGAAATGAAAAGAGGCATCCATTCAGCCAAGGGACGTACATCTTCGTTGATTTCAAAGTCAAGGACAAACTGCCATACAATGCAATGGACGTATAGGTTAGTCCATTTCAAATTCATGGTAGTTTAATTTTGTCCATTATCTTTAAAATTATGACACGTTGCTTACATGGCCAAGTGATATGCCATTAGTTTGAATTAATGTGTCATTGCTTTCATGGCTAACTGCCATGCAACGTGTGGTAACAGGTGTCCAAACCGGTCCGATTTAGTTAGTTTCAACCAAACTCAGTTTCACCTAATTCCAACATTAGTTCACGACTCTATCATAATCCTAGTCACCAGGTCTCGGGCTATCGTACATGTACCCTCGTCCCTAAAAGTCCCAACAATCGAAAAGAATAATTTTCCGGTACGATGGCTCGAACTGCTCTTTACAAGAAACCGGTTCCGGTCTATGGAATTATGAGAATGTTCGATGATGGGTTTTTCATCGATGGCAGTAGAAGATGGATTTTCTTCGTACTTATCTCATGGTGTATTCCATATCCGGAAGGTAACTTGGAAGAGGGGTTATTCGAGGATGAGGAAGAAGGAGAATGATTCGTAAAATGGAGAAGTAGAAGAATGGAAATTGCCTTTGGGTAGGTCACATACTCAATGGTTAATTGGCCTAATTCTCTATTCGACATTTACGAAGTTCTAGATAAACTTGGATTTGTCTAGTAGTTTGGTGGTGTGATTTTGTCTAGTGGTTTACGTTAAACCAAAGAGACGAAATTGTGTATACAATGTTTGATGATTCTGGTAATAGAGTCGTTGTGTTTGTATGTAAATGACATATTTATCTTTGGGACCAATCAAAGATAAGTGATTTTGTCAAGTGGTTTATGTTATTTTAAACCAAAGAGACAAAATGTGTACACAATTTATGATGATTCTGGTAATGAAGTCATCGTACATTTGTATGTATAAGACATGCTTATCTTTGGAACCAATAAAAGATAAGTGAACTTTAATAAAAAGTTGTTATTTCAATTCTCCATGTAGGATATGGGGGAGGCAAATGTGATTCTGTGTATTGTATCAAGCGGAACGACAAGAAAGAGTCCTTCTCTCAATTTTTCTGCATGAGAAGGTACTTGCATAAATTCCATAGTAGGAATTGTAGTGAGTTAAAGATCCCAATGGATCCAAGTATGGAACTTATGGTTAATACTGAAAATCAGTTTTACAACTGGAGTATTCCATGTTAAATTGAGGGCTCGATGTATGCATGATTTACATGATGCTAGATATCGCATATGCGATAGAACAATTAAGTTGGTATGTGATGAATCCTAGTTCTCATCATTTGAAATGAAATGAGGCCTGTACTAGGATATGTCAAAGGCACACTGTATTGACTTATAGTGGCTTTCCATCAATTTTGGAAAGGATTTGTTGATGTTAGTTGGATTTCTTATGTTAAAGGTGATACTTCAACATTGAGATGGGTCCTCTTGCTTGGGAGAGGTGCCATAATTTGGGCCTCTAGAAAGCAAACTTGCATCACTAAGTTTCACTATGGAATCAAAATTTATGTGGCCTTGATTTCTCTTAGAGAAGAGACATAATTGTTGAGAGGTTTGGTTTATGACATATATTTATTGCTAAACCAATCTCACCTATTACTATCTTTTGTGATAGTAATGCTAATTTGGCTAAGGCATATAGTCAAGTGAAAATGACAAGTATGGTCATGTGGGAGTAAGGCACGGTAAAAGCTGTGAGCTGATCATTCATAGTGTTGTGTCTAGACAGTATGACCAAACTCAAAATAATTTGGTTGATCATTTGACGAAGTGGTTAACTAGTGACTTGGTGATCAAGTTTGTGAAAGGGATGGGTTAAAGTCCATATAATTTCTGGTAATGGGACACCCAATTCCCCTCTAATACAACGTTAGAGGCTGAATTCAATGTGGAAAGCTTATTATCAGAAATTGAAGCACACAATTATTCATCCCGAGGTATGTGCTTGTTATCCTGCATGAGAGAAAGAGGATGAAGTTCAAAACTTCTTAATTGAATCTTTGAAAAAGTGTATTATGCGGGTACACGAATAAGAGATTCAACCTACGTAAGCATGAAGTGTAGCCGCTTCAAGAAACCCGGACTTTGGTTTCGTGTGCGCTTATGAGAAGGATTGGACACATGGCGGGTAATAGTGTCAAGGCGCTTAGAAGTTTTGAAAACTTAAGTGTATATTATCTTCGAATATTCATATGAGTCAATGGGTTCAATCGTTACCGACACCCTTTGTATTCGAGTATTCGTCAAGTGTAATATACTAAGGTGAAAATTCAATCGTCACGACATTTTCATTTATGCTTATGTTTTGTTGGAAGAATGTTGTGATTTTAGTGAATTCTTTGAATACACTAAAATGGGGGAGTAATGTTGGAATTAGGTGAAACTGAGTTTGGTTGAAACTAACTAAATCGGACCGGTTTGGACACCTGTTACCACACGTTGCATGGCAAAGCTTTGGCATGGCAGTTAGCCATGAAAGCAATGACACATTAATTCAAACTAATGGCATATCACTTGGCCATGTAAGCAACGTGTCATAATTTTAAAGATAATGGACAAAATTAAACTACCATGAATTTGAAATGGACTAACCTATACGTCCATTGCATTGTATGGCAGTTTGTCCTTGACTTTGAAATCAACGAAGATGTACGTCCCTTGGCTGAATGGATGCCTCTTTTCATTTCTAACTGCCCGTCAACCATGAAACATTATATTGCTTCAATTATGAAGTAGTTCGTGGTTTTAGCATCTATAAATAGATGGGAGCGGTTGGTGGGAAAAGAACACCAAAATCTATTCTTCTTCCTAATAAACTTCTAAGTATGCTTTAGTGTTCTTGAGCCTGGAACCTAAAGTGGTGATAGTTTTATCCTCGGGAGAAATTTCCTGTAACCCAAGGCTTTGTAGAGGGTGGAAATATTCTTTTCGGAAAGTGAACATAGTTCACGACTCTATCATAATCCTAGTCACCAGGTCTCGGGCTATCGTACATGTACCCTCGTCCCTAAAAGTCCCAACAGGGCAAGGGCAAACACTATTATATTATAGTATTATTATGGATTTATGGTGCATGCCCCAGAATGAGAAATTTCAAAAGGGAAAATACACAGGAAATGGTCCAGAAACTAGCAGAAGGTTTTTCACATGCGCTGCTAGCTAGCTTTTGGCTCAGTGTCGTAGTCAATGATATAAACGGTGATTGATGAGTGTGCACCAAAGAATATTTTCTTGGTGGTGGTTCGATTGTCTCTCTAGGCTCTTTCCTTTCCTGCCTTTGTGTTGTAGATAGAAAGTTGTTTTGAATTGTACTCATCACTACACTTTCTATCTTTCTTTTATTGGTGGTGGTTTTTCCGGTGAGTATGGAGTGGATGGGGAGTCATATATCGTATAATAAGTAAACAATGAGTTGAGCTCGAGTTGACCTTAACAATGAATCGAATTCGAATTGTTGTTGTGATCTTAATATGATCCTACGACACAACCAGAACAGAAATTCATTAACACTCTAATCCGATTTTGTATACCAATTAAAAAAAAACCTTATCATGAGGTAGCTCTCAACTAAAAGCTCAACCGCTGTAGAGACGCTAGCACATCCACGTTTTAAGTAGCAAAATCCTCATTTCAGCGTGATTACACATTAAGATAATGATAATGAAGTAGTAATTAACGTTACCTTCTTTCAATAATTGAATTTGAACCACTTTTTGCCTACTTTATCCGCAGTTTCAAATTATTCTCTTTCAGCGTTGATCCACGGAAAATGACCCCTAGCCTCTAATTAACTTTTAACTACATAAGCAAAGCGATTAAGGAGGAAATGGCAACAGATTTGTGTTGACCGATACGACGCCACATCACTCGATCAAATTTGTGTCGACGAAGCACAATAATCTTACAACCGAAGAGAGGGGAACCCAACAAATCAAATCACACACCCACCCTTCGATTAACAAAACCCGAATTTCCAAAGCACGATTACAAATCCAAACACAACACTAATCCATCCTTAAACCCACCTCATAAACCAGATTAAAGATAGATAAATACATGAAATCCATTAATTAATGCAACCCGCCTAGTAATCGGTAGTGGGGAGCTGCTCGTGGGTCCCGTAGCCGATGAAGATGACCTCGTAGATCACGCCGGCCAGCCCGCCTCCGATCAGCGGTCCGACCCAGTAGACCCAGTGGTTCTCCCAGCTCCAGCTGACCACAGCCGGTCCGAACGACACGGCCGGGTTCATGGACGCTCCGTCGAAGGCCCCGCCGATCAGAATGTTGGCTCCGACGATGAAACCGATGGCCAAGGGAGCAATGGTCCCCAAGCTTCCCTTCTTGGGGTCCACCGCCGTCGCGTAGACGGTGTACACGAGGCCGAACGTCATCACGATCTCCAAAACGACCGCCTGCCATACTCCTACTCCCGCTGACAGGCCAAACGCCGCCGTTTCCTGTACCGTCATAGTTACTCCGTTAAATACTGCGTTTAAATAGACGTACGTATAAAATGTGCGTTAAAAACTTCTATTTTCGTAATATTGTCAGATTATTTCATTTTTCCTCTTCATTTGTTAACTTCGGTATAACACGCTTTATATTTGTATTTAATAAATTAAAATAGTAGCTTGAACATATTTAAAAATAATTAATTTCATATGACAGTTGACGTACGATTGGATGTACCAGTAATCTAGAGACAAAAAAAAAGTATTCATATGTATTTTATACGTAACTTACCAGTACGGTATTTTACTAACCAAGTTCAATGTAGTTAAAAACTTACGATTTTACGGATCACCAAAACGCATTTCTAGAAACGCAGAGTTGAAGGTTTAGGGCTAAGGGAGCTTACGAGGCCGCCGGTGGCGAACTTGAGGAGGAGGCAAGCGACGGTGGAGCCGAGGAGCTGGGCGATCCAGTAGAGGATGCCGCGGAGGAGGGTGATGTTGCCGCCGAGGAAGGCGCCGAAGGTGACGGCGGGGTTGACGTGGCCGCCGGAGATGTTGGCGCCGACGGAGACGGCGACGAAGAGGGCGAAGGCGTGGGCGATGGAGGCGGCGATGAGGCCGGCGGGGGTGTTGGCGGCGCCGTCGGTGAGCTTGGAGAAGGCCATGCCGGAACCCTCACCGGCGAAGACGAAGATCAGGGTGGAGAAGAACTCGGCCAGTCCGGCCCTCAGGGCGTCCGGGTGGGTCGCCTCGCCGACGTGGCCGACGGCTATGTTTCTGATCGGCATGGTGGTGTTTGACCGGCGGCGAATAGTTGGTCGGAGTTGGGGAAGAGAGAGAGAGAGTGTGGAAGAGTGTGGTTTAGCTGTGTGACTTATCTCCTCGTCTCACCCTTTACTTATACTCATGACCATGCTACTCACGTCTACCGGCTGTAGCCGGTTCCCGGTCGTCACATTGTCCACGGCATAAATATTTTAATAATTGTTTTTTAGAGAAATAATTCATTAGGTATCGATACGAAAATGCAATACAGTTATGATGCGTTCGAGTATTGATAATTTCTATGAACATATTATTGTCTTATCTAATTTATATGTAACTCTTAATGCAGTATTCTCTATGTAATCGTAATTTCAAATTGCACATACGTATAATATTGACGGTCACACCGCAATAACCACTTAATTATCATCATCAAAGTCGATATACTATCAGTTGAAGTACGATTATATATTAAAAAAATAACTGTGCGATACAACCTCCAAAATGCGACCATTTACCATTTCATCTTATTAATTAAATCAATTTCCTGATAATTAAGCATGAATTTGAATTTGGCCTAGAGCCCTATCCGCCAGTCACGGACTGCGCTCGGTACAGCGAAGCAATGGATACCAGGTGGGATGAAGACAAGCCACGTGTAAGAAATGGATAGGATCATGGAATGGATACGTGGAATTTGTCTTCGTTGCGCTTACTTTCCATTTTCCTCACTCTCAATTTTATTCATAGTAGTAACCATAAAAAATAAAATAAAAAGTGCATTCGTAGTAGCAATTTGGGACATTAATTTTAATTAATAGCCGGATCCCATTTTCACAATACTGTTGTGGCTAGTTTGGCGTTTCTGTACATTTTGTAAAATTAGTTTCTCATCGCAGTTTTTAGAGAAATACTAATTATGTTATGAAAGTTGTTTTTTACATTTTCCAAAAGCCAGGCTGATAAAGATGCTTTGCTGGATTTCAATTTTCAAAGCACAAATTTACTTTTATAAAAATGGCCCAAATATACGCTCGATGTACTTTTGTTCCATCCCGAACTTGAACTTACACGATGTTCATATTGATGGTAGATTTTGATTTCTGACCTGTACCCGATTATCTTATGAAATTTAATAACCGTCCATAATTATGAGATTAGACGCCATAATTAATGATTTATTGGATCAACTATAGGTTTCAATATAGATAAGCTCAACCCTTGCTTCGTAAGAACAATAGAACACTTCTTTAATTCTTGGTATATACCCCTTAATTAGCTAAATAAACTCGTCCAAAAAATTGGTTGTCATTGTCGAAACACCTACGATATGAACAAACTTTTCTTTGTTTAATTCAAAGGGTCGGCTACGTTTTGGCTTGTAGATGGAATCTTTTTCAATAATTATATGAGATAGATAAACATATATAGTGATCATAAACTTGTATAGTATTTCATGCCAAAAACTGTTGACGAACTATTATAATGTGTATAGGCTACATTTTGAAAAAAAGAGACGGCAATTGACTTCAATTATTGAAGAGAAAAGTTGTGGGCTGATGATCTTAAGCCGTTCGTTTGAATTAGTTTATGAATTAAGCTGCCTGCAGATGAGTGATCGAGCTGGCTATGGCGGATTGATGAACAGAGGAGTGAGTGTTCTTTGAATTTAGACAAGATTGAATGATTGTGTTTGTGGCACATCCTAGATGAAATTTTGTTAGGAAATGGAACAGTGGAGGAATGTACACATGGAATTTGAAAATCTTGTTCATACTAGCTAAAACGGTTTTATTATTGATTTTCAATCTACGTATCCCAAATCGACATTTCAGAGTATATTTTTCCTCTGGCAGCTAACACCCTTTCAGTAGCATGTCAAAAAAAATCACAATCCAATTGGTTTCAATAACTCGAGTTGTTGGTGGAGATCCGTGTAATAGACATGAAGAGTTAATTGACTATTAGGATATACACAACTACACATGTAGATAGATGATACCAATATCAGTACATTCCATCATTGTGTACTAGCTTAGTCACAAATATTGATACGATCCCAATTTAATATATTGCACTTAGTACACTACGACTAAAAACGATCTTATTCGAGAAAAGGGCAAAGAGGGGTCCTCTCCTCTCTCAATCGGTGGTCGGTGAGAAGAAGAAAACTCGACCACTAGTGGTAGGAGGCGGCGAGACGGCGACCTTTCCGGCGGCCGGCCGGCGGTTGAAAGGGATAAGAATGGAAAGGAACCCATCGATCCAACCCGGCTAGCTGGACGGTGGCGCGTGTGGGACCCGTCGGGGGAGAGGACCAAAGACAGAGACAAATCTCCACAAACCAGCTGTTGCCAGCTGTCTCCACCTCCTACTTTTGGGTTACTGGTGCGGGCTTTGGGCCCCCACCACGTCACATGGATGCAGCCACTATTGCGAGTTGGGCCCAACTTAAAAATACGACACCATCATTTCCCGCCACTGGCACCATGATTTTTGTCCTTTTCCTTCTTGAACTTATGTGATCCCATTTGCTATACAAAACCATCTCTTTAATTCAGTTTGAACCGAGTAATATCGTAAATAAAACATGTAATTTGGTTAGTAGAAAATGAAACATGTAATAGTCGAGTTAGTTTGGTTAGTAGAAAATGAAACATGTAATTTATCTTTTTTTACTAAATCGAATTGTGACGAATCACCTAATCTATCAAGTTAATTTTTTCCCCTTCTTATATTCGCATTTGTTGAAAATGCGCTTTTAACCTCGTGGGTCATGTATAACTCCTGATAAGTTGTTGGTTCATATATATATATATATATATATAAAAGATGTAATTAAAAGGCAACAAAATGGAGCCAAAATGTTTTGAGTGGACCGACCATATGTGGAAATTTTCCTGAGGTGCCTTACCACGAGAATCAAAAGGGTTTTGAGTTTGGTTAGGGTTAGGGCATGCATGAGAATGATGTGTATTGACTAGCTGATGGGTAAATATTTTTTTTTTGATGAAGTAGCTGATGGGTAAATATATACGGCTGCAATCAACTTCATTACCAGTGTTATCAGGTTTGTAGCCAGATCGATTGGTTTGATCCAATTCGATTTGAGTATGTATTGAAAATGGCTTCTATATAGTCGTTTTTCCTTCAAATCGGTAGTCGATCAAAACCGCAAACAATCTGTGGTCTTACTGGATTGACTGGTTTCGGGCTCTTATACATAATGCTCTGTTTTGGTCCTTTCCCAAATCCTATTATGGATAACAAAGCAAATATACATAATTTTTAGTCGGATGATATATTATTAAAATTCTAAATTATTACCTTTCTATATTATGTATAAAATGAACTAAATTGACCAACCTCGATCCACCCAATAAACCTCAAACCATTTGATTTACGGGCTCAACTACTCAAACCGATTTAACAACCTTCCTCATTAGTCATTACCACAAGACAACAAGCACAAAAAAATGGAAGGGTCCATCCATCCATCCACGAGCAAGCAATAATTCGTCCTCATCTTTTACCACATTGCAATCATGCATTCAAATCATTCACCATCATCTATGGTTGTTAAATCCATCCTTTCCCAAACAACATATATTTATCACCACTCCAATGTTTTCGCAGCGACGAATACTTGGTCAGAAAACCAATTGTTCTCCTATAATAATTCTCAGTTTGCTTGTAGAGAGGACCAAATATGAATGGGTTAATTGCATGGTTGGTCATTGAGATTACAAAAAACGTTCATGTTTGGTCACTGAAAATATTTAAATCCAATTTTGGTCACTCAAATTAGTTAAATGGTTCAAGTTTGGTCACTCTCCGTTACCTTCCGTCAGTTTCCGTTAACACCGTCAGTTATTTGCTGACGTGGCTAACAGAAGTGCTGATTCACCCAATTAAAATTATAAAAAAATAAAACCCGACCCGTACAATCAGCAAAACCCACCACATTAGTTACCCACCCCAACCCGTGACCCAAGTACCCAACCCTTTCACTCCACCCTAATTCCTCAACTTCCTCCTCTTCCTCCCCCCTCGCCGCCGCCGGGTCCTCGCCGCTGTCGTCGACGACTCCTTCTCCATCTCATCCGGCCCTACATCCGAGCTGGAATGGCGGATTCTGATTTGGTGCTGGTTCTACTTTTAGCTAGTGGAGAGGTCTAGGGGGAGAGCTGGTGAGGTGGTACTGGCGTGCAATAATTGGGATTGTTGGGGGCAGTTAGGGTTTGGATGTGGTGGGAATGGAGGCGAGAATGAAGAAGTACAGGACGGAGAGTCCGGATCAGTCCAAAGTGTGGACGGAGAGGTCGCCTAAGTACCACCAGCAACATCGCAAGGTTGTCATCGTTTTCTATCCCTGCCGGAATCGCCAGCTCGAGCATCCTCATTTCATTGAAGTGCCTCTTTCATCGCAAGACGGCCTATACCTCAGAGATCTGCGTCTGCATCTCTCATTTCCGGTGTTGTCTTCGCTCCCTTTGCTTTGAAAATTGATGAGTTTTTGTGTGTTGTGCAGATGTGATTGAGAAGCTTAACGTGCTGAGAGGCAGAGGAATGGCTTCCATGTAGGGTCGGATGAGTTGATGCGCGATGATCGATTAAGGTGGAGAAGGAGTCGCAGACGACGACAGCTGCGGGGACCCGGCGGCGGCGAGGACGGAGGAAAAGGAGGAAGTTGAGTAATTAGGGTGAAGTGGAAGGTTTGGGAACTTGGGAGTTGGGTCACGGGTTGGGGTGGGTAACTTATGTGGCGGGTTTTGCTGACTGTGCGGGTCGTATTTTATTTTTTTATAATTTAAATTGGGTGAATCAGCATTTCTGTTAGCCACGTCAGCAAATAACTGACGGTGTTAACGGAAACTAACGGAAGGTAACGGAGAGTGACCAAACTCGAACCATTTAACTAATTTGAGTGACCAATATTGGATTTAAATATTTTCAGTGACCAAACATGAACGTTTTTTGTAATCTCAGTGACCAACCATGCAATTAACCCAAATATGAATTTTAATGCATGTTATATTTTATCCGCTCTCTCAAACAAAGTAATCCTCTCATGTCCTTGTGGGTAGAGGCATATAACATAGTATCTTTGTTCAACAAACCAACATGTTTTGAGGCTCGGTATATACGTAATGGACGCGACCTCTAGTCAATCAAACAAAATTCAAT